GATGCTATCAAGCAGGCATTGGTTCATCCTCCAGTCTTGATGCCTCCCAAACAAGGTCGGCCACTCAAACTTTATTTGGCAAATACATATGAAGTGGTTAGTTGTTTATTGGCGCAGGATGGTGATGACGGGAAGGAAAGGGCAATTTACTATCTCAGTAAAACCCTTACAGGACCAGAACTGAATTACACTATGCCAGAAAAAATGTGTTATTCATTGGTCTTCGCTTGCACTAAACTCGAGCATTATTTGCTGCCCAGAAGAGTTGAGGTCATATCAAAGGTGGATCTCATCAAATTGATTTTACAGAGACCTACTATGAAGGGCAGACTCATGAAATGGGCCATCAAATTGGCTCCTTTCGATCTTCAACATTCCCCGCTGAGGGCAATTAAGGGACAAGCAGTAGCCGACTTCTTGGCAGAATTCTCACAAGTCGGGTATTCTCTTTGTGATAGTGTCCGACCATTTAGTTGTGCATCATATCTGGATAATCTACAGGTCGGATGTGTGCCTTATATAAGTACCAGAACATGGTTGATGTTCTTTGATGGTTCTACCTCTGGAAACAAATCGGGGGCAGGGGTCTTTTTGCAAGGACCTGATGGTCAAAAGATCAACTTACAACTACGATTGGAATCCATGACCCATAATTCGGCAGAATATGAAGCTTTAATTTTGGGTTTGGAGGCTTTAATTGCCAGGAAGGTCCAGTCTGTAATCATAAGGGGGGATTCTCAATTAGTAGTCAACCAGGTAAACAATCAATATGTGTGCAATTTCCCTCATCTTCGCAGATATAGGGACATTGTGAGTCGGCTACTGACAAGAATCTCAGAGGTAATAATTGAGTTCATTCCGAGGAAAGAAAACCAACGTGCTGATGAATTGGCTCAAAGGGCATGTAAAGGAATTCTGGAGGATATGTGGTCGGAGGTCAAGTCGGGCATAGAAGGAAAGACAGACCCGATCTGCGAAGTTACGGTCGGGCAGGAGACTATCGGACAGGACCCCGACTGCGAAGTTACGGTCGGGCAAGAGGATATCGGACAGGACCCCGACTGCGAAGTTGCGGTCGGGCAAGAGGATATCGGTCAGGAGTCCGACTGCGAGGTTACGGTCGGGCAAGAGGATAATGGACAGGAGCCCGATTACGAAGTTTTTATCGGACAGAAGTCCGATGGCGAAACAGTGTCCGATTGGAGAACAGAGCTTATCCTGTATTTACAGAATCCTGGTGCGAGTGTTTCAATTGCGACACGATTGAAGGCTTTACGTTTTCAATTGATAAATGGAATTTTGTACAAGAGATCATTTGAAGGTTTACTTTTGAAATGCTTGGGATCTAAAGAAGCTCTAGAAGTGATGACAGAAGTACATGGTGGGATATGTGGAGCTCATCGGGCAGGTCTCAATATGAGATGGGCCATTCATCGCTTGGGTTTTTTCTGGCCTAAGATTTTTGAGGATTGCATACAATTTGCAAAAGGCTGCCTGGAATGTCAGAGACATGGAAACTTGAATCATTTGCCAGTAACCGAATTGCAATTCTTGGCAAAACCATGGCCTTTTAAATCGTGGGCTATGGATATTATTGGTAAGATACATCCTGCTTCATCGAAACATCACTGTTTCATTTTGGTCGCGACTGATTACTTTACCAAATGGGTGGAAGCAGTTGCTTTGAAAAATGTGGATCAGAAAGAAGTGATAGACTTCGTTTTGAACCAAATTATTTACAGATATGGTATTCCTCAGTCTATAACAACCGACCAAGGCTTGGTCTTTACAGGGGAAAAGTTCTCTAATTTCTTGGCAGAATTCGGTGTTCGGTTACATCATTCTTCACCATATTATCCCCAAGCCAATGGACAGGCGGAAGCAGCAAATAAGATTATCATTGGGATTATAAAGAAGATGATTGAAGGGAACCCAAGAAAGTGGCATTTGTTATTGTCTCAGGCTTTATGGGCACATAGAAATGCCAGAAATACGGCCACAGGGTTCTCACCTTACCAACTTACGTTTGGCCAAGATGCTGTTTTACCAGCCGAAATTCGAGTGTCATCTGGCCGAACAGAATTTACTGATAGTGATCTTACAAAGGAATACCAACAAATTATGTTGCAGCAGTTAGAAGATTTGGATGTTAACCGTCTCCATGCAATAGATCGAAGTGTGAAACAGAGTGAAATCAGAGCAAGGAGTTATGGAAAGAAAGTTCTTCACAGGACATTCCAAAAAGGAGACCTAGTCTGGAAGACCATTCTTCCTACATATAAGAAAACCGATCAATTGGGAAAGTGGTCACCGAATTGGGAAGGACCATACATTGTTCAAAAAGATATTGGAAATGGCGCGTTCATTATTGTAAATCATGAAGGTAGAAGAGTACATGATTGTATTAATGCTAAATATCTGAAGAGGTATTATCCTGCCTTTTCAGATAACAAAACTGCCTGAAACCACATATTATTCAGAACCCATTTATGGGGGTTCGAACCTACTGGAAGGTTCATTTCTGTTAGTCATCGTGTAGTTGTGAGAAATTTTCTGTCTCTGAATCAGACTTTTCATCCCAGTGAGTGGATATTAGCTCTGGTTCTTCTTCAATAAGATCTTCCAAGTCTGGTCGGTACCTTTCCCATTGGCTTTGCATGTCATCTAGATCTTGATGGGTACGTGCTTGCATGTCTGTTAGGGCTTGATGTTCACGGTCAACAATGGTACGCAATCTTGAAAAGACTTTTCGTTGATTGGAAAATATGTTATCCCAACCAAGGTCTGGAAGTATGGTTGCTGCATGATTTTCAATCATTTCCATGTGATGATGGAGATCAGGGATGCGGCTGAGGATGTCATGAAGAGGTTCATACCCCTCAATGACTTTTTCCATCAGGAGGATGACGCGATGAATAGTTCTTCTACCTCGTTGGGAGAATCGGAATTTGAAGTCTAGTTGCTTGAGTATATATAACAAGTCTTCTGCATGGCCTCCAATAGGGTGATTACCTACAAAGAAGGGTTGAAGAACACCCTCCCAGTTGCTTGATGGAACATGAGGTCGGTCATTCGCCATGTTTGTTCACACTTTCAGTGTTTTGATTTTTAAAATATGCTTGGGAATATGTTTCTTAAAATGTGAGAAACAGTGTTCTTTTAAAGAAGGAGTTTGGTTCGTTTCCTATAAAGTTGGGAATTGAAAGGTGATCCTTGTTTTGAGAGAAGAAAGAAAAAAATGGATTACTAAGTCAGTTGTTGTTACAAAGGGGGAAATATTACAACAGTGCCCCTAGGGCAGTTTTTATTTGTGTCCATTTGTTTTCATCCCTGGATAGCCTTCTGGTAATGGCAGCCGTCTGATATCTTCTGATGAATTGGGATCGGGCTTGGGTTTTCAGCTCTTGATCCAATTCAGCCTCATTTTTGGTATACTTCTCAAGCAGATGCTGTTCATTGGTAATTTGCTTATCCAGGGTAGACTGTTCTTTCCTCAGCTCCCGCAATTCTGCCTCCTTTTTCTGAATGGCATCATCAACCAGAGCTTTCGTGATATGAATCTTCAGGAGTAGTGCAATATGGACGGATCGTCGGAGTTAGTACTTTCGAGGCTGAAAATGGACCTTCTGGAAGGGTTCCGTCGAAAGGAAGGGCAGGCATGTATTGATTCGCCATAGTTAGAATGTTTTGGGATTGTGATTCACACAGGCTTGTATTGCGAAGATGGAAGTTTATCAGGCGTGTTTCAGTAACTGGTGCAGTTGCTAAGGGAGTTTTTCAAGAGGGTAGTGATTTATGAACTTCCAAACATTGATTGTTAAATGGCGTTTGAAAGTCCCTTGGCGGCGGGCAAGTTGTTACGTACGAAATTTAGAATTAGGTTAAAAGCCCAAGGTAAAAAAGAAGAATGGGCCTGGCAATAGGGTTGATTGAACTGGCTGAAGGACACCGTGAGGAAATCAAGGAAAATAAATTTATTTATTTATTTCTAAGGAAAATACAGGACGGAAGGTTCTCAGGTCGGTAGGTCCTCAGGACGGAAGGACTTCAGGTCGGTAGGTCCTCAGGACGGAAAGACCTCAGGTCGGAAGGTCTTCAGGTCAGTAGGTCCTTAAGACGGAAAGTCATTAGGACGGAAGGACCTCAGGTCGGTAGGTCCTCAAGACGGAAGGACCTCAGGTCGGAAGGTCTTCAGGTCGGTAGGTCTTCAAGACGGAAAGTCATTAGGACGGACGGACCTCAGGTCGGTAGGTCCTCAAGACGGAAGGACCTCAAGTCGGAAGGTTTTCAGGTCGGGAAGTCCTCAAGACGGAAAGACCTCAAGTCGGAAGGTTTTCAGGTCGGGAGGTCCTCAAGACGGAAAGACCTCAAGTCGGAAGGTTTTCAGGTCGGGAAGTCCTCAAGGCGGAAAGACCTCAAGTCGGAAGGTTTTCAGGTCGGGAAGTCCTCAAGGCGGAAAGACCTCAAGCCAGATGGTTCGCAAGTCGGGAGGATTGGCGGTCGGACCCATACTATTGTAGATTGGCAGTCGGGCCAAAAGAGCGGAAGGTCTGTGGTCGGCTCAAGGAGTGAAATATAGGGAATTTTTGGTCTGCTGGGGACACGTGTCAGCATAAGAAAGGTTGGAAGACGGTTGAGAAGGAGACGTTGTAACCGTTCGGGTGACGGTTTTCAGTACGGTTTCCCAGGGAATATTTAAGGATTTGGATCATCATTTGGCAAGGGATCTTCAATCAACTTCAACAAAGCAAAGTCAGATTTGGGGATCACCACTTTAAATTTCAGTCTTTTATTTTCCAGTTTATTTTCTGTACCATACAGTGTTTAGAGATTCCTAATCTCAGGCACTAATTAATCAAGTTTAAGGATATTTTCTATATCTTTGAATTTTACTTTATTTTTGTATTAATTTTGTGATAAAGTTATTATTAATATTTTTTAATAATATTATAGTACTAATCAACTCCTCCCTCCTCGGCTAATTGTTCTCAGCGGAATGAAACCAGCGGGAGCGGACAACCACTGTGAGCAGTCAGCAAAGCACCCCCCCAACTGCCGTGCCGTCCGGTACGATACCCACCGCCAAACCCCCGACTAAACCCACGCCGCCCCCGCCCCCGCCCTCCTGCTCGAATTTCAGGCTGGCGGCCTACAGCCCCAAGCGAGCAACGGCGGAGCTCCGCCACTCGAGCTCCACAGGCAGCCGCCCCGTTTCCTCCCCCGTCTCCCCTTCCCCGTTGTCATCCTCCGACTTCCACGCTTCCACCGACGACGACACCTATGACAATGGCCGCGATCGCTATTCTCGTGACCGCTCCTTCCGCTCTTATTTCCAGCCCTTTCTCCCACATTCTATGTTCCCCAGCGACGATCTAAACAGGGCACACACTCATAGATCTAAGATCTCAATGCTCATACTCGTCGCTGTAGTCGTTGCTGTCGTCATTTCTTTTACTTCTGTGCTCTGGCAATTGGTAATCCCCCTTACCGTCTTTATGCGTGTATACCATATATATGTATGTTTGTGTAAATGTGATGCTTATTTGATTTTAAAATCCTGAGAGAATGGTTCACTTCATTTTCCGTTGATGGTAATGTGTATGTGAAATTTCTTGCCTTTAACTGATCTCATTTAATACAAGTGTTGCGAGATATTTTAATATGAGATTTAATCTAGTCTGGAATTGTTTCGATTTTATTGGAAGACTTATAATTGTTGAGTAGTGTGCTTTGGTCGCTTGCGGTGATAAGTTCATGCACTATGTCTCTTGCTTGGTCTAAGGCTAATTTGTAGTGTTCGTTCTGCATTATATCATAGCATGCTTGATGGATTACTATCTATCCTTGGTTGATTGGTCTTTTAACTTCTGAGTTCTCTTTTGTACTGTAATTCTACAAATTCATTGCATGCGCACAGACACCATGTTTTATCCTTCAAGTTCTAATAATTTTTTATTTGGCTGATCTTGGATGTGGTTTCAGAATTCTCCATACTTGTGCAGAAAGGAAGGTATAACACTTCACTGCCCTCATGTGAGCTCAACAATTATCTACTTTTTGTTCAATCATGTTTCCAGTTTGAGTGTATATTTAATGGCATTGGTTTCCTGCCAAGTAGGTAAAAGAGCCTCCCTCACTATGGGAAAATCCTTATTCAGCTACTACATCTTGGAAACCTTGTGCTGAGCGGCCTGAAGGCATATCATCAGGTAATTGGAGTATATGATGATAACTTCAGATTTTGCTATTGAATAACACCCTGAAGTATAATATGAGTTTATATCATGTTTCTCATTTAGACATTATGAAATTTAAATCTCCACTAGTGGCTGCTTATCTGATCCTTCTATAGCTAGTTTTGAATGAATTAGTTAGAGATAAAAGATAAAGGGAAAATGGTTTTACATTATTTTTCATAAGTTTAAGGGTATGTTTGGTTTATGTTTGTGTTTTATATTATGTGTTTAAATGGTGATTGGATGTGATGTTTTGTGAGAGGTAGGGTGATTGCAAAAAAAGTGTTATTGAAAAAGATCTCAACAATAACAAAGCCTAAAGCAAAAAGGAGATATAGGATTTGGAAAGAATTGGAAGGATTATGTGTGAACTTATTTTTAGCTTTCTTGTCTTTTTCAACCAGCATTTTCATTTCTTCTTGTTTCTATCATAAAGGCTACTTATGTCTAAGAGGAAGCAAACGGAGTGAAATTTGCAAAATTATTCCAACACTAGCTAAAGGGATAGGGAGGGAAATCTATGTAACAAATGTGTATTTAAGATTCCATATTATCTACTCCTTCTGCATGTCAAGAGCAGAAGGTTATATCATTTCCTTTTGTTTTCAAGCCAATGCATCCAGTGAAGTAACTATTATGGTTGTTAGCAGAGTAAATTAGATTACCACAACACAGTAGTCTGGACTATACTCAGTTTTCCTGTTAAAAATTTGTAGACATAACAGAAAAAATGCTACTGAATCTAAGGTGTTTGAATGTGCCTACATTTGGTTAATCTATGTATGTATATATATATATATATATGAATGAATTTTTTCTGCTACCTTGCAGATCTTCCTGCTGAAAATGAAACAAATGGCTATGTATTCATACACGCTGAGGGGGGTCTTAACCAGCAAAGAATTGCTGTATGTGATTCTTCTGGATATTGTTATTTTCATAGTGCGCTATGAATGACATACTGCCTAGTGTGTTGAAGTTTTGTGCTACTGCTTATAAATATTTTTGTTTCTCAAGGGAAGGATTGCTTTGGCTACTTGCTGATGACTTAGTTACTATTAATAACAGTAATATTTTGTTTTGCTATTACAAACTTCTTCCTCTATCATAAGTCATATTGGCCAACCCATAAATCTCTTTGCTTTTAAGAGCAGTGTGTGGCTTTGGAAGCTGTTCAGTAATAAGATTATTCATCTTATCTCTTCAGATATGCAATGCTGTTGCCGTGGCAAAGATCATGAATGCGACTCTTATTTTACCTGTGCTGAAGCAAGACCAGATATGGAAAGATCAAACGTGGGTGAACTTGACTAAAGCTGTTATATTTCATATGCCTTTGTGTTTAGTTTCCTTTTTAAAACCTCTTTATTTTGTTTGCTTGCTATTGCTTCACCTTATTTTTTATGTTGATCATGTGGTTATTTGGTTTCTTGATTGTATGCTTGAGAACTATTTTTTGTTTTAGGCACACTATCTTAAGGTAAGCAATGAGATACAAACATGTGAGATCGTCTTTTATGTTCATCATACAAAGTTGCCACAGGAAATTTGAAGACATATTTGATGTCCATTGTTATATGAAGTATTAGGATATTTTATGGTGATGGTAAATAGTAATGCCAAATTCTGACTGCAGGAAATTCAAAGACATATTTGATGTTGATCATTTTATCGACTACTTGAAATATGATGTGCGAATTGTGCGAGATATCCCAGATTGGTTTACAGACAAAACAGAGTTATTCACTAGTATAAGGTTCTGTGTTTCCTTTCTCCACTCTACTATTTATTTTTTCCCAAAGACTATAAAAATAGTCTATTAATGCTTGCATTCCTGAAAATGAGTTAAAACTAAACATCTGGAAAAGTTCTACCCGTCTTTCAAACTTCAATTATAAGAAACTTGAATTCGGTTTGATAAGAACAAAGCTTTGTCATAAGATTAAAATATCTGCTTTATATCTCTTTATAATTGTATATGATCATCCATCACAGACGTACTGTCAAAAACATTCCAAAGTATGCTCCTGCGCAGTTCTACATTGACAATGTCTTGCCCCGTATCAAGGAAAAGAAAATAATGTCCTTGAAGCCATTTGTTGATAGGCTGGGGTGAGTTGTGGGTTTTAATCAGTGTGTTTGCTTCCATTTCCCCCTACCCACTTTTGGATTGATAGGAGTATAGACATAAGATTACACATATTTAAGGTGAACTTTTTTTATTTTTCTTGTTCATTAGGTATGATAATGTCCCTCCAGAAATCAACAGGCTAAGGTGTAGAGTGAACTATCATGCCTTGAAGTTTCTTCCTGAAATTGAACATATGGCAGATTTACTCTTATCTAGGATGAGAAACCGAACGGGTAGTCCAAATCCTTTCATGTAGGTAGCATGAATTATGCTGTTTATTTTTAATGAACTCAAATCATTCTTAAGTTTATGCCATTAAAAATTTGCCTGACTGTTTTTTGTTCATATATGCGCATGAAATATCAGGGCTCTTCATCTAAGGTTTGAAAAAGGCATGGTGGGTCTTTCTTTCTGTGATTTTGTTGGAACTAGGATGGAGAAAGCATTGATGGCTATGTACAGACTCAAAGAGTGGCCCCGACGTTTCAAGGTATTGTGTTATTGGGTTGAGACTTTGTGCTGAATAGGAAGATATGTGCAATACGTGTACAAGGGTTCTCTCTTTGGTTCTGTATTTCAGGACGGTTCCCATCTTTGGGCCCTCGCTCTTCAGAAGCGGAAGGAAGGACGCTGCCCGCTCGAGCCTGGTGAAGTAGCAGTGATGCTCCGGGCAATGGGATATCCCAAAGAAACACAGATATATGTTGCGTCCGGGCAGGTCTACGGCGGACAGAACCGCATGGCACCACTCAGGAACATGTTCCCCAATCTTGTAGGCCCATTACTACGATGATATATATATATATATATTTGATAAAGTTGTGGGGTAAGAAGTTGTTTGGTGCGGTGGTGTGATATTCTTCTAATTGAGGATCTGCGACGCAGGTGACAAAGGAGGAATTAGCCACCAAGTCTGAATTGGATGTATTCAAAAAGCATGTGACAAGCTTAGCAGCCCTCGACTTCCTGGTCTGCTTAAGGTCTGATGTCTTTGTTATGACGCATGGGGGGAACTTTGCAAAACTGATAATTGGAAATCGTCGCTACTTGGGACACCGGCAAAAGTCCATAAAGCCCGACAAGGGTCTGATGTCGAAGTCTTTGGGGGATCCCTACATGGGTTGGGCCACATTTGTGGAAGACGTGATTGTGACCCACCAAACCCGAACTGGATTGCCAGAAGAAACATTCCCAAACTATGACATATGGGAGAACCCCTTGACACCATGCATGTGTAGGGCTTGATAATAGGAAGTTAGTGAGCATTGGGTTGGGTTGGATTCGATTGGATTCGGGAGCAATATTTATGGAAATTGGAGTTTCCCAGGTGAAGGATGAAATCTTTGGAATTGAATTAAAGTGTGCTTGCCCGACTGACCGAGGAGGGGAGGGGATGAGAAGTGTGTGCAAGTAAATTCACTCTTGTTGTGTTGGCAAGGATTGTGTTTGTGTGTCTGTGTTCCATGGACCAAAAACAAAAACTTGAATTAGAATATGCCATGCTCAGCCGGTCCATACTATACTATGCTGCTTTGAATAGAATTGATAGACGGCTGGGGCAGTAGTGCAGTGCAGTGTAGCGTAGTCTGTAGTAAAGTAAGTCAGTCAGTCCGAAGCTACATGGTTGCATGTATGCATATGAAATGCACATGGCCTTGATGGATTCGTGTTCTTATGCAAGTGCAAGTGCAAGTGCAACTGTGTGTTGCACTTCAATTCAACATAACATTGGTGTGCCTGTGCCTGTGCCTGTGCCTGTGTCTGTTCTGGGAAGAAAAAGGGTGGCGAGGCCACTATATATATATATATGATGATTTACATGTCTTGTTTCGGCTCGCTCTTCCTTCCTTGTGTTTTTTGTTCTTCCAAGAATTAGAAGCTCTACTGAATGAATGGAGTGGGGTTGAAGATTGTAGAAGCCGGTGGCCCAAAATATTAGTACTATTTATTAAACAAATCTCTGACAGGTCTCTCTCTCACTCTCTCTCTCTCTCTCTCTCTCACAGGCGAGGAAAGGAATACAAAAGAGAGAATATACCAAAACGAAAAGTCACTGGGGACGGGTCCATCTGGAAAAAATAATTGGGCTGAGTGGGCGAGGCTATTCTATTCTCGACATTTCCATATGGAAAGGAAGGAAGGAATGCTCGAGCCAACATGTCGCGGGGATGACGTTGACTTGTTTTCTCGTATACAATCATTTTACACCCGAGGAAGAATAATAGATACTACTAATAATGATCTGTCCGGTCCGTTTCGTTTCAGCCACGGCAATGGAATGCATCAACAATAAAAGAGGTTGAGGTTGTTTTATGCCGCCGCCGCAGAAGTCGTCTCTTCCTTCCTTCTGCTGCTGCTGCTGCTTACTCCTCCTCCTCCTGCAACTGGCCTATTAGATCTTCTTCTCTTATTCTCTTCGTCTTCGGCTGGCTGTTAGTGGCCCGTGACTCTGTAATAATACTTTTAATTATCAGGCAGGCAGGCCCGCGCTCGCACTTGGAGGATTCCTCCTCCTCCGCCTCACCTCTAACCTAATTAATACCCTAGTAATAACTGGTCTTGGTCTTGGTAATTCCCTTCCCTTTCTCGCTCGCCTCAACCGACCTGTATCCATCATGATATCGTCATCATCATCCACGCCTCCCCTCCCCTCTAAAATGGCCACTTTCTTCCTCGCGGGGTCCTCCGCCTCTCTCTCTCCATCACCCCTTCTTCGCACCAGACCTAATCTGAATTCATCCTCGATCGCTTCCAAGCACCCGCCGCCGCCGCCGCCGCCGCCGCCTTGTCTAATTCCGAGCAATAATCCCGCATCAAGAAGAAAATCAAGGATGATTACCTGCGCAGCAACCAACAACCAGCAGCAGCAGCAGCAGCCCTTGTCTGTGTCCGAGAAGGTGCAGAGATTGGGCATTGAGTTCAAGTCATTGGCTGAACCAATCGACAGAGTGAGGAGGTTGCTGCACTACGCAAGTCTGCTCCCCGCATTGGACGAGGCCTCAAGGGCTGGAGAGAACAGAGTCCCCGGTTGCACGGCTCAGGTCTGGCTGGATGTCAAGATTGACGCGGAAGGGGTTGTGATGTTGAGAGCGGACAGTGACTCCGAGATCACCAAAGGGTTCTGTTCTTGCTTGATCTGGGTGCTCGATGGAGCGGCAGCCGAGGAGGTGTTGAGCGTGAAGGCGGATGATTTTGTGGAGATGAATGTGGGGCTGCCCAGTCCTCCGACCAGGGGCAGGGGCAGGGGGAACAGCTCCTCCTCCAGGGTAAACACTTGGCATAACGTGCTGATGAGTATGCAGAAGAGGACAGGGGAACTGCTTCTCGCTGCTGCTGCTGCTGCTGCTGCAAGTGCAACGGCAGGAGGAGGAGGAAGAAGAAGAAGAAGAAGAAATCCTGCCACTTGCAAGGAAACAACTCAGCTCTCACTGCCAAGTACGAGCACTTTGGAATAATGTATGCTATTGCTAGTTGGCTAGTTAGTTAATATCCTACTGTTTTGTTTGTTTATTATTCACAAGTTATATACATAGGTTACTTTGCCCTGACAGTGATGTTGCATGTGATCATGCATGTCCGTTCCTGCCTTCCTACTCTCTTCTTCTTCTTCTTGGACTCCATCCATCCATCCATCCATCCGTTCCTCACTTCACTCTAGTTTATGTCCTTCCCGGTTCCTATCTTATCTATCTGCTGCTGCTGATTGGGTGTAACTCACTGTGACTGACTTGATGCTTGCGTATGTTTAACCCAACCCAACCCAACTCACAGACTCAACTGTCGGCCTTCAATTTGCTTGCTTGCTTACATGTGTGTTTGTAAGAACAAGTGCTTAATTCTTTTTTAGTTGTGGAAAGCAGAGCAGTTGATAGTAGTCTATATAGCACCTCTCCCGCTCCCTGAATTTGGTAAATCTTCCTCCTTAATTCCTTGCAGTTGCAGCAGCAGCCCAACTCAGAGTTACGTTGGAGAAGATAGACAAACCTGCTCGCTCATGTTATCTGCTTGCTTGACCTGGAATTATACCTGTGGAAGTGGAAGAATGCATACACTCAGAGCACCACATGAATGAAAGAATATGAACAGAGAGAGTGGGTGTAGATACAGTCAAACAGTAGCCCCTCATCAAATCCCTGCCTATTCAACTAAACTGCTACCTACCTAAAAATAGATAACTAAACTAGGGAGTTACACACATATAATATAGTATAATGCATTGTTTGTTCTTGACCACAGTTCACATAATTAATTCATTAGCGCAGATATTGCACATTGTATAGAATATATAATAGAATGCTGCGTTTATTCAAATGATGCCAATACCAATTTAGTACGGGAGAAAAAGTATATGAGATCAAGAAATAATAAATAATAATATTTTAATCTTAAACTTGGGTAGGTAAAAAATAAAATTGGAATATTATAAGAAATTTATTAAAAAATTGATAAAAAAAATGTGTGATAAGTTAAAAAATACTAGCAAAGTAGAATGTGCACGTATTATTAATTCTTTTTTAAAAATCTATTAAGGGTGTGTTTGGTTGGGGGGATTGGATTTTAAATATTTTTTTTTTTATTTTTTTTCCAAAAAAAAAATATCAAATCAAACACCTATTTTTTATTTTTTATATTATACTAAAAATCAATTTTACATTCAAAATATCACATCAATACCTGTTTATATCACATCAAACAACTATTCAAATTTAAAAAATTTTCTATTCAAATCCCAATTCAAAATTCAAACTAGATAGATTATATATTTTTATAATATATTATTTTGTTTTTTATGAAATAGAAAATCTATCTTCACTCTTTAGTTTTTTTTCTCCATTTTTGGTTCTTTGTTATTTGTGATATGTGAGTTGAATTCATGATTTGTGATATGTTGCATATCCACAGTGGTGCCAGAGCTTTACTTAACAAATCCTTCGGGTATAGGTTCTTTCTATGTTTGAAGGGAGAAACTATTTTGTATGATGAACGCATATTTATAAGTTTTTTGTAGAAGCTGTAAATTATATGATGTTAAAAATAGAAGAGAATAAATTTGTTAAGAAATGCTCTTTCAAGCACATTATTCTTGTAAATAAATTGAAACTTTTGAATGACAGACGTTGCTTATCAGAAGATGGTTCAAAAAATGCTAATAAGTTTGTCTGATGCTAAAATAATTGTTATTGAAGAGGCATGTGATCTAGAAACTTTATCGGTTACTCATTAGCAAATTAAAAGTTTAAAAGCAAAGGGCAAGTTTAGGAGACGAGGACACGAGGGAAGGAAAAGAACAAGAATAGAAGAAGAATAAAAAATATTGTTGGTTCAAAAGAAAATAACTAATTGAGCGGTTGATTGTTTAAGAAGTAAGCAAGCAGCAGCAACTACAGTTTCCTCACATATGTATGTATATATAAATTATTGATAGTGGGAAGGAGATGAAGGCTACTTTATATAGACCGAAAAGTGAAGATCAATAATTGTGAAATGCTACAGTAAGGGTTGTTTTCCCTGTGGGTCAGGTCTATATGGGTTGTTTTCTCTTTTGATCATGCGAGCAGTAAGTGCATTACTAGTATCTAGTTGTGTTGTATCTGCTGCATATAAATAGAGTGACTGGTTATAAGACTAAAAAAGAAATGTATAATAATATAACAAACAACAAAAGAGTTATATGTTATGTATATACTATTTTACTATTATAGTTATATGTATACACATACCAATCACAAGTCCTCCTCCTCCTCCTGCTGCTGCTGTTGATGATGTTGGTGTTGGGACTTGGGAGGGAACGGACACATGAAATGACCTCAGTCGTGAGCTATCCTCCTCAGCAGGCAGGCAGGCAGGCAGTGAGAGAGTGGGTCATGAGATATTGTTGCCTTGCCTCTGGAAGGAGCCAGAGTGCTTGGTGGGGGAGCGGAGGAGAGGCAGCTCCCTGCCTGCCCCTGGACAGCCCATGCAACGTACTGTAGTTACAGCAGCAACAAATTGGGAACATCGCCAAAGAAAATCAGGTATAAAGAATCAACCCTCAAATAAAATAATTTCTTTTTTATTTTTTTTTTTAAAAATGTCGGGACAATACTCTCCAATCACCTACCAAAAATGCATCTTTGATTTGATTTGGAGTGAATACAATAAGCCACCAACTCAACCCTCCAAGTCTATTTCTATATATATATATATATATATGTATGTATTTAGTCTTGTATATCGACCACTTGTCCATCCTGACTAAAATACATTTTGCCTCCGGATTGATGCGCCGCAGGCAGCATTAACTGGTGCAGATACAACATAGCAGTCGGTAGTGATATGAAATCGCCTCCCCTCACCTCATCCAACACACTATGCAAGCAAAGTTTCAAAGCACAGCTGTTCGCCTTTCAGTTGCACCACCTTCATGCTCAACCTACCATACAGATCATCATGCAACAAGTTGACTCAATGCAAGTACAAAAACTTCACACTTGTTATTAACCCAAATAAGGATGATGGGGTAGAATTTGTGAAAATCCAAATAACTCATTTACCTCAACATGAACTTTCCCTCTTTTTCTATACTTGGCTTCTGGCTCATCTTCCTTCAGCTCTCTTGCAGAACCTTTTCTCCCTCTTTTTGGTTCAATGTAGACACTACCTTCTTCTTCTTCTTCTTCATCACCATCCAATTCATCTGAAATAATAATGTCTAGTAGTTTGAATCCATATTTTCATTCACAAACAACAAACATAATGAAAGATGGAGAAAGGGAAGCCATTGTTGGAGTTTCATCTGCTAATGCAGAATTTTCTACATACAGAATATGTATGATGAAAATAACAATGTTACCATCATCACCTGTACCAACTCCAAGACCACCAAAATCTTCCATATCCTCCTCCTCTTCCAGATCCTCATAGCCTTCAACATATTCAATTTCTGCTTCCTACAGTACAGTACCAATTCATAGATACAAGCATCAACATACGTGCAGTGGAATGATCAGCTCATATGTGGGCTTTATTCGTTACCTCTTCATCTTCAGTTATCACTTCCTTCCCAAGCTCCTTATCAAGGATTTCATTGTACTTATCAACGGGATAGTTATAGATATCACCATAAACTCCTTTTTTGAGGCGCTCAAGTAGCTCGTTTTCGATACTCTGCAAAAATAGTAATACTAATCTTAGTTACAGCAATACAGTGAACAGGTTAAGAAAGACTGCATAGGCACAGCAGCACACGCTACAACAGGATTACTTTCTCTAATACTGCAGCCTTTTCAGCTTTTTCCTCTCTCCGAGCTTCTCTTTTCTTTTGTTTTGTTGGCACTGTCATGATTTTTTCTCTGCATGCAGAACCAGATGATTTAGAGAATGAAAAAGGTGGGATAAGTGGTTAAAGTTGTACAAAGCACTACACAAGCATATTAAGAACCAGCAAGTAAAATGATAAAATAAGAGAATCTTGTCAAGTCTAAACTGACGCATTTTATGATATGCAGAATGCATAAAAGCAAAAACTTAGTTTAGGCCAGCTTCACACATGTGAGGAACAGCATGCTGACAATTTCCACGTAATCTTATACTTATCTTCAACCACCTAACCCTCATTAACTAGCTACACAGAAAAGCTGGAGAACTGCTACTGTGAATTGGTTTGATACAATAGCTTTATTTTCATCCCATAAGAGACGAACCAGTGTGCCTTACTTTCGTCCATACTTATAATATTCTCCAGAACTAGGCTTAAAGCAGCGTAATACTCCCTTGGTGTCTGCTACACCAAGTAAATATAATACCTAACAGTAGGAGATTCTTTCATTCGAATTAAGATCGAAATACAATCAAATAACAATTAAGCATAAATGCTACCCATAGTATATACATTACCGTCAAGGTGTTGGCTTTATAACAAAGATTGACAAATAGATGTTGAAGATGAAGAATTATAGCAATATGCATAACTCAACAGATAAGAGCCCGAATAAAAGAAAGGGTTAACACCTTGTCTTTAAAGCAAGTTTTCTCATTCGTATTCGCATTTGTGTCATCTTGGTTAATCTCTGCTTTATTTTGTGCACCAGAAGCTTTGGCCAGTACATCTGGTTAGACAGCAAATAAGTGCAGCTCTCATGAGAAATATTCAAAATAAATCACTTAACAAAAAATTCAAGCTTGTCATTACCATGTGCTTGTCAATAGTCTCAAGAGCCTTTTCATAATTCCTTGGCAATTTAACTCTTTCCCACAACTTATTAGGCATATGTGCCCTTTCAATGGTCTTCATATACAAATAAAATATTCCTAGTAAAGTCACCAAAGTTACATATCCGAATCACTAAGATGCAGCACAAACTAATTGAAATATACAGCCGTATCATAAGAAGTAAAGCCACACTATAGAAATACCATCATGCTCCCGTATGGTGGCGTATCTACTGTTAGCAAGGGGGCAGGAGCTCCGATTGCATACACCAGTAACATTATACGGATTCCGACAAAATATGCCAGTGTCGATTCTGTAGGAAAAGATCGGCATAAAAGCAACATCGAGTAGTATACAATACAATTATGAAAATAAAAATATCCGCCGTAAAGCAAATAATCTATGAAACAAGGGGTTTTAGTACTCCAATATGAGAAATTGATTTACTTGGCCATAAAACTGCAATGATTGTGCCGTATAACTTGCCATATGACCTCGTCGTGTTGCATCTTTGTGCAGAGTACTTGATTTCGGTAAGGAGCGAAGTTGTGCAGAGGGGGAAGAGAGTTAGGTCTCTCTACCTTGCGTTCGACAAGTGAAGTCGCCGGGGGTTTAAGCGAGGGCGGATGGAGAAGAGAATTAGGGTTTAGGGAAGGGCGGACAGATTACTAAGATGTAGCAGCAGCGTTCAGGGTCAGGGTCAGGCTCGGGGTCAGGCCAGGTTTGAATAATCGAAATATAGACATATGTCAGTCTCAGCCCACAGTCCTTGTATGGGCTTATATAAGTGGACCAGTTTAATCACTTGAGGCCCACATATAATATAATAGTTTCATTGGGCTATTAGATTTTTTTTATTATATAATATTCTCTTCTCAGTCTCAGATACCATGTCCACGTTCTTGTTTCTATTTCTATGCGTCCCACATTCCATGTCATACTTTAATCTCATTTGACATGTTATGTGGGACGAAGAGAGTATCTTTTTTTATTATTTATTAATATTTTTTTATAACAGAGGTAGTATATGATTTTTCTTTTTATTATTTGAATATAAAAATATTTTTAGTTTTATATTAAAAAAAAAAAAAAAAAGAAATTTGATTTGATTTTTTTGAGAAAAAAAAAAATTGGATGAAGAGTGAATTTGGGGAAAATCCCAAAACAAACACACCCTAAGTTCACCACCAAATTATTTCATTTTATATATAATATGAGATAGGATCATGCAAAATAACATAAATGTAACATTTATCATAATTAGAATGATCATTTTTGTTGAAAAAGAATTAGGTTGTTTGAATTTTAGATCGAATTGGAGAATAATAAAATTTTAATACAATATAAATAAATATTTAAAATATAAGATTAAAGTTTAATACAACTTTTAAGTAAAAAATATGATATCTTTTCCAATGATGAATAGAGAAATAGTACTGATATTCTTTTTTAAAAAATAAAAATCATAAATTAAAGGGTGAAAAGGTACTATAAAAATCACAACCAAGAATAATTAGCTACACCAATAAATACAAGGTGTGGTCGGGTATCTTCACTCCTTAGGCTATTTTTCGATTATGTTCCAAATTTTGTAAGTTAGTATTAGAACATTAATAATAACATGCCTAGAGATATAAGTGATTGTTTACTAACACAATTTTAAAATTTTGGATACTATCCATTAATAATAATAAAAATAATAATGGTTAGGGACATGGATAATAATAAGATTTAGCAGCTCTCACCATGGCATCAGCAGCACCAATTACCTTACCTTGTCAGCAGCAGCAGCAGCAGCAGCAGCATATCTCAGCCATCAGCATTAAAACTTACAACTAATTTCTCACCAAAACATGACAACGTCCACAGAATGATTAGTACTTGACGGCAAGACTACATACATATTTGTGTGCGCTCCCTCCCTCACTCTCTTTTAACTCTTATGATTTGAATACAAGGAAACAAAAATCTGTTCGCCAATAAATGCTAGGGAGGGCTTCTTCCCCCACCCCACCCCAGCCAGCCATTACTGTCTGTCTCTCCTAGACTCAGCTCACTGACTCTTCAATCGCCTCTGAAGCTCGGACACCAGCTCGCTTCTAGGAATTTCAAACTCATTTGCAGCAGCAACATCTTTCAGTTTTACAATTCCCTTACTCAATTCATGCTCCCCCACAATCACCATGAAGGGGATTCGAGACCCTATTGCGCGATCAATGTGCTTCATCACTCTTTTATTGATCATAAATGTTGCTTTTAGCTTTGCCTCCCACAATTCACTCACCACTTTGGCACCTAAAGACAAGTCATCACCTAGGATGCTCACTAAGACTTGAGTCTCAGTTGCTCGAATGTCCTGACACCATCCATTTAAATGTTATTAATGTCTCTTATATTAACAACACTTGATACACACTAATGGGAGAATTTGTCTGCCCCCACACAAACCATACGCTTCAAAGCAATTACAAGGACAAATCCTCAATCAAGTGTTTCTTAACTTCTTTCGTACACCACACATATACTTATCAGGTTAGCAATAAAACTTAGAAAATGAAATGCTACAGTAATTTTTTTTTTATGTAAAAGATCATCAAAAAAATTATTAATATTTCAGAAAGTGGAGGATCTCAACACAAATAAGATAGTAATACCTGATTTTTGTCTTTTTGAATTTGCTCCATAATGGCAAAAACCCTTTCGATTCCTAAGCTGATTCCAACTGCAGGAACCTGCTTTGTGCCAAACATTCCTATGAGATTGTCATATCGCCCACCCGCAGCAATTGAGCCAACCTGCAGATTAGATCCTTTAAAGAAAAGTATAAAAAGAATGATGCAAATGCGAGAACCACAATGAAAATGTCACTATCACGCAATAGCAGTTGAAATGATGGAGGAAGATAGTAGGAAAGACATACAATCACAATTAAAAAGCTTTTAAAGTGAAACATAAAAAATGTATCAGCATCATCTTTGTCCCACAGTACCTGTGCATCCCCCTTAAAAACAGTTTCAAATATGACTCCAGTATAGTAATCCAGACCTCTTGCAAGACTCAAGTCAAACACTACTTTACTAATACACTTTGACTCCTCAAGAGCTTTGAATAAAGTCTCTAATTCATTCAATGCAAGCTCGGCTTCACCATTGGCTAGGAACTCGCTTCCTTTCTGATTTAATTTGGACAGTAATTCAAGAGGAGATCCCCTTAGTCCAACAAAAGTTCCAATTTTATCTGCGATGTCCTCCATTAAACCCTTTTCATCCACCTAAGTGAAATACAAGAAATAAACGATTAGTGCCTTATTCTCACAAATTCCAGAGCCTACAAAAGAAGATAAAACAAATAAGAAGGCATTTTAATCTACTGTGTAAAAAAAAAGTTCCCAATATTTTTAAGCCAGCCTGCATTCTTAGGTCAATCAAATAGTCATCTAACATAATTGACAGACTCCTTAGACCCGGAGGAGTAACACTGGTCAATGATGACCCTTTATTTCAATAACCAAAAGCTTGCACTCACCATTTCCCTTTTAACTTGGTCAAAGGTCTGCTTGTCTAACTTGTCAATACTTGAGCAAATAGTTCGAAATTTTTCTTGGGGCACACCACAAATAGCCAGCATGCCATCAAGTAGCTTTCTATGATTTACCTTCACCTGCAAGGATACAGTGAAAAAAGCATAAACATGAATGTAGCTTCCAAAATTTAAACAAAAGATGTAAGTAGAAACAACCAAGCAACAGATGGGGTAAGTAACATAGCCGAACAAAAATTTCAGGCAAGTATATGCACAAGCTCAAGGAACTAAATGCAACACATCATTTCAGCCTACATCTAAAAGAGTAGTAACCTTTGAAAACTACCTCATAGTCTCCAATTTCAAGTTCATTGAGCAACTCCGTCACAATTTTTATGGCCTCAAAATCTGGTCCCATCTTTTCAAATTGGCCAGCAATATCAAAATCACATTGATAGAATTCTCGGAATCGACCTTTAGATGGGTTATCCCTTCTATACACTTTTGCTATCTGATACCTCCTGAATGATGTCAAACCATTCATAGCAACATATCGAGCAAATGGAACCGTCAAATCATAACGAAGTGAACAGAGCTCTCCACCCTGCATGAATACAACATGAATGCAGAAGCTAACTACAAAGAAGAAAATTATATAACAGTTTATAAGCAGGCTTAACACACATTCTAGCTTTATAACTGCAAGCCATATCAAACAGACTTTATAAGCTGAAAACCAATGAACAACAGATGGGCATTATAACTATATCTGCAGTGTTAAAATAGTGCACAGCATGAATTTCATCCAATATTGAGAGTATAGTATTCTGACTCAGCAGAGAGTTTTAGTGTTTCACTGGAGTAGGAAAGTTTAAAGTAGAACATCCACCATTTTCACAGTTTAAATCTTGGGGAAGTGGTTATTATAAGGAAAAAAATAAAAAGCATACCTGGTCAGCAAGGTCATAGATCAACTTTGAATCTTCTCCATATTTTCCCATGAGCGTCTCTCTCAATTCAAAGGCGGGGGTATCTAGAGCCATGGCATCATGCCTTTTGAAAACCTCAGTTATAATTGCAAAAGCTTTCTCTCTAATTGCCATTTGCTCCTTTGCAAAATCACGAGTACCCTGCGGAAGAACAAATAGATGTTTTCACTTTGATGCAATAAGTTTCTGTTACCATTTTCCTTTGATGGGATATAGCATTACCACATGAATTGAATTAGAGGGGAGGGCCTATCTGCCTTCATAAAATCATATTCATCAAGCTTGGAAATAAAATACAAACCTTGGAAATCATCTTGCTCAAGGCTTATGGTGCTTTACCCGGAAGAGTAATGACCAAATAAGGAAAGTAATCAAATAGCCATAGACTATGCGTGCACTCCAGAATCAAGATTTTTTTTTTGTTTTTTGTTTAATATATAATTATTATTCCTTATCCCTTTTGTCCTATTCCTAGACATATCCTTAGAGATGAGTGAAAGTAATAATCGCAAATTCACAATGCAATGAGCTTAATGTACCAAAAAATCGCAAAATCACATCTACTACAACTACACATAATCTCTTGATCAATAATGGAGAAAAATTGCAGCACAATACCTTTGGGAGCTTGGGAAGCCTTCTACTTTCATTGCTTTCAACAATCTCTTTCACCTTCACTAGGAGGTCATCAAAACCAGAAAATCTTAGATTCAGCAAGGTGAGGAAATCCCGCAGAAAATTTTCCATTTCAGTTTTTGTTGTCCCACTCAGCAACTTAGCCTTGATGAAGTGAATAAGAGCAGCGGTTCCTTTACCTGAAACCACCTTCCTTTTCTTTTCACTCTTTTTATCAGTCTTAACATTGTCTTTCCCAGAAGATTCACTCACGTTCCCATTGTCTCCTTGAGTTTTTTGAATGAAAATATCACTTCCTTCGAGTGAAATAAATGCTGCAACGGCCTCCCACGAAACAATCTTCCACACCACATCAAATAATTCATAAACAATGTGCAAAAAGGAAAGGTAACCCTTGTTTATAAGGGCAGATTGAGCAGATATGTACATTCCCACCAAAGAATCAGCACGTGGACATTCAGCAATAAATAATTCAGAGAGACGAGAACGCAACACAGCATCGGAAATTGAATTGGTAGCAAGTTGGGCGCGGTGAAAACTAGCTTCACCCAAACTAGACAGGGACAATGCCAAAGCCGACAATGCAGTTGAAATATCCTCAGCGGAACCAGCTCGAAAGCCAGAATTCAACTGAACTCTAGTTTTCGAATGAAGCAACCGTGAAATTTCCCTGAAACTGCCATGAAGTGAAGGAATTTTTGCTACTGATGGCTCCGTCACCTTTTTCCCGGAATTAACCAACTTTGACCCATTAAAGAAGACTTTAAAATCGGCGGCAACAGCAGCAGCGTCCTTGGGAGACGAACCATCCCCAGAGTCGATCAAATTGAATGGCGATATGTCCGCCCGCAAGGCTTCACAAGAAAGGGCCGCAACGGCATCAGATAAGGTGGAAAGAGCGGAAGAGCAGTGATCCAGAAGAGCAGAAACGGCATCCACAGCCACAGTGGGGAAATCCAGTAGGCTCGGATCGTGAGAAGCAACGCCGGTGAGGGTGTAATCAGAAGAAGTTAGGGCATCTTGGTCAAGAATTTGAAGGAGCTGAGTAGCTGCAGCGGAAGAAGAGGAAGAGAGCAACAGCTTATTTAAAAGGACGAGTAAAGAAGCCCGGATTTCCTCGGAGGAATAATAATCAGGGATAGAAAATGCAAAGGTTGCTGCCGCGGCGGGGCGGGGGGACTTGGACATGGAGGAGGAGCCTCGAGAAAGGGAGGAGTCGATGGAGACACGAGCAAGGCCGACGGAGAAGTCGAAGACGGAGGAGGGAGTGAGGGTATAACCTTTGCCGCCGAGATTGAGATTGAGGAGAGGTTTCCCCATGGCCAGGGCGGAGGGAGGCGATTGGAAGAAAGGAATGAATGAGGGTCTTGGGGGAATTGGGGTTGGAGGTTTAGAAATGAATTGCGACTGATGAAGAATGCGGTGACATTTATTTATTTATTTGAGCTTGGACCGGACCGGGAAACCCTAATTGGGATGGGAAGGAAGAACCGAAGAGTTAATAATTGTCACCGTAAGCGTAGGGTACAACTCTAAGATCCACAAGGAGTTGAAGAAGAGTGAGAGAGTAATCAATCTACGCTACACTTGCAAGAAGGATAGGGATAGGGATAGGGATTGGATGGCAAACGGGTTCGGATTCTGTAGCCACCCCCGAGTCAGCCCTCAATCCCTCCACCCATTGGGTTTGAGGCCCATCACATAATTTTATATATATATATATTTTTTTTTTTTATATTAAATATGATCAGTTAAATTTATTTATTTTTAATTTTTTAATCCCTTTTTTAAATTTATTTTGTTATCAGTTTTGAAAAAAAAAAACTAAATAAATAATTTTTATATTTCATCTAACAATTATTTATAACAAATATTATTATTTTTATTATATTCATTTTCTTAATTATTAATTAAAATTTTAAAAATACTTCCAATTATTTTTTTTATTATTATTACTATTCACTTTTATGGGACCTAAATAAACTAATTTTACAGGGAAAAAAAATGGAAGATATATACATGTTAATATAATAAAATAATTAAGTATTAAAAGCTGTATATTGAATAAAATATTAATATCAATTTATAATTAAATTGAATCCAAACATATTTTTTTTAAAAAGAAAAAAAATATTAATTAGTTTTTTTTTAATTGAATTTTTTTTAGAAAAATAAAAATGAAATTTGAAATATAACTTAGAATTTAATTTTTTGGATTTAAGATGATGGATCTCTAAACACCGAACTTAATTAATTAAATGAGCAAGTAAAAAATATGTCAAAAAAAAAAAACCCAATGATCCCTATTAAATTTCTTTTGAAATCGTTTGAAAATCTTTTTTCTTAATTATTGACGATTGTATAAACAATTTTCCTATGATAGTTTTTTTAACTCTCGTCTTTTAGTTAAACTTATCATGCGTCAATTGTCGGACGTTCATTGTTTTGTGGCCCCACGTATTTGGATAGACAACTATAACGTACAACGCAATTAAAAAATGTTGGTATTTAGCCACTTCTAATCAACTTCCAAAACATACCGAATCTTCTTGGATTCGGCCAATGTGGATCGAACAACGTTTAATTTCAATTGTTGCAATTTGAATCATGTTTTTGTTCGGGCACTTACGGGTGTATTCAATTGAGATTTCAATGGATTTTGTTGGATTTTAAAAAGTCTATGAATTTATAGTCTACGTTGAGTTTGATGGATTTTAGTAATTAATTTAAATGGATTTCTACGGATACGAGAGACTCTTTCATATACAAAATTTTCACAATTTTCCATTAAAATCTATTGACTTTCAAAGTTTATGAACGGTTGAATATCTCAAAATTATATATTGAATATCTCAAGATTTTATAGGAGTTTTAAAAGTTTGGATTGAATACTTTTAAATTTTAAAAGACTTTTAAAAGTTATTAATTGAATACACTCAAGATTTTGAAAGTCCAACAAAATCTTACAAAATCTATATTGAATACACCCTTAGACTTTGGTCCAGGGCTAAAAATAAGTTGATTGCCATCCAGTTGCCTTTACCAGCTTTTTTTACTTTTAAATTTCAAATTATTTCGTTTTTATTTTAATTTAATTACGGTTATATCTGCCAATATGGTGCAGATTTGACCATATCAGCACATTGTTATAGATTTACCAATATAATACTATCTTCCTCCAAAATTAAACTTTTTATTTATATTTGACGTTATTGTTTTTAATATTAAAAATATAAATATAATTTTTTTACGAATATAATTATATTATTATTAGAATACATTAATAGAAGTATTTTTACTATTTTTTAAATATATTTTGATAAAATAATTAATATTAAAAAATGAAAGAAAAAAAATAAATAAATGTCTAAATATATATATGATGAGCACCATTATAATATTCGGTCAGATGAGCACCATGTTAACTGGATGAAACAAATCGATCGGATCGATCGATGTCGCTACACCATAGTCAGTCAGCCAGTGGCGGTTACTCACCCTGGCACAGCAAACGGAGAAGATATGAGATGTTATCTTAATTACTACTACTCCCACAACAACAGCAAGTATTGTTTAATTATTTATTGTCAGTTGTCTGGCTGTCTGTCTGTCTTGTCTATCCGTCCGTCCTAGAAAGAAAAATATAAATATAGAATTGCAAATGAAAATGGGAGAGAAACAAACACGCCTAGGCTTCTCCAAATGTATCCTTCGTTCTATCGACAACCAACAAAGCAAAGAAAGAAAAAGAAACATGAATTTCCTGCCAACTTCCAACGAAAAATATGCAGGGCAATGCTGCGTGTTGACTCACTGACCGGACCGATTAACGTAAACCCTCCTCCCTCCCTCGGCCCTAATTTATTGATGAGTAATTGAAAGCTTGCCTTTGTGGCTTTGGGTCTGTGACTCCTCTCCTGTGTGCTTATGTGATGTTATTGCTTGTTCCAGTGAAACAAAAACAATTTTAACATAAACTTACCATAACAATTGACTGACTGACTGACTGACTGACAGACAAGAATCAGCAGTAGGAATCAAGAATGAATGTACTGCTATTACCACTACCACTACTACTACTACTACTAATCTAATCTAATCTTATATTAGTAGTAAGCAGTAGCAAGTAAAACAAATGAAATCCGCAGTCGTCGTCGCCGTCCTCCTCCTCCTCTCCCTCCGCTCTCCCCGACCGCACCCTCTTCGTTCCTTCCTCCTCCTCCTCCTCCTCCTTTTCCATCTCTCTCACACTGGCACCCACAACCACAACCAGGTAAGCGAATTCCCCACCCCCACCCCCCCTTTTCAGATTCACCCCTTCCTCCCTCCCTCCCAATTCCACAAAATTGAATTTGTTAATTCCCTTCTTTCTTAATGGCCGCCAAACCCTCCTCCACCGCCGTCACGCCCGCGATGATCCCCCAGAAACTGCAGCCTCAAAAGCAGGCTTCAATCGACCTCCAAGAGAAGCGAATCGAGGAGCTTTTATCCTTTCCGATCCTTTTGTCCGATCAAATTGCTGAAGCGGTTAACGAAGCCGACTCCTTTAAGTTGGACTGCTCAGAGGTTGGCAAGCAGGTGGAGCGCCTCTGCCAAATGCTCCGCTCCGCCGTTCGCCTCGCTACATCTACCACTGCCGGAGCCACTTTCTACGACCGCCCTCTGCGCCGCATCGCCACCGAGGTTTCCAAAAACCTTGACAAGTCTTTGATCCTCGTAAAGAAATGCCGCCGCCGGAGCATCCTCCGCCGGGTTGTGACGATCGTCTCCGCCGCTGATTTTAGGAAGCTTCTCTTGCTCCTCGAATCCTCCGTTGCTGATATGAAATGGGTTTTGAGCATCTTCGATTCCGGCGGGACTGGTGGAGGTATTACCTTACCGCCCATTGCTAGCAACGATCCCATCATTTCTTGGGTTTGGTCTTTTATTGCTTCCCTGCATATGGGCCAGTTGCCAGATAAGGTTGAGGCTGCAAATGAACTGGCTTCTTTAGCTAGAGACAACGACAGAAACAAGCAGATCATAGTCGAAGAAGGTGGGGTGTCGCCCTTGTTGAAGTTACTCAAGGATAGCTCATCCGTAGAGGGGCAAACTGCGGCTGCCTCCGCGCTTATGAATTTAGCCAATGATAAAGAGAGGGTGCAGACCATCATTGATGGACTGGGGATTCCAGTAATCGTGCAGGTTCTGGGGGATTCTCCAATGAAGGTCCAAATTAAGGTTGCCAATTTGGTAGCCACAATGGCCAAGCATTGCCCGCATGCACAGGAGGATTTTGCAAGGGAAAATGTGATTAGGCCGCTCGTCACATTGTTGTCTTTTGATTTATTCGTGGATGATCATAAGCTCAAGATAGGGAAGCAGAGTATTCATTCCATTGTTCAGATCAACAAGGAGATGGAGAAGAAAAATCTGTATAAGCCTGGATTGGGGTCATCCTTGTCAATGCATTATTCAGAGGGGAGTAGCAAGGGAGGGAACCACAGGAAGGAGAGGGAGAATGAGAAGCCTGAGGTGAAGCTCCAACTTAAAATAAGTTGTGCTGAAGCACTGTGGATGCTTGCCAGAGGGAGCGTTCCAAATAGTAGGAGAATCACCGAGACAAAGGGTTTACTTTGCTTAGCTAAGCTTGTGGAGACAGAAGAGGGTGAATTGCAGTATAATTGCTTGATGACGATAATGGAGATAACTGCTGCCGCCGAGTCTAATCCTGACCTCAGAAGGGCAACTTTCAAGACAAATTCTCCGGCTGCTAAGGCTGTTGTGGACCAGCTGCTTAGGGTGATCAAAGAATCCAGTGACCCGGGATTGCAGATAGCTGCTATAAGAGCTGTGGGTTGCTTGTCCAGAACATTCCCAGCCAGGGAGACGAGGGTGATCGGTCCCCTGGTTGAACTGCTCGGTCACAGAAACACGGATGTCGCAACAGAAGCTGCTATTTCACTCGGGAAGTTTGCTTGTCCAGAAAATTTCCTGTGTGTTGAACACTCAAAGACCATTATTGAGTTCAGAGGTGTTCCGCCTCTTATGGGACTACTGAGGGGGGGAAGCGAGAGGGTGCAGTTGCACGCATTGATGCTGGCCAGTTACCTTGCTATCAATGCGGGAAAGAGCGAAGAGCTGGAGCGGGCAGGCGTGTTGAATGCCATTGAGGGGGTGGACCGCGCATTTGTCGCGCAGCACCCTGAATTGAAAGAGTGGCTATCTCAGGCAATCATCCATCTCAGTGTGTTTCACCAGTCCCACTCTGGGATGCTCGCCCAAAGGCCATTTTAGCCCTGTTCATGTTCGTGTCTGTGTCAACTTTGGAGTCTGCATTGTTGTAGATGGGTGGAGTGGAGCAGGACACAGGTGCAACAAATGCATATTATCAATCAAACAACCAATCAATCAGGTATTGTGTGTGTGTACAAATCAAATGGACAAGTTTTAGTGGACGGGTTTTCATTTTTTTTTTCTTTAATCTGGGAAGAGGAATTGGATTGGTCAATTGGCACTGTAGTGGAAATGAAGTTCATGTCTTTCTTTTATCAATTGGTTTTGCTCTTTTGGCTCAATGAGACTTTTCCTTCATTCAGCGGATGGGGAGAGAAGGGCTTGATTTTCCCTGCTAGGTAGGTAGGTGGGTAGGTATAGCCTTTGTTTGTGGATGGATTGGTTGATGTTAGTCCTGATTATGGTTGGTATGGTATGGTACGGTTCGCAAGTCTATGTTATTGCCGGACGGTCGGCCTGCCAGCCAGCCACCAGAGGGCAGTAGTGTAGCTTATGCCAAGAAGAAACATATGGATGGCTATGGCAGGCTAGCGAAGGGGAAATCTGTACAATACCAAACTGCATCATTATCAACAGGTTGTCGTTGATCCACAAGTCAAAAAACTTAACACTCTTTCAACTGGAAGACTTTCCTTGTTATTGCATTGCAACAAGGAAACCAACAACTGTTGCATATGCTATGCCTAACGATGTTATAATAACATAATAGTTGCCGGTCACAATCACAGGAGCGGGTGGTAAACATGATCGTATCAGCGGGAGGAGGAAGGCAAAGCATGCCAGGAGTCAGCAAGAAACATTGCCCTGTCCCGCGAGCTGGAAGATAATTGATGAAGTATTACATTTTTAACATGAGCAGCTGCCCGTTCCCCGGCCCTTGTGGCCAGCTCCAAGTACACGACAGCCTTCATCATATCACCTTCCTGTCATAGCAACAGAATCATCAAAATCAGCTCCATCTCATCTCATGCGGCACTACTTAATCGAGTCTGAAATATTTACAGCAACTTGTAAACAAAGTATTGAGGGAGGCACTACTTAATCGAGTCTGAAATATTTACAGCAACTTGTAAACAAAGTATTGAGGGAGGGAGCGTTTTATCATTTCTACAGCGTGTACTGCTATGAGATATTTAGTGTGGTTTTGTATTACATACTGAGAAGAGACTGAGCCCATGCTCAAACTGAGCTTTGCAGTGACCGTGATCTGCTGCCTTCTTCATCCACTTTCGTGCTAACCTGTGAGACTTCACCAAGCCCTCTCCCATTAAGTAGCACAAAGATGTATTATACATTGCACGGACATATCCCCCTTCTGCAGCTCTTAGATACCATCGAGCCTGTCAGCGAGAATAATACCCAAAGTTTTTTTAAGAGACATAAAAACCAGTTGATGCATAATTTACTCTACATGGGAAGCCTTTAATCATAGTTGTAGTTCAGAAGCTATAGACGCTCTCAGGCACCACTTTATTTATTTGCATTTACATCCAGATTGAGAAGTAACACATTATATAAGTTTAATAGGCGATTGTGAAGAGACCCTGCAGGTCATTGTACAAAAACCACAATACACACAAAATAAATAAATAAATAAATACAGGATACCGCTTCTTGGAGACTTTGAGCCACTCCTTGACCTTGATGTAAACATAGTGCAAGTTGGTATTGAGCACGGACATGACCAGAATAAGAAGCCTTGAATAGCAATTTGATTGCCTCGTTTGCCTTTCGAGGACTCGCTGCAACATTTTACATGAGCATCAGCACATAGCCTAGAATGGATTGGATAGCATGGTGGTCATTCTAGTAGTTCCTATCTTCAGATAAATAAAAATGCATAAATAGGACACTTGTATATAAATCCTAGGCAGCCAACCCATGCACCCCAGCTTCAGTGGGTCTTGTTGTAAAGGGCATATGCATGTTACGGACAACCATGTCCAGGGCGACAGAAAACATCAAGGTAATTCCTCCAGGTCAAATGATAGATCAATTAAAGGGAATGGTTTCTTCACATGGTACTTGCATTTAGATGACCCAAAGCTAGAGTAAGGCAATAAAAATTGAGGTGATATAACAAGTGTTAGCATGCATGCTAATATATAGTTTGGGCCCATGAGCCAACCGACTACATGTTTATTGTGTGATCTATCTTATCTCCTCCACTTTTCTATTTTTTTTCCAGAAAACATTAAACGTCAGCGCATCCTGGGTAACAATCAGACAGGCCCTTGAGTAGAAATTTGCAGTCGTGAGTGATTGCCCAAAGCGCAAAATTGAACAGGTTACAAAATATGAACCAGAAACATCAATCAAATCAAATCAAACCAAACCAAACGAAAGCACTCTGTTAATCATAAGATGGATTTCATCAAAATTGGTTCTTGCTCCGTCATTCGTTCCCAAAAGGCATTTGGGCAGAGAAAGAGCATAATCGAAATGAAAGTGTCAGAGAACTCCAAATAAATTATACTGGCTGTAGGTAAATCAGCTTATCAATTTGCAACGCATGCAGAAGACTGTTAATGGAAACAATTTCTGTTCCGTTGCAACTTACATTCAAAGTGAATCAGATCAATCAATGGTAAGTAATATAATGCTAGCCTAAAGTACAGGGTAATCGACAACCAGGAATCAAAATATAAACACGAGGGGGAGGGGGAGGGGGAGTGGGAGGGGGAGGAGATACCTTGCAAGTAAGAAAGAGCTAGATTACACTGGCCAGCGGGGTCACCCAAGTCAGCGGCCTTCCTGTACCAAGCAATCCCCTCATCCCTTTTCCCCATTTCCCAATAGATCAATCCAGCGTCCACCATTGCCAGAGTTGACCCGCGCGCCGCCCCCTTCAAGAAGAAAGCCAAGGCCTTGCTCAAACTAGGCTTCACTCCACCACGCCCGTGCTTGAATTTCTTTCCGAGCCTCAAGAAAGCCATCGCCTCGCGCAAGGGCTTCAGCGCGTCCCTCCACGCTCTGCAGACGAGCGACGCGGCCCTTAAACTAGGGAGCGTGAATGACGCCGCGATTCTTGAGAGAACGTCATAGGGGAGCGCGGCGAAATCGGGTGCGGAGGACGACTCGATCTTGGAATTGAGGAACGGGAGGGGAGTTCTGGGCGTCTTCGAGAAGGTTGCGGTATCAGCGGGTGCGGGTCTTCTGATGAAGGGAAAGGCTGTGAAGTGAAGGGCGCTCGAACTGCGCGGCCACGTTTTCTGTTTCATTACGGCGGGGTTGGGCTGCCCCCGTCACGTCTACTCATGTAAACTCAACCCAGCTCAGCTGAGAAATCAGTCACTCCGTTTACTATTGTGCGTGCAGGAGAGAATCGGAGGGAGGAAGGAAGGAAGGAGGGGACAAAGAAGTGAAGAAAGAAAGGAAGGAAATGGACAAGTTGAAGACGGAGAAATAAATAGAAGAGGAATTAAGTATTCACAAGGAAGCATTTGTTTCTCATTCATTACATTTTGCATTTATTAGAGGGCAGGAGCTGAGGAGGAGGGAGACCATTTATTCATTTGTTATTAGCAGAAATCATTTACATTATTATTATTACTATATTACAAGCAAGCAACAGGAACAGGAACCGGAACGGGAACGGGAACGTCGGCGACTTTTATTTGTTGTTTAGAGGTAAATGAAAATGACTTTATAATAAATATCTTGGATTGATTGGTATAGATACATACACTAACTACACTACGTAGCACATTGCCACAGCCATCCAGTATTCCAGTTGATGGATGGATGGATGGATGGATGGATGACAATTACTACTACTACTACTACTACTACTCGTGCTGCCCTCGTCCCTCCCTCCTCTGGCCTCTGTTTCTTGGCAAATGGCAATTGAATCAATCAATCAATCACAATCTCTGCTTTCAGCGGGACAGGGACAGGGACAGGACAGCAGGCTGGGTTGTCTTGCTGCACCACCCTCCCTCCCTCAATCTTGCATTGCAACTGCCACTGTAAACCTGACCTGACAAACTTAACCCTCATACTCTCCTAACTTGGTCAGGTCAGGTCAGGTCATTCATTCATTGCCTCATCATAAATGATTTCTCTACAAGGCAAGTCAAATTACCAGACAAGTTGGATGTAATGTGCTTGTTTTGTTCATATTCTACAACTGCCTTTTTAGCCTTTTCCGTTCGTCAGTGTGTAACTACTATCACAAGTGTGGTACAAAACCTTTTTGTTTCGAATGAATCAGATCAAATCACATCGGATCATTACTTGTACATATTGGACTTGTTTATGTAACCTAAAAGCCTCTTGAGAGCCCTGCCGCTGTCAATGGCCTCTCTAGCTCTATCCAGAGCTGATGCTACATCTTCTGCACCATCACACCCCAGTAAATGATCTACCACTCCAGCATTCAACACGATTCGATCATATGCTGGACCTTTCTCACCTCGCAGAGCCGCCAACCCTATTTCTATGTTTCGAGACACCTAAAACAATGAACATGAATGATCAATGGCTCTCAGCTGGTCAGCCATTCATAAACTTGTCCTCTCGAGGATATCATCAACACATATGAACCTTGCACCGCTTATGAATAAAAAGGATTTTTTTGACTTACGGATCTGTCAGTTCTTGGAGTGTCAGATGGTTCAAACCCATACTCCTTTGCATCAACAACCATATTGAAGGTCTCGCGTGAGACTCCTATAACATCAGATTATTGAAAACCAAGAACACGCCAATTAAGTTTAAGTAGATGTATAGGCATGCATCACCATATCAATAAGAACAGAATCCTTAAGACGTAAGTAAGAGCACAGAGAAATGACAAGAAGCACACACCATCCACTGCTTGAACAGGAGACATATCCAGCGAGCGGAAACCTGAACAGTAATTAACAGGAAGCCCCTTGGATGCATTTGGCGACTTCCATCTTGTAGTCATTGAAAGAGCACCCTCCTCACCCTTTTTTCTCACAAAACAAGTCATCGAATATGCATATTTTTCAGTCATCCTGAAAAACAGGACAATCAAACTCAACAACTCAGAGCAAGACCGGAGCACAAAGTACCTTGACAACCAAGCCTGAGTGAACACCCCTTCTTCTCATCAGCATCAACAGCGATTCTTCATAGCCTTCATGGTAAAATCCAGCAACAATAGCTTCCCTACCCTTGGCCTAATGACAGATTAATTGGGAAGCAAAATATAATGAAACAAATTGACATAGGAGTGTGATATAAGAATCATTCTCACATAATATAAAGAATATTAACACCCGCATATACGTCAGAAATGTGGTTAATACAAACTTATATATATCTAACACCCATGCACTTGGAAGAGGAACAATTACAAAAATTTAGAAAAATGCAATTTTAAATAATAGGCTTACCCGTACAAATTGCTGAACTTTTTCTGTTGTTGCCAGCGGTGGGCGTTTCTTTATATGTTCTCTCAACTGAATTAATGAATATCTGGAGAAAGGTTTGAATCATTTAAATCTCAGGTGGGGTGCGGTTACAACTGCTCCTTTGAACATAGAATCTCTAATGCAGTAATGCAGCACACTAACAAACTAACAAAGTGACTTGTATATTACCAGCAATAATGCAGGAGTCCAGAAAGGATAAATAAATAATAATGGTCTACCATGACAAAATATAAGAACCCCAATGAAAGACAAATAAACAAACAAGGGGATCAGAAAGTTGTAGTTCAATTTTTTTTAAAAAAAAGAATTAGTAATCAACGCTGTAATTATGAAGGTGAAATAGAGAAGGAAAACCCTTTCTGGAGTATCCTCAACTATTCATGCTAAGAAATAGATAATGTTATACTGAATAATAGGAAACTATATGTATATACATTGATAAATATGAAAAACAACCTGGTATACTTATGATGTTGGCATAATAGTAGAACATAATTCAAAACACTTTCAATGTTGACATGAAGTATATAGTTATTCAACAGTGTCACAATTAATGTTCCAGTGCAGGGAAATATTTATACAGAACCTTGAACTCTATATTCTCAAATTCATCATGCCAAAGAGAATAGAGATAAAAGGGTGCAAGGAAGATTACTTACGAATAGTTCACAAAATAGCTGTTAAGATAGTCTAGAGGGGTAGAAAAAGAACATTGTGGAATATTATGCAATGTCTATCACAAGTAAAAGTTTAGAATGGGCATTGCATCAGATATGAATGATTAGATCCATACAATGATGGTTGAGCTTCTCGTTGACTTACATACGCAAAACCAGCATCTTCATCCTGAAAAACAGTATGAATAATTAAATAAAACCAACTTTTTGCTATGTGCTTTAACATGTATCTGCTCATACACACAACCACGCTTAAATGAGTTGTAGAGAGAGACCTCAAGAAGAAATTTTGCTTGCAAGGGAGTTAAGTGTGTATTGGCACCCATAAACTTCAGCATTTGCTCTTCTGTTATGCCTCCCTGAGATATTGAACTACAAATTAATGGGCGGTCACTACATCTAAGGTTTTCATTTGTTGAATCATATGTAAGGGAAAGCTCTTGTGACAAATAAATAGTCGCATGCTCAAGAGTAGCAAAGTATCATAGCTCCATGTGATTCATCTAAAGATTCAGGAGATACTATCCTAATTGCAACAAAAACTGAATTGTGACCTTGGGAGGCATCCAATCAACACCATGAAGCAGGCAAGATTCACCATAACAAGATCTAACTGCAGCAACAAAAAGCGTGCTCCTGAAGAAGCGCGTGTTTCCATCATAGGGTTCACCATAATGGGTCAATGATCTAACATCAGTGACTGGCACAGGACCTGCTTGATAAAATAAGAAAAACTAAATAACGAAAAAATAACGGAAAAGGAAAACAGGAATATGTCAATTCTCAGCCTCACTAAAATGACTAATATAAGTTTAAGATGAGGATGGTGTAGAGATTACCATGCTCATCATCAAATGCAAGGCAGTATGCTTTTAGCTCACGATCCGTTTCCCTATTCATCCGTTGGCCTATCAAAAACGCTGAAAACAGTGATTCATTCACAGTTGAACCTCTCTCAGAATTTAATGGAAGAACATCTCTCAGAACACCCTGAACCTCCTCATACCCCAGATGACCCCCAGCCAAAATTTCCCTGAGAGCGCCCACAAGCCTCATCTCAGAAGTCCCATTACCAACAAAACTGGGCCCTAGGGAACTACAAACTCCCATAAGCGACCCTTCAGGATCAGCTAAAAAGATTACATCTGGTGGAAGTACTCGCACTAGGTGTGGCCAGTAATAGTTCATTGCTCTCCTTTCACCCTCACTCCATTGGGTTGGCTCAGGAAAAGCATTTGCCCGAATTGTCATTGCAGCAAAAAATGCACCAAGTTGCGAATTGGATACTTCCTCCTCATCTTTGAGCTCTCCCTTAACTGTGATTGAACATATATTAAGATCTTAAGCTCTTAACCATAATACCAGCTGCAACAATACAGAAAATTACATCACACCTCCTACACTGATGTGCAAACTGTTTCATAGAGACTCCTTTTATTCATCATTGAAATTTACACTAGAGCATATTTAATCAAAGCAACTAGTATGAAATGTGCCTAATTTACTGGATAAAGTAGTCAATCATGCAATAACATAATGCCTACATAAATTAGCTAATTCAGGTAAACTCCAATATTTGTCCTCCAGCTCCTGACCTCACACCACCAAGACCTGATCATCCTAATTCCTAAGAGCAACGTTTTTCCTTTTGTGGGAAAGCAACCACTTTTACAGAGCAACTGTAGCAAGCATTCTAGCAAAATACTAACCAAGAAAATCAGGAAGTAGAGTAGTTATCATTCGTTCCAGAACAAATAAGAAAATTCATTGCAACTTCAGCAAGTCCTAGGAGGTGAGCATTCAATAATAATAATAATAATAGATGAAAAAAAAAACCCTAATATCTTGAATCGAACAACTAGCTAGAAGTAGGAACGTACCTGACTTTAAAATGGTGTCGAGGACCTTGAAAGCTTGTTCCACATTAAGCGGCCTGGTCTGAGACGGTCCAGTGCAGACCTTTGTCTGGGCCTCCAAAACAGTTCGATTGGGCGCAGAAAAGGACGGATTCCGATAGGATGTGGAGAGCGCGGGGTTCCGGATGTCGAATAGGTCGTGGGTGGCAGCCGAATCAAGGACAGCTTTAATTGAACAAGTCCGTGGTGCGGGTGCAAGGGGGAATCGAAGTGAGGTGTTAGGAGGGAGCATCCGGCGGCTTCTAGGTGCCTGGGATTGGGTTGGATACAGGTTCGATCGAGAATTGCACAGGGCTTTCATTTTCCAGAAAAAGTTTGCTTTCGGGTGGTTGGGGAGGTCGCTGATGGATGGATTGCGATGCAAAGTGGCCTTGGCTTATAAAAAAACACCAGATTTCTCTTGGAGAGAAACCCACATGTGTAGGTAGGTGGCTTCAGAGCATATACGGTAAAAAACTTGGATCTGTTTATGTGGCCGTCACCTTATTATTACTTTTTCCGACTTCACCATTTGAGTTGAGGCTATAAAAAATGATAGTAATTTTTCTTGTCTTCCCAAATTAGGCCAGTTTTTGTTAGCCTTAATAAAAAAGAAAATAAACCGGTATTGAATTGAGGAAGCCATGGATAACTAAGCCAAGCCAGTCAATACAGGAGCATTGATACCGGTGATCTGCAGTCGTTTGAATGGATGGATATCGAGGTGCTTGATCATTATGTACGTACGCACGTACGTATGTATGTATCAGTTTACTTTTTAGTAAAGAGTATTTGATTACTGTGTAGTAAGTATTAAGTATTAGCACATTTATTGAACCTGCAGACACCGCCCAGAACTGACTAATGTAAAGCCAGTTTCCCTCTCCAACCTATTTTTGTTTTCATTTCATTATATGTGTACACGTGCTTTGTGTCATCAATTTTATTCATGAATATGGATGATGAAGTAAATTAATTAACAAAGAGCTAGTTTGTTCGCATGATTAACACACACATATCTTAGATTATATTGTTGCAGTTGGATTGAATTATCATTTTAAGTACATGCGTGCAGTGTATGCATATTTCCACTCCAAAGAGATGAATTCACATCACGCAAGAATTAAGATGTATAAATAAATTCCAAAACTGGCAGGCAGACAGATTGTGTCGTCTAAGCTGCATGCAGTAAATTAAGATACAAATGTATATTATATGTATATGATGCGCAAGAATTCCGTTCATAACATATATATAAGCGTCTAAATATGTATGTAAGTAATATTATCCAGCTACCTAGCTAGCTAGCAATGGAGGTAGCCAGGCAAGCAATATTAATCATGCATGCACCTAGCTCCTTATCCATGGATATATATATATATATATTGATTCCTAAAGCAAATATTAATCAAGTAGAAAGAAAGCAGCAGTGGTAGTAGTAGTAGTGATTATGTATTATATTGGGCGGCCCTAGATATGGGAGGAAGGGTGGATGGATCTGAGTGAGTGAGCGAGTGAGTCTGGAGTATATATAGATATAGATATAGATATGGGTAGATGATGGTGAGGAGGAGGAGGAGGAAAGGAGTTCATATATCAATTAATTAATCAATAGATTAATTGACAAACCTGCACTTGTTCCGCACCTCCCCCCGCTTGCCGGTGAGCACCTCGATCTGGCTGAGGCGGAGGATGGCGTCGGTGAACTTCTTGAGCCAGAGGTCCTGGTCGTCGGCGTACTGCTTCATGTAGCCGCTGGCCTCGGGCAGCTTGGCGAAGTTCTCGTCGGACTCGAGCAGCGCCCGGTTGCGGAGGACCTCGGAGTAGAAGCGGGCGTCCATCTGGTTCTGGGAGTAGGGGTTGAAGGGCACCGTCTGCTGGGGGCTCTGGCACACCGTCATCCCCAGCATCTTCGTCACGTACCCCTTGTCGATGTCCTTCGACTTCACCGGGTCGCGGAACCGGTCCGCCACGCTCGTGCACTTGGCCGTGCCGATCGAGTGGGACCCGATGAACACCACGATGTCGTCCAGGCTCATGCCCTTCCGCGTGAACATGCCGATGATGTCCGGCACCGGCGTATTCGGGAGGGGCAGGTTCGGGGCCACGTTCGCCGCCAGCGACACCCGGGCGTCCCGCCGCCCCGCCGGCACCTCGAAGAAGGGGGTGCCCGTGTAGTTGAGCGCGTCCCGGGTGGCAAAGGCCAGGATGTCGGCGCACGACACCACCCCGGGGCACGCCGCCTCCACCCGCTCCTTGATCTCGTCGACGGCGTCGTACCCCTTGATGTTGGGCCCGTTGTGGGCCGCCACCTTCTCCACGTCCTCGTGGGTCGGGTTCTCGTCTAGGAGGATGGACGCGTCGCACCCCTATCCACCATAGATATAGATGAATAAATGAATGAATGAATATTAATTAGGGTTACATCAATTCAATCAGGGTTCATTCACTCCTGCCTTCATTCATCGTTACGTACCGTGACGAAACAGTCGTGGAAGAAGAGGCGCACGAAGCCCGGAGCAAGTGTGGGGTCCTTGAGGAAATGTTGCGTGAGGACCTCCTTGATGATATCCTCCGCCTTGGGGCAGGTTTTCTGATAGAACCCCACCTCCAGGGGGACGGGCGGGCCCAGGTCCACTGGCTCAGGAGGCGGCTGCGGCTGTTGGGGCTGCTGGGGTGGTTGTTGTGGTTGCTGGGGATTGTTAGCATTCCCCAGACCCCACGGTGTGGGGGGGTCTTCTCCCACACCGCCGCCGCCTCCTCCACCACCGCCACCGCCACCGCCGCCGCCGCCGGCTGGACCAGCGTCTGGACCCATATCTGGTTGGGATGACGCCAGCTGAGAAGTAATGATCATGAGAAGGAAGAAGAAGAGCGCGGGGGCTGGGAGGAGGATCCGTCCTCTGCCTGCTGCAGATGCCATACTCGATCGATGATATAATATATGTATATAAATGATCTTCTTGTATCTATCTATCTATATATGTGATATGATGATTAATATTGCGTGAACAGCTACTAGTACTAATCAAATAAATACTAATAACTATTGTGTGGGTTGGGCAGGGCGTGCTTCTTCTTCTTCTTCTTCTTCTTCTTATTATTATTATTATTATTATAGTGATAGTGTTTGAACGAATGAATGAATGAATGATGTTGGTTAACGCAGATGGCGATGATCTGGTTATTGGGCATGCATGTGGAGAGCGGGTTTTATTTATATATATAGGCCATAGGGAATGGAAGGTTGATGGTTGATTTGGGGAATGCATGGATCGAGAAGGACACACTTGGTTGGTGGACCTTGAAGCAGATATTGATGGATCGGTGCATGCATGGGACAACTGAGAGAAAGAAAGAAATCAATTCATTAGAGGGCATCCGTAATTTTAGCTTGATCTTGCATAACCAACTAACTAAATAACTACCTAACTAACTGCCCTTCCCTCCCATTCACGCGCGCACACTCACATATCTGCTATTAATTAATTAAGGTGCTCATCAGTTCACTCGATCAACTCCACTCCCAGCAGCTGTGCATATCCTCACTTCCAAACTTTGACCTAGTATTGCTGAGAGGAAGATGCAGATGGACGCCGAGTCGGCGGCGCATCAACACAGGGTGGCTAGCATAGATCTTCAAGATGTTCCAGAACCTCCTGGAATATTCCGGAACTTTCTAGAAGTTCCAAGATCGCCCCTCAACCGAATTGATGATTATCAACTAGATTTAGATTATTTATATATCTTTACCTGTAGGTTGTTAAGATATAGCATATCCAAGTGTGAATTTGATAAGATATGACGTATCGATATAGCGTATCCATATTAGAGTGCCTATATATAAGAGGGATCCTCACTTGTACTTCACTTTAGTTTTGAAAGTTAATAAAACACTCTATTTTGCGGGGTGCATCTTATAGTCTTCTTACTTTAGCGTGCGTTAGAAATGTGTACAAGGCTATACTAACGATTTCGAGAGAGAGTCGAAGAATCGCTAGGCCGACGGGAAGGTGTTCGAGGAGGAACCATCCTACCCAAGATATATATATATATATCATTATATAATAATGGTAGCTATTCAATCAATGTCATGCACGCATGCACGGACGTTGAGTGTGATGCCACTTTCCGCTTGATTACCTAGCTTAGCTATCTAACTTCATTTTCGTGTATCCTTATATACTATATATGAATAAAAATTTGAATCAAATTATAATTAATTAATAATAATAGGATTAAGTCTGGTCAGTTGGTGTTATATATATACGGGGAGTTTGGATTTATTTTTAATTAATTTGAATGCGTGATTTTTATTAATAGTGTGTATATATATAGTTTAAGATTATTAATAGTGTGTTATATATAGTTTAAGATTGTATAATAACTAATTAATGATTGAGGTATGTTATAATAAGGGTGTGTTTTTTTTTTTTGATGAGTTTGAAAAAAAAAAATTTGGATTTGATATGAAAATAATATTTGATGGGATGTCTTGTGAGTATTTTTTTTCAAAAAATACAAAGTTCAAATAGTAAAATTGGAAAAAATTTTGCAAAAGAGACGTATCCTTGGGGAAGAAGTGTCTTTTTTTTTTTTCCAAAATAGTTTATGATCAATTTCTTGAATATATATATATATATATATATCCTAGAGAGAGATTGAAATGACGGGAGGTAGCTGTAGCGGTGCTTGCCCGTACTTTTATTTTATCTTCTAGGTATAGATATTAGTAACATTTATTTCTAACGGAGAAATGATATTGATTTATATATATATATATATATATCTTGCCTAGTCCACGGTGCCGGTGCCAGTGCCAACAAGTCTTCTTGCTGTTGTTTGTACCCAGAAAATGTGTGATTTGGATCGTCAATCCATAATATAATAAGATAATATATCAAGTTGCATTTCAGAACTGCAGCTATTTGATGAATGCCAAGCTAATTAAGGCAGGCCCTGCCGCTGCGCATTATTGTAAATTATAAGTCTCTCTATATTTGTCGGTGTTTAAGGAAAGGTGAAGTTGGAGCATCGTCATCGTCATCGTCATCATCGTCATCATTTGTCATCATTATCATCCTCCTCCTCAGTCCCTCTACAGAGTGCAGTGTTGATTCTTCTATATATGTATGTAGTAGTGGAGTGAGGAGTGCAAGTTGCTCCTGATGCTTCTGTTGTTGCATTTATTATCATTCCTACTGCTAATGTTTACGATAGATAGATAGATACCAACATTTTTGCTACTTAAAAAACTCAAATTCCCGATTCATCATTTCCCACTCTCAATCAGGCTGTGTGATCTATTTCCGCACCTTCACCCCTCCAATATTCAACAGATACCTTGCCTAATTAATGTTCCTCTCTCTCTTTATCTGAAATCTAGTTTGTCTTTGTCTTTGTCTTGTAACAGAAAATGCATCCGACCAATCAAAACTCCATAGACAGATGATTACACAACAAGAAAGCAAATCTACAACCAATAGGATTTTGCCTGTCATAGACATGTCAGCCTGTGTTGTGTGTGTGACGAAGCCATAGATGTACGTACAAGTAGTAGTAGTAGTAGTGGTTAGTATTTCTTTCTTAATAACATCTCTGTCTCCGTCTGTCTGTACGTCAGTTACTTAGCCATTATCAGAGGTCTAGAAATGAAGCACATGTATACAACAAATACAAAAGATTGGTCTCATCTCCATCTCCATCTCCATCTCCATCACCCCTCCCCCTCGAATCGTTAAGCATTGTGTTTACTAGTCGACTACTGCTGCACTTGGTTTGGCATGGTTTGAGCCTTCCTCATTACATGCTTCCTACAGCGCTCGAAAATGCTGTCGTATATCAGATCGAATTGCACTCCAGCTCTCTCTCTATTCACAATGAAAAGGATGTGGTCGCCTTCCACCAGCTTGTAATACCTGCAAGACATTTGTTGCAGTCTTAGTGGAAAGAAAGACCTTCCTTCCCCATAGTGAGAAAATGAGCATGGGGGTGGGCAAAGAGACAGACCAGATGCCAGGCTGTAAAGGCTGGCAGTCGGAATCCTTCACAACAAAGTAGCTTGGGTGTTCCACAGGGAAACGCGGGTGTGTCATGGATATTGTGTTGAGGGCTCCATCGTTGTCCCACCAGTCTTCATCCCTGTAAATTCACTCAACACTGTAGGGTGAACTAGATTCGAGCTCATCCGAATGAACATAAGAACATGCACGGCCTAATGAATAACAAGAGAAAGGAGACTGGCGGAGACCACAGCACTCACCGATAACCCTTATAAGGAGGAGTGACATCAGTGGGGTGTCGCCATTGGCTCATCTGCAGGACTCTAATGAATAACAAAGGGTGTATCCCAAGAAGGCCGGAGGGCACAGTGACGCCCAGTACTTTCCTTGTCCGCTTGGTGGCATAGCTGAAGTAATACGTGTCAGGATATGTATTTATCCGGCTGTTCAATTTGATGGATCCTTGGATTGTGAGGTCAGGGAGGATCCAATCTCCGGTTGCAAATGGACCACTCTTCCCCATTAGACAACCAACAAGACCCCAAATGCCTAACTTCTTCCTGGAAATGTTGAAATGATCAAATCCGAAGTTGTAGTAGTCCTTCAGCCACTGAACATCAAACCAATCATAGAGAATTACGCCAATGCGGCACAGCTGCAGCAGACAGATGGGCTTCAGCGACTTGCCATCCTCTGGCCTGTTAAGAGGGGAGAATACAAGTAAGGATTAAATCAATCACAACAACACTAAGCTGCCTGGCTGGGAGGAAAAGGGAGGGGGAGAGGACTAATAACAAGTTTTAACTTTCTCATTTCAAAGCAAGTGAAACTTCTATCAAATAGATAGATAGATAGATAGATTAAGCAAGCACCCGATTGGATTAGGTTGCACTGCAGAAATTTATAATCTATCATGGTTATAAAGGGGATAGAAAAAGACTCACTGCATTCCATCCAGGTAGGCTCTTGTTGTACCATTAAATGCTCCGGACAAGGAGGTTATGCTTAGAACCCAGTTGGGCGATGTGTTTTCGTATCCACTGAATGCCTGAAAAAATTACACGAATTAGTTGCACAACCTCTGAAATAGTTTTGAAGTCGCTCACTGCCTGGTAATTTGGTAACAAGAAGACAATAACCAACCTTATCGGCAAGCATTTGTTGCAGGACCCGGACAACCTGTGCCCCTGCCGAATGCCCAACAAAGTGGATTGGGTGATCTTCATCCCATTCTGGGTAGTGCCCTGCATTAGGCCAATCGCATCAATCAGATATTGATTGATTGCCAGAAAGAATACATAAAAACAAAGGAAGAACAAGAAGAAAGGTGTTGTGCTGCGTTGTCTTGTGTGATTAATGACAACTAATGATAATCATAATCATAATCCGACCTTTCTCATAAACTCTGCCGAACCGTGAGTGCCCACAGGCCTTGCTATGTTCTTCTCCGTAATCAACTTGCCCGCCTTTCAGGTAATAGAACAACTCTCTTGCCCTGAATCCAAAAACCCACAAAACAAAACATGGAACAAGAATCCGAGAAGTGCCATGTTTAGGCAATGAATTAGAAACCAACCAACCAACCTGTCATAGATGCTGGTTAGAGAGCCCAAATCCGGCACGAGAACCCTCTCGTCCTTCTTCTCTGCTCCAGAAAAATACGACAGGCCTCCTAATCTCTGTACAACGGGAGTCGACGAAGATTCAATTTTGAAATCGCTTCAATGCGACAAGTCAAGAACCCTAACATCAACCATGTATGTGAATGCAAGGAAATGGAAATTATGTGTTCATACCCCTTTTCCGAACCCAAAAATTCCGTGAACTAATACAATGGGAGGTAAACCGTCAACGTTGGTGGACTTTATGGAATCCTCCTCCCTCCTCAAACCATCGGCCAAATTAGGATTGAAAATCCGATCACTGAGTGCCTGAGAGAGATCCCCAGCCACAGCCGTGCTGAATATGTAAAATCCATATAACAAATGCACCAAGCTACTCACAAACAACTCTGCCAATTGGAGGGTTGATGTCCACCAGCTAATCATCCTTCCCCCTTCCAAAACAATTTTCAAATGCAGGCACAGATGAAATTTGCACGAAAGAAAGATAGAGATTATCTTGGAGAGGATAGGCCTTATTCAAGGGAAAAACAAGAGAAGGCCCTTTATCAATCAATCAGTCAATCAATCCAAGCACCCCCAGCGCTTGAATCGTGAGTGAAATCAAGAAGCACCTCGTTCTCAATGACGAGGTACAACGCTGGGTTGGGTGGACAAATTTTGAAACTTTGAAGGAACCTACCTACTTGTCCTTGATATGATATGTGTGTGTAATGGAATGTAAGGGAGGGGGTATAAAAAGAAAAAAAAAAAAAATTATTTATTTATTTGAAAGTATGGGAAAGAAGAGAAGTCACCACCCCACGATTTCCACATTGGTTACCATTCGTTTATAGCAACAAGAAACGATTTGTATTTTTCGGCTGGAGCAGTTGATTCACCAAATTCTTCTCTCCACACACACCCAATACCTATTTTGTTTGTGTTCTCCTCCCTCTATCGTCTCTCTCTCTCTCTCTCTCTCTGCCCCCAATCCAAAAACGAGGGTGGGGTCAAGAAGAAGGGAATATGCGTGCCAGAGTGTTGGCCGCTGAGAAGAAGAGATTTCCCGGATTTCCGGGACCCACAATTAAAACTGACCCACCCTAAATTACATGAACACTAATAATATAAACTAACTAGTATATAGAGACATACATATTCTGGGTCGGTCTCCGTGTCTACTAGAAGAATCCAACACTTGCTGCTGCTGCTGGATTTAGAGAAGACGAATTAACAAGTCAAACACACAGGAGTTGAGAAGACGAGATTTTAGGGGTGGGTTGGGTTGGGTTGGTTAACTGTGAATTGACTGACTGACTCACTCACTCACTCACTGGAGGGGGAGTAGGAGGAGGAAGGAAATTGGATTTGGGTTGGGATTGGGTGGGAGGGTGATGAGGTGGCGTGGAGGAATTCGCTGGAAGCATCACAAACTCCACAGCTGTCCTGCCCTGTCCGCCCCCACTTTCCTTGTTGGCGTTTACCCAACCAATAATCACGTCCGCTGCGACGCGTGTACGGTCAGGATTCGTCCCTCCGTCCTTGCTTGAATGCCTAAGGAATAGCAGCAGTAAAGTAGTAATTTGGTTGATGGATGATGAATGCTCATATAGATCATCTCGTAATACTCGCTCATTCGTGTCGTTGGTGCCGTGGCAGAGAGATCTTGAGGTAGCCCAGGAGAGGAGAGGAGAGGAGAGGAAACTGTCCTCCTTTCTTTCACGCCACCGATAATGAATAATGAATTCCACAACTTCCTACCAAAAACATATGGATACAACCGGCAGAAAAATAGATACAGTTTCAAAGTCCGATCAAACTCAAAACAAAAATTGCGATTCAAGCGGATTTAATAAAAAATTAAATATATATATATATATATCATCAAAAATAAAATCATAATTTAATTGTTTAATTCTCATCTTACCTACATTATTAGATAATAGATTTAATTTGAATTGAGCCTGCTCTCCCAAATCCAATATAAAAATCGGATTGGGCCGGCCCGGAACAGAATAAAAATGAAAATTACAAAATTGTTTACCTGGGACACCATATAAAATGCGCTCATTTATTATATATAGATAGATACATTGTTCTGTAAGCCGGTCCTGTGCCTGTGCCTGTCACGTGAGTTGCCATGGACCGATCCATCTATCCACCCACGGGCATATGATAACAGATAAGCCCAAACTCAAATAACATAAAAAGTAGCATCACTGGGACTGGGCTGGGCTGGGCTGGGCTGGGCTTCCTCACCATCCGTTCATCAGTGGATCCTTTGACGATATACAGATAGTGATAGTCGCCGTAATAAGAGACGGACAGACACACCAAATATATATACAATAAATAAATATATTAACAGGTCATATCCTTTCCCCTTGTAGATAGCTTTCCGACCCGCATAGCTAGCTATATTTTGTATGTAAAGATTGTAATAATTAAGTTGATGTTTTGCAAATCCTAACATAATTAATTAGTGAGAATGAGTTGTCTGCGTCAAGCGCGCACACGTACACATAGGTTAGGTTGGTTTGCATGGAAGGAGGGGAACTGCCAACCAAGTCTAGACTTGTAAAAATCAAATGGTCATCCGCTTGAGGTTTATGATTTGGATTCGAATCCGAATGGAACGTGCGTGGGGCTAAGCATGAAGGGAATGAAAGAAGAAAGGTAGGTAGGTAGGTTTTGTTAATTGAGAGAGAGAGAGACAATTGAAGAGAATGTGGGAGCCAATCATATCCACCACTTCCACGTAGCCTAGGTACCTCCCAAATCCCGATGGGATTGTATAGAATAGAATAGAATGGACCTCACCTCACCTTATCCCATTGAATTATTACTTATATGGTGTGCTGCTTTGTGTTTGTGTCTGTACACTAATTAACACATGCACCTGTGCCTGCCTGCCTGCCTGCCTGCCTGCCTGCTAGCTGTAGTATGTCCTGTTATTATCATCATTGTTAATTGTTATTACTACAAAGGTAGGTGGATTCATTGAAAAGGGAGGTACACGCTCGCTTACTTAAACTAAATAAAAATAAAGGAGAAGAAGAAGGGACAACTGAGCCTGAGTCAGAGTCATATATGATATAGTACTATATTAAGTCGACTTTGTTCAGAATTCAACTCAACTCAAGTCCAATTACATTTACTAGTAGTACCAGCAGCAGCAGCAGTTGTGTGCTAGTATGATTTAGTAGTATACACGCAGATGCAACACTCCCACTCCCACTCTTCTAGTTTCAGATGATCTGATCTGATCTGATCTAACCTCCTAGTGTTCTAACTAAGGGCATCTGGGATTCCTCCCTGGACCCCCGTAATAAAAATAGTTGCCCCACACCCTGTTCATCCCTCCTCTGATGCTGTAGCAGTTTGGATGGTCTGCCAATAGCCTGAGATTGGAGGCCGGGATCAAACTGTTGCCCCAGTCCACCACCTGTACGTTCCTGAAGTAAGACGCCCTCCCGAACCCTTCTCCAGCAAAATGCCCGCTCCCCATTTGGGTGGTCGTGTGCATTGATGCTGCTGCTGCTGCTGATGATGATCTAATTGCATTGTTCATCCTCGCCCTCCTCCTCCTCCTCCTCCTCCCCCTGCTGCTGCTGTTTATAATCTCCCCACCGAATTGGATCATGGTCGCATGGCCCCTCCTAAGATGCGTGAACAGGAGTGCTGGCCAGTACCCCACTAGAACCCCCCCTCTTCCATTACCCAATTCCAGCCACCAGTGCCCATGCTTTGGATCCTGCATATATGTACAGTTTTAATCAATCATTTGTATGTCATACGATACATTATCAATCATTATAGTAGAATATAGTGTTTGTTTACCTTCCAAACTAATAAGCTGATGTCAAATTGGCCTCCCCTGTATGCAGAGATGGGAGATATCGCAGCCCCAACTGCTATTCTATTGTTAGTCTGGACGAAACCTGAGCAGAGCAGATTGTAACACCCTGTTGCCTCGTACGCATCGGTCTGGAATGGAATCATGGATCGGATCATGATGCACATAACAAACACTACTACTCAAGTAAATTCTTGAAGCCCTAGCTAATTAAATACTGCTCCACTCAATCACAATTCACACATGCATGTTAAGTGTTAACATAACACTAGCTACTACTTAGTACTTACAGTCCAGTATGTGAAGAATCTGGGATGGTTGTCGCCATAAAGCTCCGGGCTAACCTGCCAACCGGCTTCAATGGTGTTGAGGTCATTGGCAAAGGAGCCTGCTATGACCCATATCTGTGATAAGCTGAACTCGTACTGGTTTGCAACCCGAGGAGCCCACACATTGATGCTTGCTTTCGCCCCGTAGTATTCATTGCCACTCACATACCCCACTGCATGCTGTATTTACTTATTACTGTAATTGCAATTGGATCCACAACACAACACAACACGTCCTACTTTCCAAACAACCACCCACCCACCCACCCACCCATCAAAATTACATTAATCAATATACTACTACTTCTTACAGGCTGGCTGGCTAATCGAGATCTGCTAGATTAAAACAGCAAAGATACGTTTGCGTTGCGTACCTCATGACCGTAGCCGGAAGAGTCTCGCCTGATCACAGGCCTTCTAATTGCCTTGCGTCCAAATCTTCTGATAGAGCTCGCTCTCAGGACATCTTCTTCACTTGTTCTTCTTATGGGAATGGTGCCTTCCGGACAACACTCGCCGGACATGCTCCATGCCTGAAACTGATGAAACTCAAATTGTTCTTCTTCAACCGCGCCGCTCAGGTGCCCTTTTGGCCTTTCCGGTGGATCCAGCTTGCAGTGCGCACATAATTTCAACAATGACAACACAAAATTAAACAACCTTTTTGCTTATATATATATATATATATATATACATATATTCACTACTACTAGTGTTAGAATCAACCAAGTAATCTATGTATGAATGTATGTATTGCCTACTACCATGATCGGTTTCTGTCCTTTTAATCGAGGATGATCAAAAGCTGGCTGTTGGTGAGATAATACGCAATCTATGATATCACCATCAGGACTCTGAAATTAAACAATATGATAGGTGATGATGGGTGGAATGGTTGATAAAAAGCAATTTTAAGGGAAGGTGGATAAAATTGAAATATTTAAATATACACATATGTGTTTGTGCCTGTGTAAATGAAAAAGGATGGTGTGAATTCATATATATGTAGGTATATAATTCAACAAATTGCCTGAATTGTCTTGACAGGAGGCCTGTTGATGTTCTTCAGATGGGCTCTGATGTAGTTGAGCTTCTTGTGTCGGGTTTGATTGAAGTCATGGGGTGATGTTGATGTTGGTGTTGCTTGGACTTGGGGGCAACCCAACAACACTGAGAAATACAATAGGAAGAAAACAAAAACAGAAACAGAGATGAGTGCTGGGTTGACGTTGCAGCAGCTGGAAGTTGCTGCAGGTGTGGGACTATTAATTCTACTAGTTTCTTCGGCGGCTTCGATCCCCCCAACTGTTTCTGTTTGTCTTCTTCTGCTGCATTTGGATTTGGATTTGGATTGGTGTTGTCCTCTTGTGAAGGGCAAGATGGTGGTGCTGCAGCACGGAATCTCAGACCCAGCTGGGGCTGGGAATCCCCACTCCATCGTCAGTCGGTCAGTCTCTGTTGCAGTCTTCCCTTGTTTATATGTATTCCGTGTGGGAGAGAATGGGAGTAACAGCACTTGAAGACAGTTGAACGAACAAGATGGATTAATTAAGGAAATCAGAATGAATGAATGAATAATACCAATCAGGATCAGGGGAGAGATGATATTAATGCTGGTAAATTATTCAAAATGTGGTGGGCACGTGGGTCGGGAGATATAACATGATTACGTTGGGGGACGCGACTGGGGCATGCACTATATATATATATATATACATACATCTATATCTATAATCGATCATGTGCATGTGTGTGTGTATATATACATATTCCATATTAATGGCAATGGCAATGGGGGGGGGGGGGGGGGGGGGGGGTATTCATTCAGTCAACTACAACACTTTATGGGATTGGGGAAGGAAAGGGTACTATTATATATATATATATAGATACATGCATTTTGTGAAGTGTATAATTTATAAATTAATACGTGCACTAGTGCTGTTCTCTCTGTTGTCTACTACTCACTCTTGCATGCATGCATACTGTACTGCACTGAACCTAATACTATTAATCAAACTTTGATGTAAATGTAAGTATATACCATGAGTACATGGGAAGGAAGTCTGCTATTCTTTGCTTTGGCAGGCAGGCAGGCAGGCAAGCCAGCCAGCCCTATATGCTATGCACACGCACACGAGAAGATATCATATCATCATGATGTCGTCTAATACTGACCGTTAAGAAGGAAGGAATTCATTTGGAATTCAATTTCAAAACCTAAAATGTGTTATCCTCCACCTTTATAATAATTCATTTGGAGTTGCTGACATTTTCCGGAAACTCAACAAATTAGTACTCTTCTAATGTCTTATATATATATATATATATATAATCCTGGATGATGAAGGGTTGATTTCATGCCATGCATATACATGTGTATCATCACTCACAGTTTGAGCCCACTTGTTTTAATTTGTCACAATAATAATTAATCCACCCACCCACCCACCCACCTTTATTCTTTGGAGTTGGAGTGGGATGGAGGGATCGGAGTATAAAGATACGACAGACGGACAGACAGACAGACAGATGAGATAATTAAGAATGGCATCATCCCATCCCATCCCATAGAATGCAAATGCAATCATTCTGTCCTCCACTCTCCTGCAACTTATATACACACACACACATACATATCCATCATCACCTTAAATTTTACTTATGTACGTATGTTTTTTTTGTTGACCGAAACGATAATGAGTACTGAACCGGACTTTAATTTTGAGAACAGATATGAGCGTTGAGCACAGTGATTCAATTCCTTTGATTTGATTTGATTTGTGGCACTATAAATTAATCCACATCAAATCAAATATATATATATGTTAATGCCTTCCATGTTTGCTTAATTAACTCAACTTAAAAGCCCAGCTGCCCCCGCTCGCCCTAGCTAATTACTTAATTAATTATATTGTGGAGGAAAGTTGAAACTGTGATCTAGCTGCGTACCAAGATAATCGAATGCATGGATATATACATATACAACACAACAAAGCCAGCGGGGGATGCATGGTGTGTGTATGTGCGTGCCGATTAATTGCATCCCTATCCCTGGACATTGAAATAATTAATGATACAACAATTAATAAAATGTAGGAGCAAATTAATTTTGATTGCAATCAATATATAATATATAATCATGACAATTGAATATATATATATATATATATACTTTAATTCAAAAAAAAAAGGAGAATTGAAGGCATAGAGTAGAGACCCTTGCTCCAGACCAGACCAGACCAGACCAAAACAAAACAAAACACACTGAATTAAGAATTAATTACAACGACCGGCCGAACCGTATATAATTAATACTGGAGATCAACAGTGAATTCATTAATTAATAAATGAAGTAATTGAGCAATCCTCTCCGATGAGGATTGAATAATTGGTTAATTACTTATATTACTGTTGGATGTATAGACAGATAGATATATAGGTTCGTTAAAAATGATTAGTGTGATTCAATTCTATGGTTGGGGAGGCTTCTTTTCGGCGACGGCCAAGAGGATTCCGGCGAGCTTCCTGATGTCGGTACCGAACTGGGTGGCCTCGGGGCAGGCGATCTGGCTCTCGACGAGGGTGTCGGTGCAGTCCATGAAGGAGGTGGCGGAGAGGTAGCTGCGGAGGGCGCCGGTGGGGTCGTCCTTCACCAGCCCCACGCAGCCCTCCACGTTGTAGATGATGTTGTCGTACGCGTCCCGGCACGTCTTCACGATCGAGTCCTTGGTCACCGCCTTCAGCGACACCGGCAGCTGCCCCGCCACGTGGTCCGGGATCCCCTTGCCCTCCTCCGCCTTCTCCCTCGCCGCCTGGAGCAGGTTCGTCATCACCTCCGCCCAGCTCTCCCCGCCCTTGGCCAGCTGCGAGCAGAGGGCCTTGTCGTCCGCCGTGTCGCACAGGGGGTTGCACCCGGACTCCGGCGACGCCCAGCCCATGCCGGACAACAGGGCCACCACGGCGACGACGATTTTCATGGAACCCGCCATGGTATATTTAATTGAGGAAAGAGACAGATAGATAGAAGATGATGTAGAGAGGGGGGAGATTGTGTATCGTGTATTGTGTGTGTTTTGTTGTTCCTTCAATTTGGATGTAAAAAATTAGTTTAAGTAGATTGTTTATTTAATTAAGGGTCTCTAGGAACGATTTGCTGCTGCTGCTGCTGCTGCTGCTGCTATCAACCGATCTTGACGACCCTTGTTATATATATTATATATATATATGTGTGTGTGTACTGGAGATGTTATTACTATTATTCTTCCACGGCGCGACGCATTGGAGATATAGGTTCCGCTATTTATACATGCTTATTAATTTAGTGTTTGCTTTGTAAGCAAGCTATTACGCTTTGTTTTGTGGTTCGCCGCGCAAATAGCCACTGTTACCGTTACTTTGATTTTAATTTATAGTATATTTTTTGTTATTATTATTCGATGTTGTTGCCCTCAAATTCGTTTCCGTTTCCGTTTCCGTTTCCCTGCCATTAATTTTCTTTATTCAAACTAGCGTTTGCTTCTTTTTAGTTTCTATTAAATTAAACGCGAATATATTTATTTATTTTAATCTTCAAATGAAGTGGTACTTTATTTTTAATTTTAAAATGAAAATAAATCAATACGAATAGTTTTAGATTGCAAGATTTTTTTAGTATTGCAATAATACTACTGCAAGATGAGGCTCGGAAAGCCATCTAAACATCATTTTGGCAGAGTCATCTTACTAATAATTCCTTCTGTATAATACTTTGCCATATTAATTTGCGTTATATTGTCGATTTTTTGCATCCAATCAAGCACATATAAAATTGTATCCAAATGTTTCAACACATATTTAGATGACGAAAGGAGTTCATATCGGTGGTAGAGATGGGAATAAGATTTGGCTTGGTTCAGATCTTAGTTTAGACTGACCTATTTATTAAAAATGCCTAGTACAAATTTATTTTAAAGTATTTGCAGTTAACTAGAATATGCTTAACTTTTACAAATGAACACGCTTGTTTTTTTGTTTGATTTTTTTTTTTTTTTTTTTTTTTACATCAAGTGTAGGAAATTGTATAATTAATATAAAAAAATGAATGTGTAATAATTTTTTTGTTTCAAATTAAAATAATTGTCTCATTTTGTCATTTTTTGTCCGTCTTAAAACAATAGTCTCGTTTTTATTTTTAGTAATTAGTTCTCTGCCTTTTTACAAAATGATTCCCATATTTTCACAATATTACATAAAGTATACGCATTTTGGTCTTTTAAAAATACTTTTACACTTAATATAAATATAATACTAATATTTTTTAATTTCCGTACTCATCTCAAATATCACTGTTGTTTTGGGACGGAGAGAGTATATTACTTCATTCGTCTCAATTCAAATTATTCCTTTTACTATTTTTGTCGTTCTCATTTCAAAATATCAATTTTTTATTTTAAAAAAAATAATTATACATTAATACCAAAATACCTTTAATTTTTATTTAAATTACAAATATATCATTAAACATGCAACATATGGGATAGCATGCTGAAATGCAAAATTCAGCGGTGCTGGAGTTAACCTGGTTCTTTAATCTCATTTAATATGAAATGATAAAAATTAAATATAAAGATAAATATGTAATTTTATAACATATCAACATTGCTAATTAAAATTAAACATCAGCACACGATCGATCCTCTTCCCCAGGCCCGGCCCTGGGCCAGGGCCATGGGGCCCTTGCCCAGGACCCATTCCCTTTAGGGGCCCATAAGGGGCCCAATAATATATTATTATTATTATTATTATTATTTTTTTTTAAATGTATAAAATAAAATTTAAATAAAAAATTTATTTTATAATTATTTTTTAAATAAATGATTTTTACATTAATTTTTAAATTATTTATTTGTATGCTTTAGTATGTTTATTTAATGGTATGATTTGATATTTTTTATGAATTATATAAAATTAAAAAGATATGATAGGTAATATTTTTGTGTTCTTATTATTTTTATTTTTATATTTATATGTTTAAATTTGTATATTTTATTATATTTTTTAGTAATAGTTTTAAAAATTTGTGTATTATATAAACATTGAGTTTGTTTATTTAATTTAAATTTTCTAATTTTTACTATTAGGATTATACTTTCTCTCTCACAAACATTTCATCAAACATTATCTTAATATCAAATTCAAGCCAAATTTTTCCCTAAACCAATCAAAAGAAACAAACCCTTAATAAATATTTTTGTTTGAAAATTTTCTTTTAAAGACTTTGACTGTTTATAAAAATATTTTTTTAAAAAAATATTAAATCAAATATATATTTTTAATTTTTTATGTTATACTAAATATGTCACATTAATTTTATATTTATATTTTGATTTTTTAATATATAAAAAATATTTTATTAATACATTTATATTAAAATATATATGTATATATATTATATTATTATTATTATTATTATTATTATTATTATTATATAAGAAATATATTTAAGGGCCCGATATTCTAATTTTGCTCCGGGTCTAATAAAGGTCAAGAACGGCCTGCTCTTCCCACGTACAATTACTTTATCAAATAGCAAAATATGTCAAAAAGCTCTTACATATTATTAATTAATAAAATATTAGTATTTTTTAATTTATTACAGAATCCAAAAAACTTCCTTGAATGGACTAAGAGAGTAATTTTTTTGAAAAAAATATGTGGATGGATTTACAAAAAGAACACATGATAATTAAAATTTTAGAATTTTGAAAATTTTGGAAGATAAGTACAAAAATCTATACTCCCCTCAGAAGAAAAGATTTGTTTTTTTTACACATTATTATATTAATAGAAGGTAGAAAATAATAATAAAAAAAAAAGATTTTATTTTGGTCCAATTGTAAATATATTTGAATTTTAGTGTAAAAAATAGTATTATTTGTGTAATAATAATACGAAGAAAAATGAGTTATTTTATGATGATATGATTAAAGATATTGTCTTGGAACTTGGAACGGAGAGATTATATATTTTGTTAACTTGGCACATATTTGCTTTTGTACTTTTTAAAAATTCCCATATTATTTGGAATTAGATGCTATCTTATAACCGGTATATATATATATATATATATTATTTTTTTCATATAGGATTAAAGTTTGTTCTTTATTTGGTTTTAGGGCTTCCCAGAATCAACCAAATACAATCCACCAATGACATATATATATATATATAGGGTTCTTTATTCCCAACATATAATTAGCTAGGCTTATGCTGAAACATGATATTTAAATAACGTGCATATATATCTACATAAAATGTATATATGGCAACGCATTTGGTATTATTCAATGGTTTTAATTAGCATATATATACTGTAATTTGATTATATTGATTGATTGATTATATATACACACATACATAGCTAGATGCAATGAATGCATACAATGGCAATGAGATATAGGTTCGGACGTACACCTGATGATGGATGAATGAATGAATGAATGAATTATATATATAGCCAGGGGGGAGAGAGAGAGAGAGAGAGAGAGAGAGAGAAGAGATGGAACTGAATGATGATCTAGGCGGATGGGTGAGTGGGTAGGTAGGGAGTCTCGCTGAGCTAGTTCTGCATGACGACGGCGAGGCAGTTGTCGATGTTGGCCTTCATGGTCCCGAGGTACCTGCTGAAGGGGAAGTCCATCTTGGACTCCCGCATGGCGTCCTGGCAGTCGGTCCGCAGCGCCCCGCTGAGGTGCGACCTCACCGTCCCCACGTCGTCGCTCCGCAGCGCCTCCAGGCTCGACTCCAGGTCGTCCACCACCCCGTCCAGGTTGTCCTTGCAGATCTCCATCACCTGGTTCCTCTGCGCCGCCGGGTCCCTCGCCGGCACCGTCTCCGGCAGCTTCTGCGGCTGCGGGGCCATCCCCTTCAGCTTCTTCGCCAGCTCCAGCGCCGACTGCATCGCGTTCGCCGACGCCTCGTGCCAGTTCCCGGCCCCCTTCACCATGTCCGTGCACAGCTTCCGGTAGCTGGCCGTGCGGCAGAACGGGTTCACGCCCTCGTAGCTCCGGCCCTCTGCCGCCTGGAACCCCATGGCCGCCACGATCAGAGCCACACCGACCAGGCACAACCTGTACTTATCTCCTCCTCCGACTCGGGCGGCGGCCATCTTTCTTCTTTCTTCTTTTTATTTTTATATGTATGTATATATGAAATTTTGTGATCTAATAATTATATATAATACTAATATCTGTAAATATATGTATGTATGTATGTTTATTGTTCTTCTGTTATCAAATTTCTCTAGGCCGGGGATGTGCCAGGATCAATGATCACAGAAGAAGAGAGAAAACAAAATAAATGGGTGATGGTGGAATTGTGGAGGTGGGGGTGCCGAGGGTTCTTATAGAGTAGAGGTGTGAATTAGATTAATTAGTTGTGGTGGCTGTTTGTCGGACACAATTTGTGTGGTTTTCCGATCCGTGGAATCAGCTGACCCATTAGCTAGCAGCTTCATACCGCATATATATATATATATATATATGTATGCATTGGTCGTCTTCTTCGCGTGATCCATCCATCTCCATCTCCATCTTACATTTACCTGATTAATTCACATTCACATTCACAATTTTAGATACATAAATACTTTAATTTCCCTGTTTTTTCATTTAATGATGAGATACATAAATATTTTTCCAATTATTATTAGTAAGCAGAGGAGTGAGTTAGTTAGTTAGTTAGCTAGCTTTCGATTGTATAAGTGTTAATAAAATTAAAATAAAAAATGTTTAAAAACAAGAATAGTTTTGGAAATATAAATATAGATTTAAATAACAGGTAGAGGCAGAGGTAGAGATAGAGAGTATAAGTTAAAAGCGATTTGACAAACGCGACGCTGATTAATGCATTTGCTTGTCTTCTCTGTACGTACTGGGCGGCTATTATTATTATTATTATTATTATTATTATTATTTCTTTCTTTCTTTCTTTTAAATAAATTATTTCAATTGAAACTTAGGAAACAGCATCCATTAATGTCAACCACGAAAAGGGACACATCAGGGGCGAGTCTTTATTTTCCTTTTGATTTGTTTGTAATGCATTTTTATGTGCGTATGTATATTTATTATTCACTCCGCTGAATATTCAGTTCAATGCATCTAACAAGGGAATCTTTTTTGAGAATCGGAAGCTGGATTCTATTCGTCTAAAGTCAACGATTAAATATTCCTACTTCCTGCAGAAATGTTTGACATATTCAGTAATCAAATCGTATAGCCTTTGCACAACTACTTTTTTGAACATTTCAACTTTAATTATACCCTTTTTATTTCAAAGGAATATTATATTGTTTGAAAGATTTTTGAGGATTTGTATTCTTCATTCAAAATTTATTCCCAAAAATATTAATTCAAATATTTATTTTTTATTTTTTATATTATATTAAAAAGTAATTTTACCTTCAAAATATTATATCAATATTTATTTATATCATATCCTAAATATGTTTCCGCCGTGTTTTTTTTTTTCTTTTCAAAATAAATATACTTCTTCAAAAGAGAATTAGTATATTCCATCAATTACTTATTTATATTAATTATATATTTTTTTATATTTTACTAAAAATATTATTTCAAATTTACTAACTGTTTGTTTTGATTTGTAGCAGAACTTGCATTGGCATCCAACGCCAGCCAGTAAATTCGCTGCGAGTCACGTCAGGGACTTCGCTACGTTGGTTTATAGCCAAATTCCAATCCCAATCTCAATCTCAATCCCTGTCCCTATTCCTATTCCTATGGAGACTACACTACTATAGTTTGCTCTAGATCGATCTTCTATCCAGGGCGGGGTGGGCAGAGCCATGGAGATTTCCCAAGGCCATCAGCAATCCCATGAAAATAGATTTGCACTTCCGGTGGACTCCGAACACAAGGCCACCGAATTCCGGCTATTTTCAGCGGCTGCACCTCATATGCGGGCTTTTCACCTTTCTTGGCTTTCCTTCTTCGCCTGCTTCGTCTCCTCTTTCGCCGCCCCACCCCTGCTCCCAATCATCAGGGACGATCTCGATCTCACTGCCACCGATATTGCCAACGCCGGAGTCGCCGCCGTTTCCGGTGCAGTCTTCGCTCGGATTGCCATGGGCACCGCCTGTGATTTGTTCGGCCCACGCCTTGCTTCCTCTGCTCTATCTTTACTCACTGCACCCGCCGTTTACTGCACTTCTATTGCCAATTCCCCTGCCTCCTTCCTCCTCGTCCGCTTTTTCACAGGCTTCTCCCTCGCTACATTTGTGTCCACCCAATTCTGGGTCACCTCCTTGTTCTCCTCCCGAGTTGTTGGCACAGCTAATGGCCTCGCCGGTGGCTGGGGCAACCTAGGCGGTGGTGCAACGCAGCTCATCATGCCTCTCGTCTTTGACCTCATCCTCCGCATTGATGCTGCCGCTGTCAAATTTACAGCCTGGAGGATTGCCTTTTTCATTCCGGCCCTCTTTCAGACTCTGACTGCATATGCCGTCTTCTTTCTCGGGCAAGATTTGCCGGACGGCAACTACTCACAGCTCCACAAGTCAGGGGACAAGTACCGGGACAATTTCGCGCAGATTTTCCATCACGGCGTGGTCAATTATAGAGGTTGGGTCCTGGCATTGACTTATGGGTATTGCTTCGGGGTCGAGCTCACAATAGACAATATCATCGCACAGTACTTCTATGATAGGTTCGATGTGAAGCTTCACACAGCGGGGATGATTGCAGCTAGCTTTGGATTGGCAAACATATTCTCAAGGCCTGCGGGAGGGGTGTTGTCTGATTTTGTGGCCAAAAGGTACGGAATGAGAGGAAGGCTGTGGGCACTTTGGATTGTCCAGAGCCTGGGGGGAGTCTTCTGCATCCTGCTGGGGAAAGTTGGGTCCTTGAGCGCCTCGGTTGCTGTGATGATCGTGTTCTCCATCTTTGTGCAAGCTGCTTGTGGCCTTACCTTTGGCATCGTCCCTTTTGTTTCGCGAAGGTAGGTCAGGTCAGGTGTGCGTGCTTGCTTGCTTGCAATCGACTAGCTTAAGTAATTAATGCTGCCTGCTTTCTCAATTCATATTAACAGCGTACGTACAGGTCTCTTGGGATTATAAATGGGATGACCGGTGGCGGTGGGAGTGTGGGGGCCGTCGTTACACAATTGGTTTTCTTCAAGGGATCGAAATACTCAACAGAGACAGGATTGACCTTAATGGGGGTGATGATCCTATGCTGCACCCTGGCAATTGCTTCGATTTATTTTCCACAGTGGGGTGGGATGTTGTGCGGGCCTTCGTCCAGAGGTGTCACAGAAGAAGATTATTACACCTCCGAATGGACTTCCAAAGAAATAGACAAGGGTTTCCACAGGGGTAGCCTCAAATTCTCGGAAAACTGCACAATGGAAAGAGGAGCCAGCAGGGTTAATAATGGATCATCATCATCATCGGCCACCAAAGGGATCATTCGCAGTCCCAGTACACATGTCTGAATCATCATCATCGTCATCGTCCACATCCTCCCAACCTCCTTTGATTTGTGTAGCTAATTATTAATACTTCACCAATTAATTAATTGCATGTAGATGTAGTATATGATGATAAATAGCGTTGTGGGAATAACATAAAGGAAGGCTGTGTAAAGTTGCAGCAGATCCGATCCGAACCGATCCGATCCTCGTTTCAGATAGTTGATATTTGCCTTTGTGTCCGTTATGAATGAAATGTGTTATCCAGCTATGTAATGGACCGTGCCATCTTTGAGCAACTCCTTAAAAAGTCGCTATAAGTCGAACAAGTCTGCAAAGTGGCAAAAGGCTTTGGGAGAAATTACGTTGCTACTACGCATGTCTGCTCTGTCTTGTCGTCGAAATATCATCTCACCAACCACTTATGAAGGCTTAGCTATCTCGGAGCCCTGTTTCGGGGGCGTCAAATTGACCAACGCGCCTGACAAGAAATACTAAAACAAATACTAGTAATTAATCTATCTTCTTCCCCGCTGTATTTTTATTTCACGGCATCACTTTAATTAATGTCGCTTCATGATCCTGGTAAAGCTTCTGGCCCTAATTTTTGTACAGGAAGTTTATTTAGCGATGAGTGCGCATGCTGTGGAAAGTAACCCCCAAGACGGGGGCGGTGCCTACACCACACCACACTTGTTTTGCAACCCATAATATATATATACCTTCTCTTCTGTATGTCCCCCGAAGAGGAATTCTATCACATGACTTCCACTACCATTAAAGCGACGCCCCCAGGCTGGTCTGCCCGCGATTCTTTTCTGGCATTCCGTTGCAGGCAAGTGGTACCACAAGATTTTAATACTATAAAAATGAACTTTCCTGCCTTCTTAAGATTTCTCTAATCTGCCGTTGAGAGAACTCTGACTTATTTTAATTTGTGTACACTGACATTGTGCCCCGTCTTGATTTTGTTTTATGGTGTGCTATTTTTGTTTCCTACTTTGATTATGCTGGATAGTCCATAGTAAAGTAGGATTGATTCCAGTGTTATGCTTTCTTGATTATTGAAACCCTTTCAGTGTGATCATGGACAAGTCTGTTTGAACTAGATTATTTCACTTGCTTTGTCCCCCTAGTGCTTGGTGTGGTGGTGTCCACGGTGGTTATTCCGTGATGAGTGACAAGGCTGACCGCCAGAGTGGATGCTAACGATTTTCTTTTACTTCTTTTAACTCAGCCGACAGATAAGTTAGCATCACTGGCAATTTCATTTTCCATATGTAAGACAGAAGTTGCTGAATGATTTGGAGGCACCCGTAAATGGATAATGATGAGCGGTCACCTTTAATCATTAAGCAATGGGATTACGAAAACTGCAGCATGTGCTGATGCTGGAGTCGTAAAAGAGGGTTTATGAATCTTTAGTATATTCTCGCGTCCTTGTACATTTACTGATTTAACGGTGTGTTAGGAAATTAACAGAAGGAGCAGTTAGGAAATTCCAACATAAATTATTTTAGTTACACCGGAATCAAGCAAATCCATCACCTTCTTGCAGTTCAACATCCTGCTGAAGGGAAGCAAAAGACTTCCAGGTGCAATATTCTGAAGCTGTTATTTACCAACAGGGAATACTATGTGATCTTGCTATTCTCTTCACAACATCACTTCCACTTCTCACACAATAGTCCATGCTTGTGGGAGCAAGCGGGCTTAATGATTTCCCATAAGTATTCCAGCACAAGGCTTCATGAAATCCATGGCTTTGTGGAGAGGGTTCTAGTTGGATAGAAATCAGGTTAACATCTGTGCATGGAATAGAATTGCTGCAGGCTAAATGGATAGGCTGCACTGAATATGTCCCTACTATTTGATTGAATGTAACTCCTGATATTGCCACGCCCCCTGTTTGATTCTTGCACTTGCTTTTGTCACAGTAGTACTGATCAATAGTTATCGGAACCTTAACATCAGAGACTTGGATGTTGGAAAATGTCACATTCTTAACTGAGCCTTGACCACCCTACAAAACAGAATGCCAAAAAATAAAAATAAATAATAAAATATGAGTAATAACTCAAACTGTCTGCATGATCTTGTGCAAGGTTGTTAACCAGTACCTGCCATGTTTTAATCCTTGCACCATATAGGGTATTCTTCATTGTGATATTCTCGACAATGATATTTGAGACACATGCTGTACTCTTATCTTTCCCTAGTCCTCCTAAACTGCTTTTCATAACCAATAAAATATACAGCATGAAATATATAGAATGGTTCAAGGTAACTGGACATTACATCTGTTATGCTAAAGCTGGAGTAATCCATATTTTATTTTAATATTGGTTCCCATTAGAATGCATCAAGTACCTTATTCCATGTCCGGGGCCACAATTTACATGATGGACATGAATGTTGGAACAACCTGTTTGTATGGACACACAATCATCTCCTGTTCAAAAACCCGAAATTTGAACAAGAATGAGTTTCTGTTTGATCATGGCTTCAGAATTCATAACAATTCTATCTAAAATATGCTCATCATTAGTACGAACTCTATATTATAAAGTCTTAGTTATTCATTGTACATGCATATGTACTTTTGTGGTACATTTAATTAAGAAATTAATTCAAGAGTTCTCTATGAATTGTACCATAGGATATTATAAGTAAATTCGGAAGCTTTACCCGTCCCAATCTCAGAATGCAGGATTTCCACATCTTGTGAGTTCTGAAGGTGAATTCCATCGGTGTTTGGGCTGCTTTCTGGTGCAGATATGGTGACATTTTTGACAACTACTCTTTTAGAGTTGTCAAATTTTAGGTGACACAAAGGGCTATTTATGATCCTTATATCACGTAATGTGACATCGCAGCTTGAGTAGAATCTCAATGCCTGGTGTCAAAGGATAACACCAGATTCAGCATACATCTCTTTTGATTAAGCGATAATAATAAGTGCTGATTGTGCACAATTCTTACAGTTGGTTTCATGTATGGAACTTTTTTGCCTTTCTTTATCTGCAGAAAATATCATTAGAAAGGAAAGTAGGATCAGATCCAATATTCTTGCAAACAAGAATTCTTTTCATAGGACTTGGTCATATTGATTAATGTTGATGCCTTACTTGATTAAGTTGTGGAGTCCACCAGTTTGAACCCTGGCCATCTGCTTTGCCCACACCTTGGATGGTGAAATTTTGGAGCCACTTAAAGTTTATCCACTGATACAAACTGGATTTTGGCCATGACCCGATTTTTGGAGGGGCCAAAATAGTCCCATCCATCTGTTAAAAGTCTGATGAGTGTTAGATAACAAAGCCTCCCAACTATCGTCTCCCCTGCTAATGCTATTTCTGCAGAATGAATGAACACACTGACCTGTAAAACTAGGTTTGGCATACATGGCCCTTGAAGTGTGAGCGGTTTGATCAGATACGTCAAGCCTGATGGTATGTGAACGACACCTCCTGTTACCTTGCATGCAGCTCTCCAGGCGTTTAGCAGTGCCTGCTTGAGTGAGTGTAATGAGAAATATATGAAAGATGGAGGCTCATATCATGATTTGCTTAATAACAGCATGAAATATTTGATGAAGATTTTGTGTGCACAGCTGAATATTGATTGTTTACCTTAGAGTCATCGGAAACTCCATCAGCCTTTGCTCCATACGATAAAATGCTAAATACCAGTGATTGAGTTGGATATGTGCCAGGAGGTGGTGCTGGAGCGGTTGCACAACGTGGGGGCTTATTTTGCTTCTCATCCTTAGTTTTATTCTTATGCAATTTGCTTTTGCTGATACGGTGTTTTTTGGCCCCAACTGACAAGGTTGAGAAAGAAATGAAAATCAGAAGCCAAAACACAAAGTGCAATATGGGAGAGAAGGGCCTGGCCTTCTTCATCTTCGACTCTTATTCTTTCGTCAATAAAATTTCTGAACTAGTGTATTGAGTTTTAGGTAGCCCTTTGAGATTGGGGTGGTTAGTGACAGTTTATATAGTTGCATGCTTACAGAAACAGGCACAATTAATTGGTTACCTTCAATTCATAAAAGCACCACCTTCTCCTCACTCCACCTGTATTCTCATTGTTTAAAAGTTGCCCAGAATATTCAATATTATACTACACTAACAAGCACTTTTAAGTGAAATATTATTTGTGCCTTATCTAGTTGATGTGTAGTGGTTTGTTAAGAAGAGTTAACAATAATTCCCTTCCCTGTCGGTTTATTTTATGGCTGTGATGCTAATGGCAGAGGGGCTGTGTGTGAGTGTCAGGTTTAGTGGATGTAAACTAGGCAATCATTATATAAAAGCTTTGCGCTTTCTTTACATTTTGATGATAGAATGTTCCCTGCCAGAAGAGATTAAGATAAAGAGTATAGAGAAATTGATGGGAACCTTTCTAAAAGCAAGAATTCTTTCCTGCTGAATTAGGTAGCTAGCAATAACCTCTTCTTCTTCTTCTTCTTCTTCTTATTCTTGCACGCTCTCTTCCTTTTCATGGGTGGGACTGGTCGGTGCATTAATTTTAAATTTTAGTCGATGATGCACGCAAATGCTCGTATGTCAGTAAAATACTATGTATAATGGTAGGTGGTCCAGCAAGCCCTAATAAGACTATGTATGGATTGGATTGTGGAATTTAAGCTCTCACCAGTCACTACAGGCTACAGCTTAAGTAAGTGGGTAGGGGCTTGTAGGAGTGGGATGGATCATGTATCAGTACAAGTGTAGTTAAACTTACTTTTGACATCCTCTGCCTGCACTGCTCGTGTGCTTGGACCATATTGGTGGGTATTGGCTGTTGGGCCCAAACACATTCTTAATCCCCTTCCCCCCGGTAGATTGTTTGTCGTCTTTGTTCAGATAACGGATGTCTGACTCCAAGAAAGAACACAGAATAGTGAAAATCGGAGAGCTGCCCTGCACTACAGAAGCAGCTATTGGCTTTAGTTGAATTTGACTTCGTCATCCATGGGAACTCATCCGATATGTAAGGTGTTTTTTCTTTCCTGCTTTTCCAGTTTGAGTGTCAAGCTGTAAGAATCGACTTACCAATGGCTTTCATTTTACAGTCAAACACAGGGCCCACTCCGCAGAGACGAAAAGCAAGGTATGGTTGAAGAAACTTCTTATTGTGGTACAAAAGTCTCTCTCAAATTTCTAAAGTTTGAAAAAGAACACCAGTAAACCTGTCCAAACCCCACTCCCATCTTTTCTTCTTCTTTCTATGCTCTTACGCTGGAAGAATGATGTAATTCTCTCCCACTTAATCATCGCATCCATTACTAATAAGAGCCCTTGTCCCATTTCTTTATCCTTATCTCTCTCCCCCTCTCTCAGTGAAACAAGCCAAAGGTCTCCGTTGTGTTCACCAGAAAACGGAAAAGAGGCAGGAGCTTATAGTTCCAGCCATTATCAGGTCAGTTTCTGCTTCAATAGGAGCAAGAAAACATTTTGCTAGGGGAAAGTAACACTTGATCAGAAGTTTGAGCAAATCTTTGATTAATGATTTACATAGAATTAGGAAGAGTATTCTTGTGTGTGCTGATCTCCACCGAGATCCTTCCAAAGTACTTTGATCTCGTAAATTATGCATGATTCCCATGGTAGCAAGCATTGAATTGTCTGAATAATAATAAATAAAGTTTCAGAAGCGACAAACGTAGAAACCTAGAGCAGTGAAACTGGATCACGATTAGATTGTTTAAGTGTTTGGTGTTGGTCTTCTGGATTCCACGATTTCTCAACGATTATCAAATCTCGCCAAGTCCTTTTCATTTCTCTGCAAAAGTTCAAAGTGTCAAACTGTGAGCGATGGAATATATACTTACCCTTCTTTGACTAGGTCACTGATATATGTATGTATACTTAAAGATAGAGGATATCTTGAGGAGATGAGAAGCCACATATTGCAGCAGTGGTTGAGGTGGGGTCTAAATTGTTCTTCTGAAATTAAATGTTGTTGGCAATTTTTTGGTGTCTCAATAAAATCTTCGCCAGCTACTACTTCTGTTTTCTGGCATTGATTTCATTTCTCATCAAGTTTTTTAGTGAGGTCCTCAATTCAGTATCACCTCACCTCTTTGTAGGGCAGAGTCTTGCTCCATATTTAATATCTATTAAAAGTAGATTTTTGCACAATCCAGTTTGACATTAGAGCTAATCTGGTTACTTTTAGGTGGGACTGAAACTACCCTCCTCAAATTGCTCAGCATACTTATATACAACATTTCTAAATACTGATAATAGTCCAAAATGTTAGAGAGTGCAACCTTTGACTTTGTGGTGCATATTTGCTGCCCTATGCATAGTTCCTCCTTTCTTTCTGGCTTTCACACCTTGACACCTCTTTATTCCTCATCATGTCTTTCCTTATGTCTTAATACTATCTGTTAATGTACCTTTTACCCTTTTTCTTGCATCTCGTTTTGTTTTCCCTTGTAAAATTAAAGGGCTTGCCGGTTTTCCTTGTTCATTCTGAATACGGACTCTTCTGCAGAAAGTTATAGAGAAGACATAGCCAACCATGATGAGGAAAACAGCTTGGATCATTCCATCTATTCCGATCATTATTGCAGCAATTCTGCAATTCCCATATTCATCACTTGCAGAGCCAAGAGCCAAGACAGTTGAGTTCATCTGTGGAAAACAAATGGAGCACAACACCACCATATATGTACCGAACTTTGTCGCCACAATGGAAAACATAAGTGCACAAGTGAGATCGGCAGGCTTCGGTGTTGCAAAGACTGGTACAGGTCCCGATACTAACTATGGATTAGCACAGTGCTATGGTGACCTCTCCTCCGTCGATTGTGTTCTGTGCTATGCTGAAGCGCGTACTGTTTTGCCTCAGTGCTATCCTGTCAATGGTGGAAGGATCTATCTCGATGGGTGCTTCATGCGTGCAGAGAACTATAGTTTCTTTCATGAGTTTACAGGCCCTGATGACCATGCTCGCTGTGGGAACTCAACCCGTAAGGATTCAGCTTTCCAGGCATCGGCAAGACAGGCCCTTTCTCAGGTGGTTTCTGCGGCTTCAGTCAATAATGGCTATGGTCGGGCTCAGGTGCCTGTTGCTGGGAGGACAAACGAGTCAGCTTATGTTTTGGCGGACTGCTGGAGGACCATCAGTCCCAGTTCTTGCAGAGCTTGCTTGGAGAATGCTTCTGCATCCATATCAAAATGCTTGCCTTGGTCGGAGGGGAGGGCGCTCAACACAGGGTGTTTTATGCGGTATTCAGACACTAATTTCCTCAACCCAGTGCCTAGAAATAGAAGTTTTAAAGGTAAAGGAGCACAGCGTCCCATCCTTGTCAAGTATTTACTAGTTAGTGCTGCCCTGCCCTGGATCATGATCGTTAGTCTTGATGTCTGACAGGGAGAGTTGTAGCAATTGTGATTGCATCCGTTAGTGCAGCAGCTGTTCTAATAATTGGAGCTGTCATTGGATTTTATGTGTGGAAGAACAGAAAGATTCAGAAGAAAAGAAAAGGTAAAGGAACAGATGCATTGCCTTTCCCATGTGAAGTTTCGGAACTTACCTTTTTGCCATGCTTCTTCAGGTGATGCAGTGAAATTGGTAAAAACCCTTAATGACAGCAGCTTGAACTTCAAGTATTCCACCCTGGAAAATGCCACTGCCTCTTTTGACGAAGCCAACAAGCTTGGACAAGGAGGATTTGGCACTGTGTACAAGGTCATTAGTCATTTGCTGTGACAACACACACAGACACTGATTCTAAACCTGGAGATTTTGGCATTCATTCTGTGCAGGGTGTTTTGCCAGATGGGAGAGAGATTGCTGTCAAGAGGCTGTTCTTCAACAACAAGCATAGAGCAGCTGATTTTTACAATGAAGTCAACATCATTAGCAGTGTCGAACACAAGAATCTGGTCAGGTTATTGGGCTGCAGTTGCTCGGGACCTGAAAGTCTTCTTGTGTATGAATTCCTACCTAACCAGAGCCTGGACCGATTCATCTTTGGTAAGCATTCATTCGATCTAGAGTAGTGTCAAAACCAAAAGAGGGTTTACAGCTGAATCACAACCTGTTTACAAATCTACCAGGCTGTGTGTGCGTGCTTCCTGGTTTAATCTGTGTTTGATGTACCTACGGCAGATTCAAGCAAAGGTAAAGCATTAAACTGGGAGAAGAGATTTGAGATCATTATAGGGACGGCAGAGGGGTTGGTCTATTTACACGAGAACACAAAAACGCGGATTATCCACAGGGACATCAAAGCTAGTAATATCCTCCTAGATTCGAGGCTTCGAGCTAAGATCGCTGACTTTGGCCTGGCTAGGTCTTTTCAGGAAGACAAAAGTCATATCAGCACTGCCATAGCAGGAACATTGTAAGCATATCTACGTTTACGAGGACACTTTTGTTTGTAAGATAAGATCTGACATACAAATGGCAATCAATGGCTTCATCTATAAATTCCAATTTCCAGAGGATATATGGCGCCAGAATACCTGGCCCATGGACAGTTAACGGAAAAGGCAGATGTTTACAGCTTTGGTGTGCTTTTGCTGGAGATCGTCACGGGGAGGCAGAACAATAGAAGCAAAGCCACAGAATACACAGACAGCTTGGTAACAATTGTAAGTGCTAAAATCCTTGAATTGGCCGATAACTAGTTACCACTCCCGACTCTTTCTTATTCAGTTGAAATTTCTCTGCGTTGGATCAGGCGTGGAAACACTTCCAGCAACGAAGGGTAGAGGAACTATTCGACCCGAATCTCATGCTGAACAACTACCACAGCATAAATGTTAAAGGCGAGGTTCTACGGGTGGTTCATGTAGGGCTCTTGTGCACTCAGGAAATCCCCTCACTAAGGCCATCAATGTCGAAGGCGCTACTGATGCTAGTGAAGAAAGAACACCTCCCAGCACCAACCAGCCCCCCCTTCATGGATGAGGCAACCATGGAATTCAATGACATGAGCGAAAACATGTCATCGACGCCCCTCCACAATGGCAATGCAGTTTCAGTTGCCAGCATTTCCCACAGTATTTTCTATCCAAGGTGATGATGTCAAGTCTAGCTTTTCCAGAGGCTATTCATTGCCAATTTTTTGCTCAACCAAAGAGGCGGAAGATTCAGGAGTACAGAGAGAGCTACAAGTATATTGCACTTAATGTGCAACAAGGCACATCAACAGTTATCTCATGTATGTACTTTAAATTGCACTTAATGTGCAGGGAGACTCATTTTTATTTTTATTTTTTGTTCCACTGTAAGCAACTTACAGAGAGTAATCAAATACACACAAGGTCACGTTGTTGTGCATAACTGGTTCTTGTGTGATTAATAATCTCTAAAGCATGCATACTTGTAAAACTTCATTTTGAAACTAATGGCAAGCACAAAAAGAAGACTTGCATAAATAGCAGCAGACTGCGGAAGTGTGTGATCGTGACCAAGGCAGCTCCAGCAGATTGACACAAGGGCCTTCCTAACGCTTGGCCACCAAGTTTCCCATGAAGCCGGTGCCAATTTCATAATGCTTGGCCTCAGAAAAACCAGCTTCTTTAGCCAGCTTCTCCAACTCATCTCCTGCATACAAACAGAGTGGCGTTAAGCGGAAGTTATGCATGCCATGCCACTGTATCTTCTTCTTCTCCCTTCCATAAACTGATATTGCAAAATTGCACTGTCCATTCTCATTAAGAAGCATACAGGCATTTGTAGCACAGGGATATAGAAGATAATACCTGTCAGAAATTCCTTTATCGAGTGTTTTAAGTAAGAATACTCATCTGCAAGGCCATACCCGCTGGCAACAGGAACTACTACATGATCGATCATCCAGTCCTGCAAAAAAAAAATGAAGAAAAATTAAACATCATCTCCCAAGGGCTAAATTCAAATGCAAGAGCATACAAAATGCCAAAACTAGAAGAAGGGCTGCTTAAATACCTGAATGGAAGAGATTAGCTGGCTTGCGCTTTTGTTGAAGTCAAGAACGGATAGTTTGGAACCAGGTTTTAGAACTCGATGCATCTCCTGCAGAGACTTTTTCTTATCTACTATGTTTCTCAACCCGTAGCCAATGGTTGCAGCATCAAAAGAGGAGTGGGAGAAGGGTAAATCGGTAGCATCTCCCTCCACCCACCTATCAAATTTAAGGATACAATAAAAGCAATTGCCCTATACTATAATATGTATGTACACACTGCCAGCAGGAGGAGAGCAGTAGGAATAAACTGTTTTTCACTAACTCAATATTCTTGTAGCATGGCTTGGTTCGTTCTTGTTGGCGGGATGCCGCAACATGTAGTTGCTCCTTGGAGAAATCCAGAGCAATCACCTGTGCATTCTCAACCAATTAATTACCTTTGAGAACTATGCTCTACCCAAATGAAGCGATCGAAAAGATTTGACCTGCAAACCTTGCCATTGACACCAACTCTCTCTGACAGAAGAAAAGCCAAATCCCCACTTCCACAACACACGTCCAACACAGTGTCGCCTTCCTTGGCCCTGTCGCAGAGATAGATAAAAGTGAATTGAGAAGTGGGAGCAAGGCAACAAGAAATACTAGTGCTGCTACTACTGTATCGACAATTGCTGCTGATGTAGTAGGTATGGATAATGGATCGCATTCCGAAATTGCTATTCCCATCATCCCTTTTATTGCTGAATTATGGCGTTGACTTTTTTGAAGATACAATTACAGAGCCTAGTAGATTCCATTTGGATCAGGGAGGGGCCATCGGCGATCAATAGAGCGTATACATCACAACAAAAACTCGGTCGGAAGGGAAAAGGTTTGTGCTTTCATTGCATTGAATTGGATTTAAAACCAAAAATAAAATTGCTATTTGGCCATGACCATAACTGAAGAAAAGAAGAGAAATTTGGAAAGGTACCCACCCGGTCCAAGCAACACTCATCCTCTTCCATACTCTATGCCTTCCCAAACTAAACAGATCGTTCAACTGCAGAGAGTAAGAAAACACAGAATCGTATCATTAAAGCCAAGGTAAGCAGCAGAGGGCGAAGGAAGAGGGTAAGCAACTGACGTTGTCATATACAGGGGCAATGCGGTTAAAAAGCTCCTGCCGCTCTGCTGCGCATCGAATCGGTCTGTAATTGCTGGTGCAACGACGGCCGCTGCTTAGAGGCGGAAGAATGAATTGAACAAGTCCGTGTGCGTGTGCGTGTGCGGCCATTCTAATTCCTTAAGTAAGCAATTAAAGGCTTTTTTGTAAAATCCCTCTCTAATTTCACACAGATGAAATGACCCAGACTCACTCACTCCCCTCTCTAATTTGCAGGATGGGGCGGGGATCTGGCAAGTTTGGTCAATTGAGATGTGTAATCAGATCAGTTATCTTTTCAATAATAATACCAACACTAATACTAATAATTTAGAGTGAAGGGAAGGAGGTGTCTGGTATGTTCTGGTCGGGAATCAAATTTGTACTAACTAGGCTGAATGTGAAGTGCTAGCCCTGTCCAGGTACTTGGTAGTGGTAGTAGCAGCTAAGAGAGAGAGAGAGAGAGAGGGGGAGAGAGAGAGAGAGAGAGAGAGAGAGAGAGAGAGAGAGAGAGAGGGAGAGAGAGAGAGAGCTATCTATGTATGGACGTACATAGCAAGTAACGAAGACGAAGAAGAAGAAGAAGAAGAAGAAGAGGAAGAAGACGAGTTTGTGCTCGAATAAGTCAAATTAATTAGGCAGGCTAGTGCGTTCATTATTAATTACTGCATTGTTGTTCCCTCCCCTACACCCCAAGCCCATCTACCCTATCTATGAGTTGAGTTGAGTATAATACAAAACTGTGAGAGTTACTCTTCTTTTCTTCTCTCTGAACTGATACGATCTTATCTTGTTTGTTAATACGAAAGGGCACCAATCATATATACATGTTTTGGGCATGTATCCCCAGCTGCATCGATCGGCCAGATAGGATACCAATTATCCATAACCATTCCAATTCCAAATTGGAGTCACAGTCACTAATTACATACGTACATACATACTGATTAATGATCAAAGGTTGCTTGCTTGCTTGCTAGCTAGATCTCACTCTCACAAACCCTAATGTGTCCATACATTCATATATAATTCTTCATTCTGACTACCGTACCGTACGTACGTACGTGTCTCATCATCATGTCTGATGTCTCCACTCTCCACTATGGCTCGAGGTTGCACATATCTGCTGCACCTTTAAAATTAAGAAGAAGAAGCTATGCATATCCATACATGATACATACATGTACAACTACGTACAGTACAGTACAGGAGATATATACATAAAGACTACTTACTTGGGGTTTGGAAATTAGCCTGCTGGAAATATGATTCAAAGAAGTCTTCATTCTCCTTTAGCAGCTCATTCCACACTGAAAATTTCATTTCATTGAGATTTGACATCCGATTTCATATATGCATGCACAAGTAGCTGGCTAAGGATAATAACGTTTGATTTGGAATTAATTAACCATATAATACAATTGATGGAGACAGAAAAAATTAACAAGTGACTATATATAAATAAATAAATAAATCAAACTAATTAATTAAGGTTTTATTTACATGAAAAGAGGAGCTTAATTAATTAGCTTGGTTGACATTAATTAATTATGTATGGCGAATTAACAAGTTTCGAATGTCAGAGAGAGAGTTGAGTTGAATTGATGAAGCAGGCAGTAGGCAGTGCACTAGGAGTAGGACTACGTAGGTACCTGCGAGAGTGACGAGTGGTTGAATTCGAGCATGCTCCGCCAGCGCCTCCACACACTGCTCCCTATCCATACGAAGCAACAAGCACCTCTCTATCAGGTTCTGCACCTAATGCAACATACAGATACCAAGTATGTAATTAATACTAATTCCCAACCAAAATTGAATTAGTTTAATGAACAGCAGCAGCAGCAAGTATTAAGTAAGTATTCCCCCAAGAGGAAATTGCAAAGTAGACGATGATTCGAGAGAGAGAGACATAGATACCATTCTAATGTAGGTACGAGGATCGCAATGCAAGCAAGGATAGGGATGACTAATAATCTCATGTCGTCTACCATCGCACATCTTCAATTCGCAAGAGGACAACACACCTTTAGCTTTAGCTTTAGCTTTAGCTTTTGCTTTCTGAATATATATATATATATATATATATCTGGTCAAGTAAAATTGGAATGAAGATATATTAATAGGGAGAAAATTAAATTTAAATGGGGGAAGAAAACAAAATGAAATAAACAAAGGTATGATATATAGATATTTGGAAAAGTAAGCAATGCAATTCCCTTCCCTTCCCTAATTGGCTAACATTAAATTATTGTTATCGCTGTATGTGTGCATGGTACCTGCACTGCACATACGCGGTAGTAGTAGTAGTAAATGAAAAGGGAACGAGTGTATCATCGATGCAATGCTATGCCATGCTATGCTATCCACAATATCCGAGTGAAGGGCCCAAAATGGCACAGGTAAGAGATCCACCTCATCTCATCTCATCTCATCTCGTCTCGTCTCTACCAGATAAGCCCCCCCTCTCTCTCTCTCTCTCTCTCAATTCACTCTTCCATCATTTTTGGGTCCCCTGCCCTGCCCTTTACTCCACTGATCCTCTCCTACCATTAAAATGTCTGTCTGTCTGTCCATCTATTCTGTCTTGGATGTTGTTGATTTCACTCAATCCCTCTCCCCACGCCACACCCTCCTATTCTTCTACTGCTACTTCTCACTATTTATTACTAGTATTTGTTGTCTAGCTAGCTAGTCTTCTTTTGTATTGTAGAACCAATTACTTAAGAGTAAATAAGACGAATCACAAGTGAAACCGATTGAACAAACAAACAAACAAACAAATATATTTTATAGTACCAATCGACGTACGAACGATACCTACTAGTCATTTAATTAATTACTCGACGATATTGATGATACTATTGTTCTTCACCCTCCATATTAACTGCCTGGCTGGTTTGGCAAACAAATGAGTGAAATCCCACCTCACCTCCGGCTCCGGCTCCGGCCATGCCATATCATTATCATGATTTTCTCTTTTCCAAAAAAATAAAAATCATTATCATGAATTAAAACTTGTGTACTAGTACTATTATTTTCCCTCCAGGCCGCGTGCACTGCACCTGCACCCATTCACTATCACTGTACGTATGGCCGAAGCCATTCTACGTGGTCGACTCACACCCACTTCCGATGCCCGCCTAACTTTAATAATTCAACCCACAGCCATCGTACGTCCATAGCCGTCATCCATTGATAATTTTACTAAGATTATTATTACATCTTAGAACAAAACTCACCCAATTCAAAATTTGACCAACCTTCCCATCTGACATGGAATTCCAAAACCCTAGCTAGCTAGAGCCTAGATGGGACTGGGACTGGGATTGGGATTGGGAGCTTTGCTGCAATCAAAATTTTAATTGATTCCTTTTCAAGTAATTCCAAGTTAAATTATTATAGAGAAAATTAGGAGGTGAATAAAGCTTCTGCTTTTCTTTCTAGGTTTTATCTTTCATTTATATTTTGATGAAACCCCGAAGCTTACTTGTATACTTTACCAGAGCAACAACGAGTATTCGGAAACACAAACCCGCGTTCCCATTGAAATTTTCTCACGACCTCTGCGAGATTCACTATGACGTCAATGCGGATATTTACTCCTGTAATAGAACCATGAGTCGCTTCATGAAATCCGGGTCTTTCGATTCTGCACTCAAACTGTTTGATGAAATGACTGAAAGAGATGCTGTGACTTGGAACATTATGATCTCAGGGTATTATCGTTACGGGTGTCTGTTTGAATCTTTAAATTTCTACCGTCAAATGGTTTCTCAAGGAATTGTTGAGAGCTCATCCACATTTTCAACTGTTTTGAGCATTTGCGGCTGTGCAGGGTTCTTTAGACAAGGACTTGTAGCACATTGCAGAGCGGTTGTTCTTGGGTTCGGCGCCAATGTATATATTGGCTCCGCCCTTGTTGACCTCTATTTACATATGGGCCTCGTTGATATTGCTCTAAAATTGTTTAATGCCCTGCAAGAGAGAACCTTGGCCACTTGGAATGTTGTTTTGCGTGCATTCTGTGAAATGAGAAGATCACAGGAGCTTATGAGAATGTATAACTACATGAAATTGGATGGCTTGGAGCCAAATGGGCTCACATTTTGTTATCTGATTCAAGGTTGTGGTTTTGAAAGACTGGTTGATGAAGGAATTCAGCTTCATTGCTGTGTCATTAAGAAAGGCCTGGACAATTCAAATTTGTTTGTAGCTAATGCAATGGTAGACTTTTACTCTGCTTGTGGGAGTTCCATTGACACTAGGAAGTCGTTCGAAGCTATCCCTCCTGAGGATGTAATTTCATGGAATTCCATGGTTTCAGTTTGTGCAGCAAATGGTCACTTATCCGATGCTCTTGAAGCCTTTCAGAGAATGCAACTTTGGGGTAAGAAGCCATCAGTTTCTTCATTCTTGGGATTCTTGAAGTTATCCAGCGTGAGAAATAATGTGTCGTTTGGCAGGCAAATTCATTGTTGCATTTTCAAGTTGGGATTCAATATTCTTCTTGTCCAATCTTGTTTGATCGACATGTATGGAAAATGTGGGGATATTGAGAGCTCAGTTGCTGTATTTGTCTCTGTTCCTGAAAGAACCCTTGAGTGTTGCAATCCTCTCATGACATCCTTACAAAGATGTGGTTTCATAAGAGATGTGATCGAACTGTTTGGTTTGATGGTGGATGAAAACATTGGATATGATGAAGTTACTCTTTCGGTGACTCTGAAGGCACTATCATCAGTTTCTCTTCCAGCTGGCTCAGCTTATAACTCCTCTTTGTTACACTGCTGTGCTATAAAATCAGGTTTCGAATCAGACATTGCAGTTGCTTGTTCTTTGATCGATGCGTACTCTAGAAGTGGTGAAATCGGAGTTTCACGGCAGCTCTTCAACCAAGTTTCCATCCCAAATGTGATCTGTTTCACATCAATGATTGGCGCACTTGCAAGGAATGGGATGGGAAAGGAATGCCTTGTGGTTCTGGACGAAATGATCGGAAAGGGTCTAAAACCTGACAAAGTGACATATTTGAGCGTGTTGATGGGCTGTAACCATTCGGGGCTGGTGGAAGAGGGAAGACTGCTCTTCGATTCGATGCAGTCGGATCACGGCCTGGGTCCAGACAGGCAGCATTATTCGTGCATGGTTGATCTTATGGGCCGTGCAGGTTTGCTGGACGAAGCTGAAAAACTTATTGCAGATAGCCCATGGTCGGAGGATAGTGTGATGTGGACGTCGATGTTGAGGAGTTGCAGGATGTACCAGAATGAAGCATTGGGGAAGAGGGCGGCGAAAATGGTGATGGAGCTTGAGCCGGAGAAGCCGTGCAGTTGGATACAAGCTTCCCGGTTTTATTGTGAGATGGGTGATTTTGAGAGGATGAGGGAATGCCGCGAGATTGCGGCGGCGAGAAGGACAGCGAGGGATGTAGGAGGTTTGAGTTTCATTCAAGTGCCTCCTGGCTCAAATGGATGGGTTTGATTTCATTAATATGAGAAACTGGTCTGGTCTGGTCTGGTCTGAGAGTATGTATGTGTGTGTGTGTGTATCCTCGATCGTAATAATACTACACCAGACAAGACCAATAGACCATATAATATAGCAGCACAGACCTTTTGTCAACCATCCCAATTCCCAAATTCATTCATTCGTTTTGAATTGACGATGCTTGATGCAAGGGCGGACCCAGGTAGGAGCCCCCTCCCCCCACCCCCATCCCCTACGTCGCTATGTCCTACATCCCATATCCTATATCCTATATATACTATACATATAGTATGCAACAAGCAAATGAAAATAGTGAGCAAAATTTAGGAAACAAAATATACTTATTAAATATTTTTTGAGGGCAAAGAGAAAGAAAATATACTTATTAAATAATTTTTTAAAAGTAAAATTTTCTTTCAATAAAAACTGTACTATTTATTAATTTTATAAGCAGATGGCAAATCTCAGGCTAACCATGTGTGAGAGATGACCTGCAATATATAATTGTTGTTGTAATTTGTAATTTTCAAAATATAACATTTTGAAAAATAAAATGATGGGACAATAACAAAATGTATAATTTTTAAAAAAATAATAACAAATTAGCCCCCTCCTAATAAATGCTAGTTCCGCCGCCTCGATGGGATTTGGAAATATGGCTTCGAATTGAATTGTGCTTGTAAGTTTTTTGCCGGGTGGGCGTAGTTTGCAGTGTATTAGGTTCGGTCGAAATTTGCTTTCGGATAGCGACTGCGGATCATAATTAAAAAAAAAAAAAAAAAAAAAAAAAAAAAAAAAATCATCTCGGCTGGGCGGGCTCGCTGTGCAGTCTTAAACGGAACTTAATAGGACAACATATCCACCTAACATCATGAGTCATGACAGCATGCCGCCCGCCCACGTTGTTTATTATATATAGAATATGTACTAGTACTATAGTATAATCTATAATCTATAGTCAGTCTATTCCATCATGGCGTATGGCTATATATATAACTAATTATATATATGGATTCAGTGTATCAACTTCAAAAGCACCGATCCGAATGAAAGGTATCTCCAATTTGATAGTAGTAGTAATAATAGTACAGCTACGATATTCGTTATTTCAGGTACTTAATAAGTTAGGTAATGAAGAAGACAAGATCCATGCTTTTTTTGGAGTGAAAGTGGGCATTGAGCATCCAATGGATGAGATATGGTTGACAACAACTACACTAATAATAATAATAATAATAATTTCAATACCGACGACTCGTGCGCATCTCAAGTATGCAGACAGAGACAGACTTTGGCTGTCTAACGGATGGTAATAAAAATGACGATGAGCATTTAATAATAATACATCTTCGGTACAAGTTTGAATGGACATTTTCTGTATGCTGTTCCAACACAGAAAAGTACAATCAACACATACCAAATCTGAATATGAATTGATTATTATTGGTATACTAGAAAATAAAATGAATTTGGTAGGACGACTGAAGAAAAAGGAAAGTGAATTAATTGAGGGAGTGAGTAATTAAAGTAAAAGCCGGCCCAGCTTTGAATACTAATCCAACTGACCCAAGTGGAGTGGTGGCCAAGGGACAATTTTGGTATTCTACGACCCATCCTCCCGCAGACAAAAGACACAGGCAGGCAGGTCGCAGTCGCCTTATCTTCTTCGCCCTATAAATACTCATCACTAACATCTACTGCCAAGTCCATCACCTGCACTGCAGTGCGCACACCCAAGTTTCCAATCCCTAAGCCCTCCCTCCCTACCTACCTAGCTTCCCTCCCTCGTTACTTGCTCCCCATTTCTCTCTCAATCTCAATGGCCGCTATGAGCAACAAGGACTGTGAAGCAATCAACAGGAGGATGGGTTCAATAGCCGGACATCTCACTCCAGGGCACGTCGAGAGTCTCAGTTCCAACGTCAGCCTGTCCAATTGCAGCTCCTCCTCCTTCAACGACACGTACCATCGTGTGCACGGTGAAGTTCCGTCTCACATCCCCGATTGGAAGCCGGCGCTCGATGAGTCCGGGAAGCCGTACACCGATATCATTTACGAAAAAGCCGTCGGAGAAGGCATTGCTAAGGTTTTTAGGAGGAAAGCAATTATTCCCCATTATTGTGTAGAAGAAGAAGCGTTTTAAATTGAGTGCGCCTGATGGCTTCATTTTCATTTTTTTTTTTTTTAATTTGTGGCGCCTGTAGATTACAATCAATCGACCGGAGAGGAGAAATGCTTTCAGACCGCAGACGGTGAAGGAGCTCATGCGCGCTTTCAATGATGCCAGGGATGATAACAAGATTGGAGTCATCATTTTCACTGGCAAGGTAAACCTAAACCCCTCTGAAATTGTTGGTATTGCCACAACATTCGTTGACCTGGAGTTTCCATGAATGTTATTGAACGTAAATATGGGTTCCAGATCATGAAGCGGAGGAAGGAATAATCATAATAAAAAAAGTTTGCAGTTTTGCTAAGAATATGCGTTAAGTCCAACCCTGCAACGAATACATAACATAGTGTGTTGACTGTTGAATAATGTTGATTGTTGTACAGGGAACCATGGCCTTTTGCAGTGGAGGCGATCAGTCATTCAGAGGCAAGGAAGGCTATGCAGATTTTGATAACTTTGGGCGCCTCAATGTTTTGGATCTCCAGGTCCAAATTCGCCGCCTTCCCAAACCAGTTATAGCAATGGTAAGTAAGGTTCATCACTTGCTAGATGTATATACATATATACACGTAGCCTGGGTGAGTGAGCTGAGGTGATTTAATTTAATGGAATTTGTGTTTTCCAAAGGTTGCGGGGTATGCAGTTGGAGGTGGGCATGTTCTCCATATGGTCAGCGATATAACAATTGCAGCTGATAATGCTGTTTTTGGTCAGACAGGACCCAAGGTAATCTCAATGAATCAATATACATAATCCTTGGATTGGATATCTGTCAGTCATCACAAATTCATTCATTCATTCATGTTTTCTGTTATCCACAGGTGGGAAGCTTTGATGCTGGATTTGGGGCTTCCATAATGGCTCGATTGGTAAGTAACCTTAATTAGCGAAGGGTTGAATTGTCTGTTGTTTCTTACATGGGGAAATTGTTGATGGATGGCATGAATTGAACAGGTTGGGCCGAAACGAGCACGCGAGATGTGGTTTCTGGCAAGGTTCTACAATGCCTGGGAAGCAGAGAAAATGGGGCTTGTGAACACCGTGGTTCCAGTAAGATTGATTGCGCAATACCAAAAAATAACCGAATGAATCTAGGCTCTTAATTCTTCTTATTGTTATGGCGGCCAGCAACCAGAAACCAGAAGATAGATGGATATGGATGGATAGATAGATAGGCTGATAAAAGTAAAATGTAAATTGTGTTTCAGGTGGAGAAGCTGGAGGAGGAAACAGTGAAATGGTGCAGAGAGATAATGAGGAACAGCCCCATGGCGATCCGCCTCTGCAAATCAGCCATCAATGCCGGTGACGATGGCCATATGGGACTCCAGGTACTAATAAATATGCTTGCTTGCAGTTGCATGACTAGTGACTGGTGTTATACTATTACTAATTAATTGCTAGGGTCGGTCTAGGTCTAGGTCTAGGTCTAGGTCCAGGTCTAGGACCACTTCAATTTTCTATTACATTCTAGAATAGTTTGAATGACAGTCATCACAAGTGACAAGTGAAAATAACGATGATGGATTTGTTGTTGTCCAGCAAATTGCAGGAGACGCCACACTCCTGTTCTACGGGAGTGACGAAGGCACTGAAGGGAAGACCGCCTACTTGGAACGCAGGAAGCCTGATTTCTCCAAGTTCCCTCGTCTCCCATGATTATGATATATATATTCATGAATTAATGATGATGAATAAGGATGTTGCGTGCGTATTCGCCCTTCTTGTCCGTTGATCTTCTCCTTTTTTTCTTCCTATTATTATTATTATTGTTATCGTCAATGGGGATGGATGCCTCTCCTCTCCTCTCCTCTCCTCTCCTCTTATTGATGTGATCTTTGGTCTTTCCTTTTTGTATTTTGCTATTTTTCATAAGGCAACAACACAACACACGATTAACTAAACTAAGTTTTCAATTTCGTATAATCATCATATATTTATCCAATGTCACACTCGCCGCTTGTAACTAATATTTTACTAACAGTACTTGCTGGAAAGGTGGGTTGAATTACGGGGGGAAAGGAAGGGCTTGCTGGAAAGGTGGGTTGAATTACGGGGGAAAAGGAAGGGCATGGGTGAGATGAGATGAGATGAGATGGATGGGCTGTTAAGAGAAAGATCCGACCCGACCCCGACCCGTCTGTAAAGACAGACAAAGACAAGAAGAAGAAGAAGGAGGAAGCAAACAAACAAACAAAGGTGGGAAGGAATAACCAAACGACCGAAAGTGGTGGAGTAATGTTGTTGGAATCCGTATCAGATTCCGGTCGTCGGGTCGGGGTGGGGGGCCATAACATTACATTACATTTCATTTCATAACAACATACTTCAAATGAGTACAATCAATTATACTAATTTGTATGTACCGGCCGCCTCATCTTATATCTATCTATCTATCTAGATTGGGAAATGATTAAGTTTGGTAGCCATTGTTAAGGTCAAACATCCAAAATCGATCCTCCTATTTGTTTCTTTCCAATCATTGCTCAAAGTATACCTACTTTGTATCTCTCTACCCATAGCCACTTTATTCTCAAAAGTTAAGAGCCGGGCCGGGTTGGGTTGATGGTGATGATTACTTAAATACTACTAATGCCATTGTATTTTATTTATATCATAAACCACTACAAAATCTTCTAAAATCCTTCCTTGTATGCAAATAATAATAATAATAATAATAATATCGGTCCCCCTTTCTTCCTATGCTCGCACAATTGTATTAATATGATCCACCTTCCTTCCTTCCTATTCTCACATAATTTTGTTTTTCCTTTCCTAAAATACATACATACATACATCCAAAGGTCAATCCTATCATTTTATACTCTCTGTATTATGTATGTATACACACATATCTAACAAAGCATAGGCCGAATGGTCTAATTTGATTCTCATTATATATAGATAGGAATTATATGTGTTTCTAATGGATTAAATAAAATTAACGTTGGAGAAAGGCAAGAAGGATGCGTGTGCTAATTACTCCCCTATATCGTGCCTTGCATTGCATTGCATTTCATTTTCATCATAAAACTCCAAAACAAGTTCATTTATTCATCAATAGTAAGGAAAGAATAAAGTTCATGTGGATATGCAAATTGCAAATACGTAGAGATAGATATATATGTATGTATATTCATCAATTATCTACCAACCATTTTTTGCAAAATGTCCTTCCCAAAAATCATACATATATATATAGACAAAAATTCCATCCTAAAATCTCTCGCCACGCATTCCAACACTTTATATTTTCTTTTTTGTTTTCCTTTTCCTTTTTTTTCTTCATGGGGAATCTGGCCGCGACACTTGAATTTCATTTACATTTGCATTTGCATTTGCATTTGCATTTGCATTTCGCAACTCTTCTATATAAACTCCGGAAACCGTGCCATTGCATAGTCTCATCTCATATCATATCATCATCTTCAGAGGCAAATTGATACAACAAACAAGAGATTACTACTTCTGCACTACTCGATTCTTCTTCTCTTCTCTTCAGCTTCTATATCTTTCATTACCATCAACAATCACCCCAGATTAATTAATTAATCCTATCTGTAACAATGGCTCCTCCTCACCCCGCCGCCGGAAATGGAGAAATCCAGGGCGTGGATCGAAAGGCTTATGTGACGTTCCTGGCGGGGGATGGCGACTACGTGAAAGGAGTAGTAGGGCTGGCCAAGGGTTTAAGAAAGGTGAAGAGCGCTTACCCACTGGTGGTGGCCATACTGCCCGACGTCCCCCAGGAGCACCGCCAGATTCTGAGGTCACAGGGCTGCATTGTTACGGAGATCGACCCTATTTACCCTCCCCACAACCAGATTCAGTTCGCCATGGCTTACTACGTCATTAATTACTCCAAGCTTCGTATTTGGAACGTACGTATTTACTACTAACACACTCCTCTCCTCTCCTCTCCTCGTTCTTCATTTCACTTTTATCCCCATTTCCATCAATTCTCATTCATTCATTCATGCACAATTAGATATATAGATGAGACATACACAGTTCCGGAGTAATCCATCATTCATTCTAATTAATTTCAACGTTTTAAGATCAGTTTATCTCTTTCTTTTTATTTGTTTGTTTATTATCAAGGAAGCAATGATATTGATAGGGAATCCAAAGAAGATGAGACAATGCACCAAAACATGCCCTTAATTAACACACACACTCAGAGTGATTTGGTTCCCCACATCGTTATGAATACACGTATATATGTTTGTATTCTGTGCTGGCAAGACGAGATGTTTGATATGCATGCAGACAAGTAGCCAGCAGTCAATTCCGATAAAGAAGACAAACTGTTAATAAATTAGATGCACTAGCAGCCGCTACAATTTTAAAACATAATAAATGATTGAATGAATGGGTGCAGTTGTTGGAGTACAGCAAGATGGTGTACCTGGATGCTGACATCCAAGTCTACGAGAACATCGATCACCTTCTGGATATGGCGGATGGGTATCTGTACGCCGTCATGGACTGCTTCTGCGAGAAGACGTGGAGCCACACCCCTCAGTATGAAATCGGCTACTGCCAGCAGTGCCCCGACAAGGTGAGGTGGCCGGCCGATCGGATGGGATCCCCTCCGCCTCCCCTCTACTTCAACGCTGGCATGTTCGTCTTCCAGCCCAGCACCACCATCTACCAGAACCTGCTTGACACCCTGCGCGTCACGCCTCCAACTCCATTTGCTGAGCAGGTTATATATAATTTGATTCATTCATTCATTCAATATCCATCAATCAATTTTTTCTAATTGGCTCATCTGTGCCCCTATAATAATAATAATAATAATCTGATTATATATCCGTACACGCCAGGATTTCCTCAACATGTTCTTCGAACAAGTGTACAAGCCCATTCCTGTGGTGTACAACTTGGTTCTGGCAATGCTTTGGCGCCATCCCGAGAATGTTGAGCTCGACAAAGTTAAAGTTGTCCACTACTGTGCTGCTGTGAGTATTCATTGATTAATTCATTAATTACCTTAATTAGTTCAATTCAGTTATATGTATATGTATGTGTATATGATCTGCTCTGCTCTCGCTCTGCAGGGATCAAAGCCTTGGAGGTACACGGGCAAAGAAGCAAACATGGACCGGGAGGACATCAAGATGCTGGTGAAGAAATGGTGGGATGTTTACAACGATGAGTCTCTGGATTACAAGTTAGGCGAAGAAGAAGAAGAAGAAGGACCGGACGATGTTGCTGATGATCTGCAGGGATTGTCAAAGCCACCGGCATCCAAAATGGCTGCTTCCATGTCGCCGCCGCCACCTCATGAGCCAGCAGCGGTGTCATACGTGCACGTGCACGCTCCCTCTGCTGCTTAACTTTAAAAATATTATTATATGTAGCTCATGCATGTTGTATGTATAGCACCTACGTATATCATGCAGCCATGGATCCATCCATCGGACTCATTGCTTGCTGCTGCAATACATACATACATACATACACTGCATATATATATATATATATATAATTAAAATAAATCAATTGGCCGGCGCCTGCAATCCTAGCCAGTTTTTTTCTTTTTTTCTTTTTTTTTTTTTAGTGAATATAATGTTGAATGGGCAGCTAAGCTTCACCTGTTTTAGCTAGCTAGATATGTTGGTGCACGTGTGAGTGAAGCTGCGATATAAGTTACTTAGGTTCTGTATGCAGGTTTTAATTAATCATCTATGACCACCACTAAATTAATAAATGGCACTAGCACTACATTTGATTATAAATGGCATTGAACGTATTATTTAAAGACCCCTGCCTGCTGTTGCAGCCAATGAAGAAGTGTGATTAATTTATGTAAAAACAGAATTAATTGAAGATTGACTGAGACTTGGCGGTGGCCCTTAGACAAACAGAGGGTCGAACTGGCAAATTAAAGCATGTAAAAATAAATAAGGGTTATAAACCAATAGAGAAAGTTAGCTGCTAACCAATTAATTAATGTGTGATCATGGTTCACCAATGGAAGAAGCTAGCCAGCCAGCCAATATAATTTATTTAAAATGAGCTTGAAAATTTTATTGGTTTAACTTCACACACCACTTGCAAAAATATAAAATTAAAAACTTTGCCCAAATTCTTAGGTCAATTTCTATAATACGATAATTAACTGCAGGTGATTTGACGATACGCTACATACATACATACATACATACATTGGTGTGTATAAATTATGTTATAATAGTAACTAATCCAGAATTAATTAACCATGAACCAGTAATGGATCAGAATTGGTCGGTAGATCTGTACATAGATTATTCCTCGGATGGATGGATTGGTTGGTTATTCAATTCAGCAACAGTGAATAGTCGTCGTACAAGTTGAATTTCAGGCCTCCCCATTTTTGTGTATAAAAGCACACATACTCGATGCTATGGGGGATGAAATATTATATATTATATATTTACTCCATCATAGATCGATATAATTACTATATAGGAACGTCTACTCAATTGCTCGTAATTAAACTTGAGTTGAAATGGCGAGGAGAGTAATGAAGGCATGGACTTACAGCAAGTATGGCGGCGCAGAGGTGTTGAAGCTTGACAGTGAAGTGGCGGTGCCTCAGCTGAAGGAAGGGGAAGTGTTGATTAAGGTGGCTGCCGCAGCTCTTAACCCCGTTGATTACAAGAGAAGGCTAGGGTTTCTCAGGGGCTTTGATGCACCTCTCCCTGTAATTTCACTTTCCCTATTCCTTTCTCATCTAATACTTATTAATACTCTATATACGTACCGTATTCTTAATTCATTTCTCTTTCTCATTCTTGCCTAGCTAGCTTCCTCGACCATCTACATCTTCATATCTCGTTTGGCATATATATATATATATGATTAGATTCTTTATGGTTGTATTATGTTGTTGATCTCATATATGATTAGGTAACCCCGGGGTTCGATGTTGCTGGAGTGGTGGTTGAAGTTGGGAGTGGGGTGAAGGAGCTAAAAGTGGGAGATCAAGTGTATGGAGACACCACTGAGAATTTTGGTCGGGAACCAAAACAGTTGGGCACCATAGCCGAATACACCGTTTCCCACCAGAACCTATTGGCCGTCAAGCCCAAGAATCTCAATTTCGCGGAGGCTGCTGCTCTCCCTGTTGCGATTGAAACTGCCTGCGAGGGACTCGAAAGGGCTGGTTTTTCTCAGGGGAAATCCATACTTGTCCTCGGCGGGTCTGGCAGTGTTGGATCGCAGGTCATTCAGGTCAGTTAGAATGAAAACAATCTATAGATCTATATATATGTGTGTGTCATCATCCAATCCAATGCAATGCAGCTTGCCAAACATGTCTACGGCGCGTCAAGGGTTGTTGCGACTTCAAGCACTGCCAAGCTGGGATTGGTGAAAAGCTTGGGTGCGGATTTGGTCATTGACTACACCAAGAGCAGAGTTGAGGAAGACCTGCAGCAGCTTGATCACAAATTTGATGTAGTTTATGATGCAGTCGGTAAGAAAGACCAACTCAGATTGACCCATCCATCTATCTGATCTGGATTTCTTTCAAGATTTGACAATTACTACTATCAACTAGATGGTTAATTAATTGATCCTCTTCTCCAACTCAATTCAATTGCGTTGGGTTGGCTGTACTTGTGAACAGGGCAACCAGATATAGCCGTAAAGGCAGTGAAGGAAGGTGGCAGAGTGGTAGACATAGTTGGTTCAGCCAGACGCATCAAAATGCCGCGCAACACGCCTCCTCCCATTATATTTCCCCTCACCTCCAGTGGGGATTTCTTGAAGAAGCTTAACCCCTATCTGGAGAATGGCAAGGTCAAACCAGTGCTCGATCCCAACGGGCCCTTCCCTTTCCACCAACTTAAGGAAGCCTTTTTGCATCTTGAAACCAATCGCCCCGCCGGGAAAGTTGTCATATATCCAATTCCATGATACTATAATTTATATATCATCACAATCATGTCACACTCGCACACACCACATCATTAACATCTATCTATCTATAAGGCAATGTTTGGTCGTTTCTTTCCTTGTAATTGTCCCTAGTTGTTTGTGTTTGTTTAACTTACAGCATCCTTCCTTTGTGCTGCTACAACAGTAACAGTAATAACATTTCCACGTGTAAGTAAAGAGCAATGCAGAGCAGGAAAAGACAGTAGTGTGATCTACTTATACAACTGCAATAAATTTACAGATTTATAAATCAGACATGATTTTTAGTTTAGGTGCAGCTAGCTGTACCAGCAGCAGCACAAATAATCGATCAGTCAATCTTCTTGCTTGGTGATATGGTGGATACCTGAAAGCACAAAATAGCCCATCGATCAGCTCATAGTGACAGAAGGGGAGATGGCGTCTTCGAATCAAGATCCCAATGCTCAAATGAGCCCTTCACAAAATCATAGTGTCCTCCCCTTAAGGCTAGTGTTTTCTTCAGTGCCACAGCTTCCCTCACAAATGGGTAAGTTAGCAAGTTCCCTAGTGATACGTTCACAGCTTCCTGTCGGGGACACACATGCAAGAGTCCAATGTTTGAACAACAAGCGAATGAGCAGCGGGTGAAATCAAGGAGATTACATGAACAACATTGAGATTTTAAGAAAAATTAAGGAGGGATGATATATTATTATATCGGAGTATATGCCAATATAATTCGAAACCTTTTCTAGAAGGGTGCACTGCTCATTGACATCCAAATGCTTGCATTCTGTTTGGATTTTGGCCTTAGCAGCCTTGCATATGGTGACCCAATCTTGTATGAATTCACTATATAATTGGATGAAAATGGAGTTATATATCGTAATAGTTGCAAAAAAGAATGAGATATAATCATATGATCCTGAGCATTGAGGCAAAAACCTTTGAGTGGAGCCATCATCAGGAATGGACATGAGTCCCTTTATGCCTCCACAGCAACTATGTCCGATAACCAGTATATTTTCGACCTGTCGTCATTATCGTTGTCATTGCCGCAATCTTTTGTGAACCAAAAATTTAATACTTCAACTGCAAGGCAGCGGCAAGAGTAGCAAACACTAGCGGTTTGTTGATGATGATAGTGTCCTACCATATTGTAAGACATGTCACATTTCAGCTTAATTTAATTTCTAATATTTTCTTGTATCTCGGTATCAACTTCATATAGAAACACGTATGGTGTGTTTGTTTGAGGATTGGATTTTAAATCTACTATCTGTCCTATTTTTTTCCTTAAAAAACATAAAATCAAACACTTATTTTTCATTTTTTATATTATACTAAAAATCAATTTTACATTCAAAACATCACATCAACCCACCTATTTATACCTATTTATATAGCATCATACAACTAATACACCCGTAGTGCATTATCTTTGGGTTCCTAATCAATTTTCTTAGGCAGGCGCGTGTGGGTCACGTTGTTTTGCCTGTCAAGCCGTTGTCTAATGTTACTGAACAACAACAAGCGAGTAGTTGAATCAGGTTATTTAACCGTTATTTGAATGAATAGTAAACATGTAAATTATAATACTTACTAGATTAAAGGAACAACAGTGATAATAAGATGCAAATCAATCTACCTTCAAATGCAAAACTGCATATTCAATGGCAGCCCCCACTCCCGAATATTTTGTCTGCGGCAGGACAGACACAATATAGTAGTTAGGTGAGCTAGGTCAGAGTAGGCAAGATTCTGCCTGATCCAAATAAAAAGACGATCTTGTTCTTACTACTCTCCATATATACTGATATACGTAGTATCACCATTCATTCACCGTCAGTCAGATTAGAGAGCGACAAAATAGCCTTGCCAGCCAGTCATTAAAGAGCCAAAAATGAATGTCATATCAGAGATGATGATGCGGGTGGTACGGTACCTTGTCGAAAGGGGGAACCATGTTGGCAATATTTCGGACCATAAAGGCCTCCCCTGGTTGGAAATTCAGGATGTGGGAAGGGCATACTCGAGAATCCGAACACGCAAATACCAAGTACTGCACCCAATCATTCAGATTCATCCATCGTCTAACCTAATCTAAAAAGTAGTACAACAAGAGTCTGAATTTTTGCTACCTTTGGACTTTGACCTTTGGCCAGCTTTGAATACAAATCTGGATCCTTCCTGCGCGTTTACAAAAAATACATTCCATAAATCATCATCATCGTCATCCTGTCCTATTACCTCCGGCAACAACTACTTTTAGAATATACCCACCTGATGTAGTTACGAATTTATGATGCCCAATGGTTTACTGACTGACTGACTGACAGACAGACAATTTAAATACTGAGCTAGTTATTGCATTCGCTCAATCATCATATATATACCGTGTCCGTCAGCTATGTACTTTTATTACTCCCTTTGAAACTACCAAATCAACCTCAAATCACACCTAAAGCTGAGTTATATTTTGATCCCATACTGCTGGAATAATTAATTACTTACAGGTATTTCTCCTTTTTGAAGTGGTCAAAGCCGGATCGGATCCTCTCAACCGGGTCACGCTCAATGCCTGCCCCCTTCTCAGCCGTCCCCGCCAATTCCTCAGTCAGCTGCTTCACCTTTGCGGCGGCAACCGCCTTCAGCTCTCCTTTCTCACTGCATTCATTCGGAATAAATTTCATTTTATGACAAAAAGTAGCACAGATTTCCGACATTGGATCATAGCCCTGATATCAAACAGAAGTGTAAAAGAGTTCTGACGCGAAAATCCCGAGGAGAAGAAAATATCAGCGAATCAAAGATAGAGCAGATTATCTATACTTACCTTAGAAGTTTCTGGAGCCTAGCAATGGCTTCCTCGCATGAGTCCTTCCCCATTTGCTCCACCTGCAATACTCCAGGATTACATCTCTACTCCAAAACTTGCCGATCGAGAAAACCTACCACTAAAAATTACTCCACACACACACGTACATATTCGCTACACACACACACACACAAAAAATAAAAAAATAAAAAATTACAAATGCAAATCATTGTGCTTCTCTGAGGAGCTAACTATATCAATGTGATGGTTACAAATTTTTTTTTTAAAAAAAAAAAAAAGAGAACTACTCCACTAAATTTAGTGATTGGCAGACGAAGGTTCCAAACGGATTGCCTGTATACGTAGAAGAAGCTTATCGATCGAATTTGAATGAAGAAACGTAAAATGAATACCGTGTGATTATCACTGGCAATGAACGGAATGTATGTGATCCGAAAGTCAAAGCTGAGGTTCTTGGTTTTATTTTCTCGTTTATCGTAGACGCATTGTTTTAGGAAGATTGTAATTAATAAATAATTTAATATAATAAAAAAATTATAAATTAAAATTAAAATAATTAATTAATATTATCAAAATAAAAAATTATAAATTTAAAATATAATTAAAATATTTATTTTTAAAAAAATCCAAAAATGACATAGAATGGACATGTAAAAATTATAACATAAAACGTAGGACAAATGAGGTATTAGTTGATTAATCTATCTTTCTGGTCGTGATTGTACACTAAAAAAAATATTAATTTTGTAACGAGATTTTTTCGTTCTTAAATTCACTTATTCCGTTACTAACGATATTAGAGACCGAATTAGTGATGAAATTATGTTAACTACTTGAATTTTAGGAACGAAATTCCGTTACAAATATACTATTTTTTAAGCGATAATTTAATAGTTGATTTGAATAGTAAAAATAATTTTTATTGTAATATAAAAAATAGAAAAATAAATATTTGATTTATATTTTTAGAATATTTTTTAAATAATAAATAAACAAATAAAATTACCAAAAAACACACCTTTTATATTTTTTATTTTATTTTAGTTTTTTTTTATAAATACAAAAATAAAATTAAAGTGTGTATTTAATATTTTCTTTTAAGAAAATGCACGCGTCTCTCATGGTTGTCATAAAAAAATTTATATACATACATAGATAGATGTATATCTTTTAAAATTTATATTATTATTTATAGTATTATATACTATAAAGATAAATAATATGTGAGGAGGTATTTGAATAAATATAAGTAGTAGGCGATTCTTAGTTGGATTCTTATATAAATGAGAAATAGTGTGTGGTGGGCATTGGATTATATTATGAGTCACGTTGGCAAATGGGAAGTTGGGACGTGGCCTTTCTTGATTGGAGATAATATTTATTTATGTAAAATAATATAATAGTATAAGAGTAGAGAAGCAAAGGTTAAGCAGCAAAATGTGAGTAGATTAGTAGATATGGAGAGTGGAGTGAGCGAGAGATGTGGAAGAAATTAAATTACCGTAGGCTTCCTGGTGCAGCACATCGTCAGGCATTTCTTGAATTTTCCAGCCATACCTGCTGCCTATGCATCGCATTCACATTCATGCATTTAGTTAATTACTAATAAATATGGCAAATGAATAAGGAAGGAGCAGCTGGCAGTTGTGCAGATTGATGTTAATTGGTTGTAAAAGAATCAACGAGGAGAAAGCAGTAGAGAGAGAGAGAGAGAGAGAGAAAAGGATAAAATTACATACAGAATAGCAGAGCCGTATTTTTGTTGGATTGGAGGGGAGGGGAGGGGAGGGGAATACCTAACCTAACCTTACCTTACCCTAGGAGCAAGGCTACCATGCCAGGCTGCAGTGCTGAGGTTATAACAATATAAGAAGGGAGGGAGAATGTCGGGGTGGGGATTTTTAATTTAATCTGTGCGTAGGTGGATACATACGGATAAGGACGACAAGAGATGAGATAGAGAAGAAAGCAAAGGAGAAGGAATGGAATGGAATGGAATGGTGCGTCAGCCTCAGCCGGAAGAGATGTGGATGACAAAAAGGATACATACATACATACTAACAACAATTGCGTGTACGTGTATGGTCACTACTCTCCACTTCAAATTTGAGGAGGAGGAGGAGGATGACGACGATACATCAATATCAATACCAATACCAATACCAATACCAATATCCACATCAATATTATCAAATTCTTCATCTTTTTCTACTACTACTACTACTCTATTACTGTACTTCCAATTATTCTAGACCCTTGAGGAGATGTGTAGGGATGCATACATGCATCTATCTATCTATCTATGTACAACAATGTGCCATACCAACTAAACTAACTAAGCTAGATGAATGAATGAATGAATACAAATCTACTCTACTCTTGCGTGCAGAATATCCATGCCTCATCCTCTATCCCTTCCTTCCTTCCTGTTGGAGGCTGGTCCGCTCACTGGCTGTTGTCATTAGCTAGCAACCATGCATGTGTGATCCGGACTCAGGAGCTTACCCACTCCCTGCTCATGGTGATTATGAGTCCTTTCAACTTTCACCCTCCTTTTCTGCAATGTTATGACCAGCACCCCCTACCAATTACGGTGTACCCGGGTTCGGGGGCCAGGGCCAGGGCCGGGGCGGCAGGGGTGGGAGCCCGGGCCGGGGCGGCAGGGGTGGGAGCCCAGGCCGGGGCCGGGGCCGGGGCGGAAGGGGTGGGAGCCCGGGCCGGAGCTGCCGGGGCCGGGGCGGCAGGGGTGGGGGGCCGGGGCGGGGCAGGGGTGGGAGCCGGAGCAGGGGCAGGGGTGGGAGCCGCAGCAGGGGCAGGGGCAGGGGCAGGGGCAGGGGCGGGGGCAGAGGCAGGGGCCAGGGCCGGGGCGGCATGGGTGGGAGCGGGAGCCCGAGAGGGGACGGGGGCGGGGGCAGGGGCTGGGGCAGTCTGGGCAGAGGTGGCGGCTGATTATCGTTTTCATATAAATCTACTATCTGGTTGCAAACCTCTGAAGAAAGGTGGAACATATCAGAGATAATAATAATAATAATAACAATCATAATAATGTCCGGTTAGAACCAGAAGAAGAATGATCATTGAATTCAGAATAGAGGTAATAGATACACAGCTCAGGTTAGAGAGAGAGAGACTTAATCCCAATATGGATAGCACTGCATTGCAACTACTACTACTACCACTTGACGTCATGAAGCAAGCAAATTGAACAAGGCAAGGGACTAACCCTCAAATTGGCGCGCGGTGACATTTAGCACTTGCCACCAAGTCTTCCCACCCACAGATGGCAGCTGTATCTTGACAAATTTGGAAGCAAGGAAAAGAGCACCCGCTGCAATCTGGTTGGGCTTACATTGCAAGCACAGAGTTGTCCGATAGCTGCCATTTCACTTTTCCACCAGGTAATTAAAAAGAACAACAACCATGGTGGGATACCAAACAAACAAACGACAATCAGAGCACAGGTACAGGTACAGCCACACCATACCTATCATTAACAAAATTCCAAGCAGCTTGTCCAAGGGCAAAGTGATGCGACAGTTGGAATTCATTAAGTGCCTCGATAAGAGGTGTATAGGGAAGAGCCACATTAAGTTCAAAATCAAGTGTTTGCAGAACAATCCTTTCAGCTAAAAAAATAAGCTCTTTGTGCCTCTTCATTTCCTCCTACACAAACAAAGTAACTTCAACTGAGAACCACCGCCACACAAAGAAAAGATGACAAGACAAATCAAGTTCAAGCAACAATAAGCTCAGAAGAGATAAGCAGCTTAGTCACTAGATGAATCAAGTATTCCACCTTATTATTGAACCTTTCCAGAGCAAGAGGATCGTCTTTCTCCATTAATTGATGTCCCGCAAAAATGACATCTTTAACAGAGCGAGGATAGTAATTCGCTTTACCTGCAAGAAACATACATGCCATGGCAATGGTCTGCAGAAAATGCAAAAACTAGTAAGCATTGTATACTTGTCTTTAGAATCAGAAAAATAAGTGAAAGTAATAATACACACTCCAATGAAGGAAGATGCATGCCATTAAAGGCTTTTTCATGAAAACCAAATGCATTTGATTCGCATGCACGCAGCCAGAAAATGTGTATTCAAATATAATGAAAAGCCCAAAACCATGGACAGGCAGAGGCCAAAGAGGTGGGCACTAGCACATGCACGTGCACAATCATGACAGTGAAGCAGTAAATCTCATGAACTTTGCTTTCTGTTATGAAGCAGCAACATGATATACAGCATCTGTTGGTGTACCTCCAATTTGATTTTTGCAGCGTGGGAAGATGATCATGCCAGTTGCTAAATTTGAAGAGACCAATCTGACTTTCCCAATTACAGTCAAAGGCTTGCGGATCAATGTCACGTGAGAGGAGATAAGGCCACCCACAAAGGGATTCACCCAGGAGGTTTGTCCCTTGATTGCCTTGTATGAGTTATAAATCCCACTGAAGTGGAGGTTGAGCTGATAGAGAAGAATTATAAGTTAGTACCTCGTCGGATTTGGGAGGCTGTCACGGTACGCATTCCTTTGGGAAGTGGCCGATCGGATGCACAAGAGATGATTGCTCAGGTAGAGGTGAGATTCCGTTTGACATCTTGATCATTGCATCAGCCTAGCATCGACTTTCTACTTTGGATGACAACCTATGCTAATAGAATATAGTGTCTAAGATAGATATGGTTCTAGCTTTAAAGAGCAATCTAGAATATGAAATTCCCTGTAGTACTGATCTCTTAAGTTCATTTCAGTTTCCACTTACAACAATTTAGTCCAATTTGATGGTTCACAAGGATGATTATGACAAGGAAGAAGGAAACATGGCTGAGATTGTAGCGGAATTGAGGATTTTACAGAGAAACAAAAGGACATTCTCCGATGATTGGAAGCAATCCGAAAACAGATAGCTGCAGTCATGGCCAGCCAGCTGGCTGCCACGCTGAATGGGGCAACAGAAACAGAAAGCTCAATGAAAGTGCCCCATGTTTGCCATTAGTGTTAGAAAATTTATCACAGTTATGAGAATTGCTACAAGTGGTCCATGACTTGATGAAAGGCAAAAAGGTGAGTGACTTGATGAACCTGCAGTTAAAACTAAAAGAAAATGGACATGGAAGTTGAAACAAAAGTGTCAAGTTGCCTGCACTTGACTTCAAAGCTACTAAGATCAAGGTTGCTCATCATGCCACATGGTCAAGGATAAGGATGTGGTAATTGGCTTCATGGATGGAGTGATTGATGGTGAAAGGAGCCAGATTTAATTTAGCAAAGGTGCTAGTAGTTGCAGAACAAGTATACCTATTGGTTCACTTGTAGAAAAGTTTGACTGCACAAAGTGTCTCCAAGAAGAAGGCTGGGACAGCCAAAATTGATCACTAATCCGCTTGTCTGATTATTCGTTGTGTGCTGCAGTGTGCTCTACTTCAATTCATTTCATTCATTCAATTACAGGCACAATCATACAAAAAACTGAGGCGAAAGTTGCAAATATCCTCCCCGGGAACCTAAGTTAATCATAAAAATAACTTGACACAGAAAGAAGCAATGAAAAGAAACAAAAATCAACTCACCCTCCTATCATTTTTTCGATGTGATTGGCGAATGAAGAAGCGGTGACAAAAAGTTGTTGCCATAGCAATTGTTCTCTGGGACCTGCAATAGGAATCATCTAGCATCAAGTATTATAAATTTCAAAGATGCTTAATCAGGGGAAGAAAATAAGGATGGATTAACGAAAATGCAGTCATGCATAACAGAGTACTGTGCCAGCACACCAATTTACAATGTCAAAAAAAAGAAAACTAACAGGGGTCCAAATAAACCAGCATCAAAGTAAAACAGAAGCACATCTTGCACTTTTCAAAATATAAAAGCACATCAAAGCAGTGATAAAGTAAGCATTAAAATATGAAAAACACATACAAATCAAAGAAAAAGAAAGGACATACACTCTCAGCCTTATGCCTATATGTTGTATAAATGAGCTAGATGATTTTATCAGAATAGTTTCTATCTCCCAAGAAATACCATCTCGTCTGGAAGGAGAATTTTCTTCAATGTATTTCTTAGAATAGTACCAGCCTCCACCACCCTCTTCTTGTTTTCCTTGAGAACTAGTAGAGGTTCCTACTGCAGCTCCAGGGTCAGATTTCTTACCAGATGATAACAGGCTGGACATTTTTAAATATTTCTTCAACAATATTTTTACAACGGTACTTGATGGCCTGTTAAACATCAAAATATTCAGACATGAGACATCCTGTGCACATTAACATAAAAATTATTTAAATATTCAGCACCACTCTTCTAAACATTTTCATATCTAACACTTCAAATCATATTGAGCAAAATCAGCATTTAAATTCCTAATTTTATCTCAACACTTGAGACTTCCACTATTCAATTGGTATGGATGAGAGGAAAGAGAGCACCGAACTTCTGTTAAGTTGATCATCATTTTAAACTGGATATGTGCCAAGAACATTCTTTTATAGATCCCAAGAATGCCAAATCCTCACACATTGTTCCAAGATATGCAATAAATCAAGCTTCTCTCAATTAGTTGACTCGTTCCAGATTGATAAGTTACAATTGAAACGCAACTTCGAATATACTAAACCAAAAACTACCCGAGGATCTAATCGCAAGTTCCCAATTCGCTCCAACAATATGAGATCATGCCTATAATTAACCAACCAGGGACTTTCCAGACAACACTCCAATACGCAGACCTTGTCGTGAACCAAACAAGAAGTAGATTTTTTTTTTCCTTTGGTCTAGAAAATCGTACAAGTTGAAGCTTCGGACGGAACCAAAGTGGCACATTAGTCTAGAAAAGATTAAAGAAATCGAATAGATACTAAGTATCAAACAAGAACTCCCTACTCAGAATTTCAGGCGTAAACAAGAATGACAAAAGCACAAGATATTGAAACCTCAATCACAGATAACAACGTCATGTCGCGCACAACAAACTACGGCATTGCATTCAAGCAGAAAGTGCTACAAGAAAATGAAATTCTACAGAATGGAAATGCCCCGGTCCCGTAATCGGTTTGAGACATGAATGGCACCGAAGCAGTCTCTCAAGTTCTTTAGCGAGGCAAGTTGTTGTATCCGGATGCACACTTCCACTTCAAAACTTCGCTTCAAACTTTCCACTCCAAATGTTTCTGTTGTGTATCCCCGTGGAAAAGAACTTTCATTATATACGAGGAGAAACAACGAGCAGTTTGTGGCGCCTCTTTTTTTTTTTTTTTTTTTTTTATTAATTTTATAAATAATATATTGTCGATAAATTTTTTTTGAATGGGCTGGGCTAATGATGACCGACCGTACAATAAAATATAATGGGCCGATGATTCGACCCAGATGAGCCCAGATGAAATGCTTTGAACGAGCAAACTCTTCTCTACTGAATCAATTGTATTTTCCATATTCTTTTAGACTGGAAATTAGAGCAGTCAAACATCCATGATTTCTCAATTGAGTATCTGTCGATCGAATGCGCATTTGCCGGCAGGGATCGCTTTCGGGGATTCATCAACCTTTCTCCCATTGGAACAGCAACACGATACGACACTCGTTGCTTACGTCAGTTCCGTGGATTGGATTGGGAGACACCGGGTATAACTGGTTTTCTTTCATGCTCTTTTCGATTCTTCTTATGCTGGTCTTGCTCTCACTACTGTTTTTTTGTCGGATCACTTGCCATCTACTGATCAAGGGACTGCGCGCAATTTTGAAGAATCTGCAAAGACATGCAGCTTGTTTGTACTTGTGTGTGGAAGTGGTCACATGTATCTGTATGAAGGTGCATACCGGGCTTTGTTCAACTGAGTTAACTAAATCGGATCTCTGTTGCTATTTGCTAACGTTTGCTGAAATTATTTTAGTTTAGTGTTTGATTATGAAAATTTCTTGATTAGTTTGGGTGATGTTGAGCAATACGTTTCTGGAAGTTGGAATGGATCTTGTCACTGGATTTCACTAATCATTTTTTTGAAGTCATCAATAAAATCTCCACTGTTGAGGAGACTTTCAGATGGGGAAAAATGGAAAAGGTAGAAGAAAGTTTTAAAAAGGAAATTTTGATGAAAAGATTATTTTGATTGCTCAATGTAGTAGTGGGATAGGTGCAAGTGCAACTCTCCCTAGATGTGTCCGTCAGACTAATGATAAACAATAACACTAGAGCTTCTCATTTTCCAAAAGCTGGTTAGGTCAGAGTCACAATTTCATTATTAGCATATAAACTTGTTCACTTTTCTTGCTATAGTTAGGTATCAGTTGATGCAGCAAGCAATGCCCTTTACCCTTTTTTTCTATGCTATTTAAGAGCTTCAAGAAGTTGGCTTGAATCCTAGGACTTCTGTGGGGGCTACTTGCCAGTTGTTCCAGTTAAATTTTCCAAGCACAACAGATATATACATAATGCTGTATTGCATTAATAGATTTTTCTTTACCTTCTGATGCAGAAGGCTTCTGTTGAATTATTGATTGCTTTCCATTAAAAAGTCATGTTTCTCAACTTATTTCAAAAAACTTTCTCAGGCTGGAGCCCAAACCTCAGATTTGTCTACTCTGTTCTGAGGAATCATGATTCATGCTGAAGCAAATGAAATCAAGTAAGTGAGCATAATAATTTTGGAGTTTCCTTCTCCGCTTGTTCGTATTTTTTTGGTGTTCTTTGATTGTAGAAATCTGGGGTTCAAAAGCTCTTTTATCTTCTCTTAAAGATCTCTTAGTTATCACTTATAATCAAACTAACACTATAACTTTTACTGTACAAAGTGTTCTGCAAAAACTTAAAGGCTTTAGCTTTGGGCAAACAATCAACACTGCATATATATTACTGTGCATATATTACTGTGTATATATTTTTGCGACAGAACTCTTATCTTTATCCGCATGACAAAATTGCATAGAATCTGTTAATGTAGTCCATGTATCTTTTTACAGGTAGATTCATAATTCTAGACTTGTTTTCTCCCAGTTTGTTGCTTGACCTAATCATACAGGCTGTTGATTTCTAATGTACACTAAAAGTATGAATCATGAAAGCAAAAGAAACACAAGTTAGGATGTATGTGCATAATTATGATTGTGTCAGAAAACAGGAATTGTGTATTATTTTGTTGAGTCAGGTCATGGATCATGTACTAGAATAGTCATGAATCATAACGCCATAGTTTTGAGTAGGGAAAACTATTATACCAAAGGAAGTCTGACTATCAAAACCTCAAGTTTTGGGTGTACCAAACTCCGTGCTCTATTAAGTGTATTTAGAACTAATCCATTATAATATTTGTCTTCTGCATGTCTTACTGAAGACATATTTAAATACTTCCTGGCTAAACTTTGTTGCAGTCATCCACTAATAGAAAAAAATTTCTCTTGGATGTTGTAATTCAACTCACAGAGAGGAATGAATGCTTACCAAGAAATGATCATGCCTCTCCCACTTTGCTCATTTCCAAACCCAAAAAAGGGTATCCATCCTCTAGGGTTCTAAAGATAAATAATAGTTGGAATTCCCTATAAATTAAGTCTGGATTCTAGGGAAATTAAAGCAAGAGAAAGTAGGAGAATATTTTTCAATAAAGTATGTTGATTGCTTTTCCAAATGGACAATGCAGTTGGTCAATTTATAATACTTGCTAAATTTTAGAAATCCACTAATACTCCCATCCTGCTTGTAATTGGTGTAACAAGGAAAATCAGGCTGCTGGATTGCAATGTTCTCATTACTGTACCAGTGAATGGATTGCATGCATGTTAGATTTCTGGAAGGAAGTCATATTGAGTTAGTGCTGGTTTTGTGTGCTTCTAGCTATTGATATCATGATATAATATTTTTTCTAGTGTTACTATCTGAAATACGACCACTCTGCGGTTATTTATTATGTGCTATTTGTTTTTTTTTATTATTATTGGAAAGAGGGGATTTGTTTTGGTAATATGGGTAGTTGTTGACTTGCTGTTATAGAATATACACGATGGATGAGTTAATTTGCTCATTGTCCCGTTATATGTGTCTATGTCCACTGATTTTATGGCTTATTTGGTTTAGGTTTTGGTTTTATCCAGGTTGATCTGCTTGTAATACTCCACCTCTTTCTTCGAAGTGTTAATGGAGAAACCAACTAGTAATCCAGCAACTCAATTAATTGAAGGCTTGGTTGGTTTTCTGCGCAGAAGCGTAAGTTTGATTCTTTTAGCTGGCCCTGTTCCAAGGCATGTTGCATTTATTATGGATGGAAATCGGAGATATGCTAAGAAGAATAATTTAGAAGAAGGAGCCGGTCATCGAGCCGGATCCTTAGCCCTTATGAATATGTTAAAATACTGTTATGAGCTGAACGTGAAGTGTGTTACAATTTATGCGTTTAGCATTGATAATTTTAAAAGGCGGCCAGATGAAGTCCAGTCCACCATGGAGTTGATACAAGAAAAGATAGAAGCTTTACTTGAGAAAGAGAGTATTGTGAATCATTATGGAGTGAAGGTACACTTTAGTGGAAACCTTGATCTTCTGAGTGAAACTGTCAGGTCGGCCGCCAATCGTGTCATGCGTGCCACTTCCAACAATTCAAAGCGCATGCTTTCCATATGCATCGCGTACACATCAAGAGATGAGATTGTGCATGCTGTCGAAGAGTCTTGTAAGGAGAAACAAAACGAATTCTTCAGGGATCATCCTGAAACATGTGGACTTGGTGGACTGGGAGAGAACACAACAAGTAGTGACACACCATGTATCAGCATTGAAGACGTGGAGAAGCATATGTATATGGCAATTGCACCCGATCCCGACATCATAATCCGCACTTCTGGAGAAACACGGCTGAGTAATTTCCTTTTGTGGCAAAGCACACGGTCGCTTCTATACTCTCCCGGCGTTCTTTGGCCAGGTATTGGGTTTTGGCATTTAGTCCAAGCAATCTTGCTCTATCAGAGGAACTCTGCTTATTTTGAAAAGAAAGGGAAACAGATCTAGACTGCAGAACAATCTCCTTTCTTATCTATCTCATCTTATCTTGTGGTATCTAATGTAATGTGTGTGTGTGTTTGGATCTTTGTTTCCATTGCTTCTCATCATTCTGGCATCCTGTTTGCTATGGATGCAGTAGTGCATTGTCAGTCATTCTTGGTTCTCTCTATGTAAGAAGAAACGTAGAATTAGAATAGAATGCTGTATTTTGTTATATTAGCAATTTGTTGTGCTGTTTACATTATTATGTTGGGTTTGTTAAGTACATTATTCAGAGCATAACAGATCAGATGATTAATTTTTCTGCCTCCCTGTCTGTCTGTCCGTCCCTGCTATGTGTGAGTGTGAGTGTGAGTGTGAGTGTGATGCTATAAAATAAAGCAACTTTCATTATCGCTGGGTGGATGGATAGTATTTATTAGCTTTAACTATCTATGTCTACTGTCTTACTTTTATGCTCTACCCTAAATTGTTTATGATTGCATCAATCAAACTATACCGTTAAATTCGAATCGAGTTGAAATTATTATTATAATTATAATTCAAATTTAATTTATATTGTTAACAAGTTGGAGAATTTTCACGGCTCTAGGCAAGTGGATTCAATTACTAATAATATATCATCGCCCATAATAGTACACTACTTTCTTAAATCTGTACGTTGCTCACCTGTGCTCATCAATTCAATTGCGTTACGGTATCTTTTGTTCTCATAAATCCCAATTCCAATCATTGTTCATTACACAAGTCTGTGCCACTGCAATGATACATAATTTGATACCAATAATGACAAAATTATTACCCCTCTTGCTTTTTCATTATTCATGCCATGACATCATTGCAACAAATAATTTATGAAAATTGAATGATAATTACGATTGCCTTTTCTTCTTCACAATAATTTATTTTATTACTAAATAAATGAAAAAGGTACGTTTTAACAATGTAATAAAGTAGTCTAGTCAAATTATTTACTTAAAGAAAGTAATTCATTATTAATTTAATAGTGTAATTAAATAAATAAATATTTGACGATAATAATTATAAATATATGGTAAGTGGAGGGCCATACATACATACATACATACATACGGCCATACCCTAGTCAAAATTGGCAGTATAAATACGGAGTAATGTATAGCGCCATCCTCAAGACAATGATTGTGAAATCGTAAGGCACTAGGTAACTCGTCCCCAAAGCATAAAGCTGCCAACCTGCTGTCCTCTCCTCTCCTGTCCTCATCCTCCAAAGTAGATTCCCGAATCGATACTCGCGCGTACACCTAACTACACGCCCTCGCCGCGCTAGGTTTTCCTCCTCTACTCCGTAACTTTGAGATCCGCCTACTTACACCGGTGATATCCTCGTTGTATTGCAGGGAAATCGGAGAGAATTTTGATTTCTGTGTGAACCAGCCCTCGGCGAATCGGCGGAGGGGCTAGCGTTTCGCTCCAGAATATGGAAGCTAACAACGGCGGCGCTTCCGCGGCGGGCTTACCAGAGTGCTTTTCTTCTGTGATTCCAGGATGGTTCTCGGAGATTAGTCCAATGTGGCCTGGTAATTTGTTTTATTCCTTCTCAACAAACATTAGGAGTCTCTGGTATCTGCGGTGTGAATTGCGCGTGTGGTTTCGTACCTGCTTCTGTGTGTGCGTTCTTAGTTTGTTGGAATTTCATGCTGTTACCTTTTCCGCTCGTCCGTATTTTGGTTGTGCTCTTTGTTTTAGAAATCCGGAGGGAGTTCATAGAGTATTAGTTATCTTCTTTTAAAAATCTCTTAGTTGTGACTTGTATTCAAGCTAACATTATTATTTTTACTGGACAAAAGTGTTACGAATAGGATTAAAGGCCTTGGCTTTGGGTGGATAATGCATGAGTACCTATGCCGCCGTGTTCTTATTCTTATATCCGCCAGTCAAAATGGCATGCAATACTTTGATTTAGTCCATGTCTTTTTTTTCTTTTCTTTTTCCAGATTCTACGCTTGTTGTTTCCCAGGTTGTTGCTTGACCTATTCCTAGGCTATTTATTCTTATGTATACTAAACATATAAATCATGAAAGCAAAAGAAACAAAGAGTGGTTTCTTTTGATAGGGTTTGAGAAGTTTTGGTTTGAGTTTGTTATTAAATCAATGTATCATGGGATGCAGGGGAAAAAGTGAAATTTTTTTGGGAAAGTCGAATTCAAATAGTAAAATTTTGGTAAAAATAATAGCAGGATATGATGTTTTTGCATGGAAAATTAATGCTAAATATGTTTTTGAAGAGAAAATAATAATTTCAATACTAAAAAAAAAAAAAAAAGGAACACACACACACAAGAATCAGCAAACGGGAATTATGTTTTATTTTTTATAAGTCGGCTCAGAGATTGTGTGCTGGAATGATAATGAACATAATAAGTCACTGTGATACAACACGCAGGAGAAGCACATTCTTTGAAAGTGGAAAAAATTTTGTTCCAAAGCAAGTCTGACTATCAAAACGTCATAGTTTTTGAGGTACTTCATACGTCTATTTGTAATATTTGCTTTCAGCATGTCTTACTGAAGATGTATTTACATACTTACATGGCTAAATTTTGTTGCAGTCATCTACTTACGGAAAAGTTCTTGTCTTGGATGGTGTAATTCAACTCACAGAGAGGGATGAATGTGCTTACCAAGAAATGATCACTCATCTCCCACTCTGCTCAATTCCAAACCCAAAAAAGGTATCTTTAAACATAAATAAGTTGCTGGTCTGGAATTCCCTACAAATTAAAGTCGAAATTCCAGGGAATTTAAACCAAACGAATACAGGAGAATCATTTTAGTGTAGTTTATTGATTTCTTTCCCCAAAAGGCAATACAGTCTGTTAATCTTGTAATCCTCTAGTGCTTGTTAGAATTGTTTATAAAAAAAAATTTGGAAAAGTTTAGTACTTAACCAATATTCTTATTCTGTTTGTAATTCATGTAACGAAGAAAGGTAGGATGCTGGATTGCAAAAGTTCTCATTTAGGTGCCATTGAATAAATTGTTATATTTTTTAAAGGAAACCATATTGAGTTATTGGTTTTGTGTGGTTCCGGTATTGATGTTAAGAGAATATTTTTCCACTTATGATCTCTGAAAGAATATTCCAACACTTTATTTTATTCTGTGATATTAATATTCTCTTAAATTTTAAGTATATCATGTTCTCAGGTTCTAGTAATTGGGGGAGGAGATGGGGGTGTCCTGCGTGAGGTGGCCCGCCATTCTTCAATTGAAAAAATAGATATCTGTGAGATTGATAAAATGGTTGTTGATGTAAGTATTTCTGATTCTCTTGACTTTGTGTAGTTTATCATCTGCGTGTTGGTGTTTTGCCCTCTCTTCATTTACCGGTTGTGGACAGGCTACGGTCTGTTGGTCAAAAGTCGGTGGACTCTGGATGAGGAGACAGAAACCTGATTTTATTTCCATGGATTCACACATACCATGTTGGAATTGGAGCCTTTATAAGCTATTTCAATGCAACTACTTTTTTTTCTCTCATCCAGGTTTCCAAACAATTTTTCCCCAGTGTAGCAGTGGGGTTTGATGATCCCCGTGTGACCCTGCATATTGGAGATGGTCAGTCAACTGTAGTTTCTGTATTTTATAGGGGTCCTTCTCTTTTACATGGCTCCTCCACTTACCAAGATCCTTGCAGGAGTTGCATTTCTCAAGGCTGTGCCTGAAGGAACTTATGATGCAATCATAGTGGATTCTTCAGACCCGATTGGTATGATTGTAGCTTTGGTGTGGTTGCTTTCTTAAATGCACCAAGAAATTCCGAGGAATTCAATTGTTATCCTTTCATCACTCAGGTCCAGCACAGGAGTTGTTTGAAAAGCCTTTCTTTCAGTCTGTTGCCAATGCTCTTCGTCCAGGAGGAGTGGTTTGTACTCAGGCAGAGAGCATATGGCTTCACATGCACATTATTGAGGATATTGTTGCCAACTGCCGCCAGATTTTCAAAGGCTCTGTAAATTATGCTTGGACCACTGTCCCTACATATCCCAGGTAATTTCATTTTTCTAGCCTTGATTGTAGATTACACATATCATCGCTAACCCACCCATTACATTCATCTCCAGTGGTGTTATAGGATTTATGCTGTGTTCAACTGAGGGTCCTTTGGTTGATTTCAAGCACCCTGTAAACCCAATAGACGCTGATGAAAGTCAGGTCAAAGCAAAGGGACCCCTAAAGTTTTACAACTCTGAGGTATTGATACATTATTAAACCCCCCAAGTGTCTTGATGACATCCATCTGGTCACTTGCATGTGAAACATATGTTACTCAGTTACTTATATATTTCCTTACTGTGTTTAATTTCTGCAGATCCATTCTGCAGCTTTCTGCTTACCTTCGTTCGCCAAAAAGGTGATCGATTCAAAAGCTAAATGATAGGAGATGGGTGTAGTACGAAGTTTAGTATTTTTAGGCTATTTAACCCTTGCGAGATCACAAAGATAGCCTTGGAAGACTATACACATACAGTCAATCATTGACGATTGAACTCAGTTGTTCCGTTTCAAGGTTTTTGGTTGATTTATTTAAGTAAGATGCGGATGGATACATTTGATGTCGAATGTTGATCATTATGTTTTGGTTGAATTTATTTTATTCTAGGGGAAAAAGATTTGATATTGCAAAAGTTTGGGCATTATGTGGTTTTAGTAAGTTTGAACTAAAGCTTACAGCCAACAAAACCAGCTAATTGGTTTGTGCTAGTTGTGTTGGCCGCCTAGAGCATGGAACCTCAGTCAAGCATTATTATATATATTGTATGCAGCAAGGGAATGAATGTGTGTGTAAAAGCCGATCCTTAGTGGTGTGGATGATAGATAGATAGATAGATAGATAGATAGATCGGGGAAAAGGGGAACAGTCCCAGTCTCAGTCACAGTGGAGGGAGGTCAGGTCCAGGGATTGATTGAGTTTGGAAGATGAGTGGTGGTCGTACTCGTCGGAGGACCTTATAGTTATAGTTAGTTGGTGGGCGGGAGGCACAAGTCTGCAGGGCAGGGCACAGACAGACAGACATATAATTAAGACAAAGACACACGCGCGCGCCAACAACGCCATCCCATCCCCATGTCTTTTTAATTAATTAATTATATATATATATATTCAAGGAAGGATGGCATCTAGAGAGTGAATGAGAGTGGGTTTGCACTTGCTCTTATAGATAAAGTGGGGCCGGCCGGCCGGCGTGTGATGGAGGGGAGGCACACCAATTCAATACTCCACTAATTAATTAATGAACAAATATATGATTGATTGGGATTGGATTTGATTTGATTTGTACGTTGGTTGAGGTGGTCAGCGGTGATTGGACCGCCGTCGCCCACCAGCTCTCCTCACTCATTATTACACGTGGGAGCCGAGGAGCCTGACACATACTCATACACAAACCAAAACCAAAACCAAAACCAAAACCAATACCAATACACTACACACGCTCACTGACACACACACACACACACACACACACACACATCCATCCATCCATCTCTGTCGCTCTCCATCTCATCATATCTCATTCCTTCACTCTTATTCACAATTACGCCATCCATCAATTTTGTTCTTATTTCAATTTCTACACACATGCAAACGTATTAATAATATTCTTGTTACGTTGCATGTTATACCAAACAAAACAATGCACCTATATTCCTTCTATTTTATCAAACTTAATTACTTACTTCTCTCTCAGGATATTATAATATCACATCACACACACACACTGCTATTACAACATTTTTGGCAAGAAGAACGATATATTTGACTTCATCAACCTCGATTCTTACATTTAATTATTTATATATATAGGACCATACTAGTACTACGTACGCTCCCACCCCATGATTTTTGTCATCCACGATTAAATTGTAGTTTGGACCCAATATACAACTTGCTGCTTCCTCTTGTCGTAATTAATATCAGCTCCTTTCTTATTAGATGAGTACCATGTCATACTATATATATATATATATATATACTCTGCACGTTACTGGTGGTGGAGTCGGAGTAGTATATGCTGTAATACAATTTCAAATTTCTTTGTCAAAAACCCCTTTTTGGCTTCGTAAATCTGATCCGAGCAATAATTGCCCAAAGAGAGATATTATTATTAAAAAAAAAAGACCCAAATGATATTGTCGGAATAAAAATTAATGTCAGGGGCAAATTTGGTAAACTGACCGGCTACTGCAGTAATGACGCCATCTTCCCCTCGCCGGTTTATTCCTTGTCACTCCCGGAATATCCTTACCCGTTCGCTGTGGGCCCAAATAAACGAGTGGTGGGGATCATTTCCGGAGTCCAACTCCCTGGAGTTGCCAGGAATGATCTCCCACTCGACCCTATCCACTTTCAGACTGCATTTTCCACGTCATTTCTCATTATGTTTTTATTTAATGAGTAAAATAATACTCGCTATCCGGTATTGTACATGGTGCTTCGAGATCTTATACATTTTTATAGTAACCCTGTTGCTTTAGCTATCTTCTTCGTCAATATTAATATATTATTTTTATTATTATTTATTTTATAATAAAAAATAGTGAATAATAGTGTAATATTTCTATCGCACTCTCTTCTTTCTCTCTCTTGGAAATACACATCCATCTGTACAAAATTCCAATTCCCATTCTCCGTTCGGTGTTCTCGCTTTCTATAATTCTCTCTCAACCCTCTCTGAAGAACGTACTGCGGTTCCTCCTTACTGGCGTGGGCAGAAAGCAGCGTATTCCGATCACCGGTGATTGATTGGATTTTTTTGGTTTTTGGTGGTGGTGGCGGCGTTTTTTTTAGGAATCGGTTTTGTTTTTAGATAATGCAAACAATATTAGGTGTGAAAAGTGCTCCTTTTGTGATTTTTTTTTTTTTCGAATTTTTTCGCGGAGTGAAGAATTGATAGTTAATTTCTTGTCTGTGCGGAGAATTTTGCATTTTTGTAACGAGGAAAGCTCGAGGATTGACAGTATGTTTTTTTTTTTTTTTTTAGCAGATAGATTGATGATTGAAGTACACCGCGAAGAAAGCTAGAAGATTAGTTTCTGTTCACACTAGTTTTGTTTTTTTCAAGGTAAATCCATTTGACCTTATCTCATTTGGAATTTAGTGCTTATGATCCGTTCGTTAGTCCTTGTTACCTGCTAATTAAGTGTTGGTTTCTGTCATTTATCATTATCGCTAATCGTGTTGGTTTCTGTCATTTATCATTATCTCTAATCTGCTAATTAAGTGTTCCTTTCTGTCATTTATCATTATTTAATGATTCATGGAAATGGATTGTAAACGCAGGGCCAATACACACTTGTGGTCAGATGAGCGTGTGTATGTATTTCTCTATTTCAAATTTTACTTGGCATCAACTTGCGTATTTGTTTACTTTGCTGGTGAGGTGGGGGTTGGAGGGGGCAGTGTAGCAACATAATCTCTCAATCATTTTCTTAGAAATGTAAAAATCTGTTGATGCCTCGTTTGATAGAATATGGTTTTCTTCTCAGGCTGAGGCAGAATCTGAAACTGTGATTAGGCTCTGAAAGTTAATGTATCTCTTTGTTAAATAGATAATGATCCTTCCAGTTAATGGCTATTCATTTATTATTATAAAAACCGTGACCTCACTGTCCATAACTTATAGATTCTGCTGTTATATCGGTCACGCATCTTTTGCTGGGAAGAATGTTTGATCTTTAGATTATGTCACTGCTTTTGTAGCAATGACCTTGTTTGTCGGTTTTGACTTCTTAAGGCAATGGTGTTATAACGGTCACATATCTTTGCGGCGGCAGTTGATTGTTTTCAGTTTGCTGCTTATCCATTTCTAGTTATAGGATTGCCTTTGTAGTAACGATCTTGTTTATTGGCTATGACTAATGCTAAAAGTTTATTCATGTCTTGTCTATTACCAAATACTGCTCTAATGACGTGTGCCATGAGTCGAAATTTGGAAATGAAGCTGAAATCATGCAGTTATAAAATATAATCTGAACAGTGAGTTCAAACATTGAAATCTATCTATTCATCACCTTTGAATGTATTGAAATATCATGATCCATTGTTCCTTTTAGATTCTTCTGAGGCACTATTACATTTTTCTTGTTCTGCATTCGTCACCAAAACTTGAATTTTACATTTTAAGTTGCTGTGTGCACATTGAGAACCATTTCTGGATTTTTTTTGCTTGTAATTGAAGCTTCTGAATGCCTTTTTCTGGTGCTTCATTTATTGACTGACAATTTGGTTCCCATGAAGGATTTATTACAGAGAAGGATTCCTAGGATGGCATCAAGATCTTGTGAAAAATTTTTGGACTTGGCTTCTGGAGAATTATCAGATGTAGTTCAAACTCCTAGAGGTCTCCCAAGGGTGATGACTATTCCTGGAGTTATATCTGACAGTAATTTGAGCAGTGATGTGGAGTCTGATGGCACAGCATCTTTTTTCCAGGAGCGGAAAATCATCATTGCAAATATGTTGCCCCTGCATGCCCAGAAGGACTGTGAAGGTTCTAAATGGGCTTTTAGTTGGGATGAGGATTCACTTCTATTGCAATTGCAAGATGGTTTTCCACCTGAGACTGAGTTTCTATATGTGGGATGTCTCAAAGTTGAGATAGAGGCCAATGAGCAAGAAGAAGTTGCACAGAGGCTTCTTGATGAGTTCAAATGTGTACCAACCTTTCTTCCCTCTGACATTCAAAAGAAGTTCTATTATGGTTTCTGTAAGCAACAACTTTGGCCTCTTTTTCATTACATGCTTCCTATGTGTCCGGACCATGGAGATCGCTTTGATAGACAGCTTTGGCAAGCCTATGTCTCAGCAAATAAAATATTTGCGGATAAAATTATGGAAGTGGTCAATCCAGAGGATGATTATATCTGGGTTCATGATTATCATCTCATGGTGCTGCCTACATTTCTAAGAAAGCGATATAATCGGGTCAAGCTTGGCTTCTTTCTTCACAGTCCATTCCCTTCATCTGAGATATACAGAACATTGCCTGTCAGAGATGAGATTTTGAAAGGCTTGCTGAATTGTGATTTAATAGGCTTTCAAACTTTTGATTATGCACGACATTTCCTGTCGTGTTGTAGTAGAATGCTTGGCTTGGACTACGAATCCAAGAGGGGGCACATTGGACTAGACTATTTTGGTCGCACAGTGTATATAAAAATACTCCCAGTTGGAATTCACATGGGCAGACTGGAATCCGTGTTGAATCTTCAATATACATGCCAAAAAGTAAAAGAGATACATGAAGAGTTCAAGGACAAGAAGTTAATTCTTGGTGTTGATGACATGGATATATTTAAAGGCATCAGTTTGAAGTTACTGGCTTTTGAGCAGCTCTTACAGCAGCATAGGGAGTTTCAAGGAAAAGCAGTGTTGGTTCAAATTGTGAATCCTGCTAGGAGCTCCGGAAAGGATGTCCAAGAGGTAAAAAGAGAAACATACGAAACTGTTGAAAGAATTAATGAAACTTATGGTACCCCCGGTTATGAACCTGTGATCTTGATCGATCGTAATGCCCCTAGATATGAGAAGACTGCCTATTATGCAGTTGCAGAATGCTGCATAGTTAATGCTGTGAGGGATGGTATGAACTTGGTTCCGTACAAGTATATAGTCTGCCGGCAGGGCACACCTACTATGGATGAAGCTATGGGCATTGAAAAGGATTCTCCAAGAACCAGCATGCTTGTGGTGTCGGAGTTCATTGGGTGTTCTCCTTCTCTGAGTGGAGCAATTAGGGTGAATCCATGGGACATTGATTCTGTCGCCGAGGCTATAAATATGGCAATCACCACACCTATTGCAGAAAAGCAACTACGCCATGAGAAACACTATCGTTATGTCAGTTCTCATGATGTGGCATATTGGGCTCGCAGCTTCATGCAGGACTTGGAGAGAGCTTGCAAGGATCACTATGATAAACGTTGTTGGGGCATTGGTTTAGGCCTGGGTTTCAGAGTTATTGCACTTTCACCAAGTTTCAGGAAGTTGTCAGTTGATCACATTGTCTCAGCATACAAGAGGACAAGCAGAAGAGCAATCTTTCTTGACTATGATGGCACTGTTGTACCCGAATCCTCAATTGTTAAATCTCCGAGTCCTGAACTGGTCAGTGTGCTCAATGCCCTCTGCAGTGATCCTAACAACACTGTGTTTATTGTTAGTGGGAGAGGAAGGTCTTCACTATGTGAATGGCTTGCTCCTTGTGAAAAACTTGGCCTGGCTGCTGAACATGGGTATTTTATTAGGTATGACTATTTTCTCTCCTTTTCTTAAATCTTTACTGGTGTGTGTTGTTCTTACCATTTATGAATTGATAATGAATGTGGCCTTTATTCAGATTTAACAAAAATGAGGACTGGGAATCATTAGCTGCTGATCTTGACTGGAAGGACATTGTGGAACCTATTATGAAACTTTACACCGAAGCAACTGATGGATCCTGTATGGAGATTAAAGAAAGTGCATTGGTGTGGCATCATCAGGATGCAGACCCCGACTTTGGCTCCTGTCAAGCCAAGGAACTCTTGGATCATTTGGAAAATGTTCTTGCCAATGAACCAGCTGTTGTGCGACGAGGGCAACATATTGTAGAAGTTAAACCCCAAGTATCTCTCTCTCTTGCACTCTTGGCTCTTGCTGTTGTTTCCTGTCATAGACCTGTATTGATGCATATTATTATTATGTATGTGTAGGGTGTGACAAAGGGATCAGTTGCTCAGAAGGTGCTTTCCATGATGGTCGACAACAAGGCACCTGATTTTGTAATGTGTATCGGAGATGACAGGTCCGACGAAGATATGTTTGAGAGCATATTGAGTACATCCTCTTATCCATCACTTCCTGCTGCATACCCGGAGATCTTCGCTTGCACCGTGGGACAGAAGCCGAGCAAGGCCAAGTATTATCTGGATGATGCCACTGATGTCCTGAGACTCCTCCATGGACTTGCCAACGCATCTACTCCAAAGCCCCATCAAAGTGTGCACTTTCAAGTCACCTTTGATAGTGCATGCTGAAGATGCAGGTAGTTTTTACTGATTCGGATAAAATTGACTATAGTTAATATATATATATATATATATATATACATAATACTATATATTAACTTTATCTTTATCTTCGGACCTGGAAATGATGGGCTTTCTTTCTTTTTTTTCCTGAAAAAAGAAAAAAGAATCCTTCTTATGGGTTGTAGAAAAGCAGCTCTTTTTGGGGCCAAAATGTTGATAGTTGCTGCTACCCTCATGAATTAAGAGGAACCATTGTTTTGTATAGTTGTTCTAAGAAGACCTTTCTCTCTCCCCCAACATAATACCATATTGAACACCCATCCATTTGTCGTCTGTTTTGTGATTTTCTCTTCTAGAATTTTATTTATTTATTTATTTTTTTGGTAGTTATTCACTTATTCTCTACACAACTGGGCTCCACTTTGGTATTTCATTGTTTTTTTCTCTCTCTAACTCTTTATTTGAGCGGGCCCATGTTTTGTCAAGTAGCTATATTCATAATGGATGTACTTTGTGCTAAGCCCAAGTCCAAAGTTAACCGCATAAAATTGAACAGCGCAAAAATGCTTTGTTTATTTCCACAAAATTGACTGATGCGCGCGCACGCACGCACGCAGACTCGCAGGTGCTTTTCTCTTTCTCTAAAAGAGATTTTAAATAGTGTTGGGCCATTACTTTTTAGTACAAAGATAAAATGAAATTGCCAAAATTCCTCGGTACAATAAATGCTCATTAATGATTCTTTCCCTTCTCTAAACAAGGGTAAGGGAAAACAAAAAAAAATTTAAAACATTATGACGTGTTCGACCCCCCAAACCCATCGCGGCGGATTTCACATTGAAGTAACCCGCATTTCAATATTTAATGAATTTCTGCAATATTGCTGCCATCCCATTTTCCGACTCAGATATTTTCCCATTTCAGCTGTTGAATTTTGATGTTATTTCCAAGCATGCTCTATGCATTTGGGATTTTCTGCATTTCAAGACGCCAATTCACATGATGATGATGATGCTGATGATGATATCTGTCTTCTTGCTGTAGTTTCTAGTCTCTTCTAGTTTCTTCTGACTTCTCTTCCTCCCGCTTCATACTTCAATCCATCTCAATCCAGAGGTTTGATCGACCGTTTTGAATTGCGTTTGCGCGCTCTTTTTGGGCGTGCGAATTGAAGTAAATCTGAAAATGGCATTTCGAATGGGGAAAGATTTACCTGTTGTGTTTCTCAGCCTTCTGCTCCTTCTTTGTGGTGTGTGCTCTGTTTCGGCTTCTTCCGCACCTTCTCGTAAGTGTACACATACGCGCACGCACGCACAGTTTCTGTGGTTGTTCATCTTGGGAGTTTTGCTAGCTTTGGTCATTCGTTTAAATATAGATACATGTTGTGATGTTGGCAGGAGTATTGAATAGGTTTGTTGCAAATGCATTATCTATGCTGATGAAATGGATGGGTCTCACATTTAAGGCCATCTTCCGAACTGGTAAATTATATGATGTCGAACATGTATTCTATTTATTGGAATTTCTGTTTGCTTATTTCTTTGTGTCTATATGCCTGGATTTTGTGCAACTGCAGCAATTTTAAGACGTCCATCGGTGAAGTTTGAGGGTGGTTATGATGTTGAGACTGTGTTTGACGGCAGCAAGCATGGCATTGAACCTTACAATGTTGGAGTCTCACCAGATGGGGAAATTCTAATTCTGGATTCTGCTAATAGTAACCTTCACAAGATCTCTTCTTCTTTTTCAACGTGTAAGTTTCTGCAAGGAGGTGCAAGTTTTTATTTTTTTAGATCATGTGGCTTAAATGTATTGAATTGTTAGCAATTTAATTGCATTGAGTAATTCAGAGGAAGATTTGATGTGTTTTTGTCCACACTTGGATGTTGAGCAACTGATTTGATGGGGGAATTGGGATTTCATTTTCCCAACCCATGTTGAATGGTAGCATAGTTTCAAAAGGCTATGTGTTTACGTGCTAAATGATTTGTTTGCGGTTGCAAGTGTTGAACCCCAATCTGATGTTACAACTTCATTGGTTTCAGAATTTGTTTTAAGAAGCCAAATGTTTCAGTCATTGGTACTTAAATTTCGATTATTTACTCCGCTGTACATAGAGATGGGAATGAAGGTTGAATTGGTAATGAAAAAGCAATAAACAGGATTGGGGCAGCCTTGAAGGCGTATGGTGGTTTTGCTTATTCAAGTTTGTGGATTGTCGTGCTCGGATGTTGAGCCTAAGTCTCGTCAGTTTCAGCTTCAACTTTGGGATTTGCCTCTTGTTCATTGCCCTTTTCGCCCCCTCTTTTTCATTTTAAAGGCTAAATTGGGTGATTTCTCAAAAATTGCAGATAGCCGGCCAATATTGGTTGCCGGGTCAGCAGGGGGGTATTCCGGATATGTGGATGGGAGATTGAGGCAAGCTATGATGAACCATCCAAAAGGACTTACAGTGGACGACAGAGGAAACATTTACATTGCTGACACAGATAATATGGCAATCAGGAAGATAAGCGATAATGGCGAGTTTACACTTTTGGACGCTTTGCTAATATTTATAATGACAGAACAAAATTTCACCTTTAGAACCTGATTGAAATCCATATTACCCTGTTTTTCTTGAATCTCAAGTCCCTTCTCTGTTTCTTGATAAAAAATTGTGGTTAATTCTGTTTCTCTAGGTGTGGCAACTATAGCTGGAGGCAAGCACAGTCGAGGATGGGGACGTACGGATGGACCAAGCGAAGATGCAACATTTTCAAATGATTTTGATGTGGTCTACAGCAGGAGCAGTTGCTCCCTTCTTGTAGTTGATCGTGGCAATAAGGCCATTCGCGAGATACATCTCCATTTGGATGATTGCCCTTATCTTTACGGATATAGTCTTCCCATAGGTTTGGGTAAGTGACATTCATATGCTCCACCTCTCATGTTCTATATCTTCCTGTTGACGAACTAATCAGGTGAACCAATGACAGGCATTGCCATGGTTACCGCATCTGTCCTCTTCGGATATATGTTGGCACTTTTTCAATCCAGGATTCGATCAATCTTCTCTTCTCCATCCGTAAGTCCACTTTCCAACGCTGCCCTGTTGTTGCCCTGATCATTCTTGCAAGCTTTCACATGGCCAATCAATATGTTTGCAATTCTCTTGTTTGTCTTCAACCAGCCGAAAGAACCATTGTTTGATCATCATATTCAGAATCAAGGGCAGCTTCATCATCAAAGACATAAGAAGCATTCAAAAAGTAGGTATGTGCCGGAGACACTTGTAATCCCGGATCCAGATGGACCTCCAGCCACCGACGCCTGGGACCCTGCGCCCCGGACGCCGAAAGATCCTGAAAAGAAGCAGCGCCTCACAAAGCGCATTGCTTTCTACAAGGGATGGTGGGATGAAGACTTCTCCCAGGTGCAGCAGCAGCAGCATCACCTACATCGCCACCAGATTCGATCATCAGCGCCACACACTTACTATTGTCAGGTGAGCTGCTCCAAGACAGACGATGAGATCGTGTTCGGTGCAGTGCAGGAGCAAGACAAAAATCACTGATCACCATGGACATAAGAAAGATGGATTTTCTATTGGTTTTTGTCGTTGATGGAATGAATTATATATTGCTGCTGCTGCTGCTGCTTCTGTTACATGTCAGAACAAGTGTGGAGTGGAGAGTGGCATCTGTTGAAAAGGGTTGACAAATAATAATACTCGTATGTAGAGATTGTAGCAGCCGAAAAGTTTTTCATTTAACCTTTAATTGGTTTTGATCGGAACAACAATCCTTTTTATTATATAGAATCGTTATTATTGTAAGCAAAATTATTTATAATCTGCCCTTGATTTGAAAAGTCATAAAATCGTCAGTACCGTAGGCAAAAGTGCTTATAAAATTTCCTGAAGATTTTACTTTTATAAAAAATATTTCATAAAATCCAATTTTTAAATCGAAATTGTTTGCAAACTTTTTATATCATAAGTAATTTTCGCCATTATTGTATGTACATGTAACCTGTACATGAATCAAATGGGTCAGCCATTTTCGTTCAATATATATATATATATATAATGCACGGGAAGAGTCTCACACAGCACAGGACACAGCTGTCCAATCCGGATCCCTGTATTAACACACCGCTAAAGCACGCAATAATTCCTCTTTTCAAGAAACTTTCGGCTTCGCCTTTTCTCTGAGTTTCACGTTCTCCTTCCTTCCCTTCCTTCAAACTGCATTCTTTCGTACAGGCCCGCGAATTCCGCTCTTCTCTTCAATCTGATCATCTTTTTTGGTTAAATTATGCGTATCACCAAGTCAAGGCAGCGTTGATCAAAACTTGGGGTGTTCGGAGCGTGTTCTCGACCTTCACCAGATCTTTGCCTCTCCCCTTCTTATCGGCGATTGAGGATTCTGCTGAAGCTTTGGAGACTAATAAGTCGCGGGACATATATAATAATAATACAATTGATAAAACGGGATCTTTTGGAGTTATCGCGGAGTTTCAAGAGCTTACTCAATCATGAATCCTTTTTCCTCCGGCACACGGCTGAGGTTAGTGTTCGAACGTCGTCATTATAACGGCGGGATTGAATGCTAACGCCAGCGCATCATTTTTTAGAATCTAGTGGTGTTTGTGCGGAACTGAGGTGATTTCGCTCGAGCGTTGTTTCTAGCTCTGCCAAGTCCATGTTTTTATGTATATTGCCATCCTAGGTTAATTGCCGTTTTTAATCACGTCAGTGCTGCGAATGCTTGTATCGGATGCTTGGAGGAGAATATACGTTCTTACTAGTAATGGATGCAGTGATCCGTAAAATGATACAAAAAAAATAGTGGAATTACAGCGTTAATCTTGAAATATGCGTTGTAAAATGGTTTGATGAATACGCAATAGCAATCTGGCTATATATTGACCTTTAATTGAATCTCTAGGTTGAAGTAAAAAGGATTAGGATAGAGCGTGTGCCGTAAGATTTTAAATCCAAATGGTGAAGTTAAAATTTGTTTTCTCAGAAGTCGGAGGCCACCTTGGTTAATAATTGTTGATAAAGGAATATCACCAAGGTTGCTCTTTTTCTCCAGGGACACTATTCAGGCTGTGCGTGCATGCAAAACTGCAGCTGAGGAAAGAGCTGTAGTGAGAAAAGAATGTGGAGCAATTCGAGCTGCTATTAGTGAAAATGATCAGTTCTATAGTCACCGAAATCTGGCAAAGCTCATGTTCTTTCACATGCTTGGTTACCCAACACATTTTGGTCAAATGGAATGCTTGAAGTTAATTGCATCACCTGGCTTTCCAGGGAAGAGAATAGGATATCTGGGGCTTATGTTGCTTCTTGATGAACGACAGGAAGTTCTAATGCTTGTTACAAATTCAATCAAACAGTATCCTTCTACATTTATTTTATTAGTGTATGCTTTCTCATAGATATGGTACACTTCTGAACTTTATCATACATGAAGCATGGAAAAGACAATGCCAACTTTAGTTTCAGTGCTGTCGTTTATGGTTCATTTTCGTTGCCATAAAAATCAACTTAGTTTGATACCTTTAACTTGTGTTCAGAGATCTGAATCACACCAACCAGTATATTGTTGGACTTGCACTTTGTGCCTTGGGAAATATATGTTCCGCAGAAATGGCTCGAGATCTTGCCCCTGAAGTTGAAAGATTACTTCTATTTAGAGATCCTAATATTCGTAAGAAAGTATGTTATAGACAATGTAGTTTATTCCTATGTATGGTAAGATAGAAATAGTTTGCTCTAGCCATTGGTTGTAATGCATATGTGAAAGAAATATATATTTATACATACGTACATATAAAGTAAATAAATTTTATGAGCTACCATTCGTTTGGACCCTCTTTTTTATTGGTACCCAATGAGTAGCTGAAGAAGGGAGTTTTTGCAGTGTTTTAAACTGTAGGCAATGTATGGGAAATACTAAAAACATTTTGTTGAATGCTTATGTGATGCCAAAGATACTTTTGAATATTACCTGTTCTGCTATGCACTTCAAGTTCAAAGCAAGTAGCATCTTTGATTCAATGATGCTTCTGTTTTTTTTTGTTTTTTTTACTTCCTGAATAAACTGAATGTCTTCTGGTCATTTGGAATGAGAAGAAATCCCATTAAAAGGGTTGCTCCGGGATTTATCTATTGACATTGTGTAGTTACCTTGTTTTTCATTTTATCCAGAATAGATTTAAAATTGACAATGGAACATCCACATTCATTTAATCCCTACTTTACTTTCTCTGTAGGCAGCCTTATGCACTATAAGGATAATACGAAAAGTTCCTGACCTGGCTGAGAACTTTATAAATTCTGCCGGCGCCTTACTGAAAGAAAAGCATCATGGCGTTTTATTAACTGGAGTTCAGCTTTGTACAGATTTGTGTAAAGTCAGTTCTGAGGCTCTGGAGTATTTCAAGAAGGTAAAAATGCTACTCTGATTCCTGGAGATGACCATTAGAAGCCAACATATGAAGAATCTGCAAAACTTACGGACAGTTTGATATATTTTCTTGTCTTCTCTTTCCTGTGTATGGTTCTAGAAATGCATAGACGGATTGCTCAAAGTTCTTAGGGATCTTGCAAACAGCCCATATGTGCCTGAGTATGACATTTCTGGGATTACAGACCCTTTTCTTCAGATTAGATTGCTTAAGCTTTTGTGCAAGTTGGGCCAAGGAGATGCTGATGTTAGTGATGCCATGAATGATATCCTTGCCCAGGTAACTCACTCTCATGGCATTGTGATTCATGACTTTGTTTCCCCTGCTAGTTCCCAGAAACTTTAAATTAATCTATAATACTACCATCGGTTTTCTAGTATGTGTGCCAAATGAAAGGGATTTTGTATTTGTGGCCACCTAACTTCACTCTGCTGATATTTAATTGTATTGACTTGTAATTCTGATTTTAGCAATCTCCCTTGACATAAGTTAAACTAAAAATTGCAACTTATAGGTTTCAATAAACCAAAGACCTTCTCCTTGATCCTACCATTGCAAGAAATCATAAGAGAATGAATGTGTTTTAGCAATCCTAGAATATTTTTGGTCATTGGCACTTAATATTGTACTACTTGATGGAGTTGTGTATACTATAACAAAATTGCTTGTTTTTCCTTCTCTAATATTGCAGGTAGCAACAAAAACCGAGTCAAACAAAAATGCCGGGAATGCCATCCTCTATGAATGTGTTGCTACAATCATGAGTATTGAAGATAGTGGAGGGTTGAGGGTCCTTGCTGTCAATATTTTGGGGAGGTTTTTGTCCAGCCGTGACAACAATTTCAGGTCATATCCGTTTACTTTGTTTGATCACTTTGTGCAGCTTTCCACAGATAATATCTTTTGGCCTAGTATGGATTTCCTATATTATGCATAGTTATTAGGGTAATCTTGAGTTTCCAGATCATATATGGCAACTGCCATGCTTTTATGCTTCACCAAATATTAGTTATCATGTTGATTATTTTTCTTGTTGAATTGGGAAATTTAAAGCTTTTTGTACTTCTCTTTCTGCTTGGTACAAGATATCATATCAAAGGAATTAAAAGCAAATATTGGGTAAAAAGAAGATAAAATGGAAAGGAAGTTGTAACATCATAGAGAGGATAATGGGCTTGCTTACTTGTGTGTGCGCGTTATATTTTATGTTATTTTTAAGCTTTATATTTTTAAGGTAAAATAGCTGTTGGATGTGCTGTTCTATATAGAAAATAGGTGTTGAGTGGAAGGGTTTTTGAGGGATGCTGGGAGATTGAAGATTAAAATCAGGTAGAATAAACATAACTTAACAAACCCAATTCTAACTTATATTTGAAATTTAGATTTTAATTATTCAAAATAATTACAAAAAGAAATGAATGAAATAAAAAGTAGAGGTGGGGTGTGTTCTTGTGGAGAAAGAACTGAATTAGGTACTTGCCTATTTGGAGGAAACTCACTCAAGACTATGAAATTCTCTCTTCCTTTAGATTTTCCTTTCCTTAGGACATCCTTTCACAATTAAATTTGCGTGAGTATTGTTCTCTATTTGATCTCCTAGAATGATTTAAACTTAAAGCCATGATCAGAAGCAATACCTTAGAATGGATCAAAAAGAAATTGAGGAATTATGCTATTATCTTAGGATTTGTTTTTGTATCTTGTTAATCGTATCTTTTCACAATGTAGAATATAATGTTCTGAGAGTATCACTTGTATTAAATTCTAGTTGAAAAGCAATATGAAGTTTTCTCATGTTTGTGAAGTTACGGTCAGGAAGGCAATATGGGTTCCCACTTTGGAATCCTAGCACATAAACAAAGTACATAAGAAGTTTCGATGATATACATGTTTCTGTATTAGTAGATGAATATTTAACCTTCGACTTAACAGTGCCTTACAATATCACAATGGACTTCTATTTTTTTCTGTATGAAATAGTATCTTACATATTCTTTGCTTTGTCTGCCTTTTTTTTTCTTTTTTTTATACACAATGTATTGTAGGTATGACTCCTGGAACTTGATGTTTTATATTAGTTTGTTCAACTGCACTAGACTCCATTTATATGCTGTTGATATTTAATCTCTTGGAAATTTATCTGAGGTTAATAATAAAAGGAAAAATGGTTGCTCTGTAAAGATTTGACAACTTTATGAAGTTTGGCCTTCTGTTCTCTGTTTTGATAGCATATTACTTTTCTGGTTGGTGCTTCCCCACTTGATGAAGTTGGAAGATGTTGTTTCAGATATGTTGCATTGAACATGTTGATAAAAGCCGTTGTGTTAGATAGTCAAGCAGTTCAGAGGCATCGAACTACAATTCAGGAATGTGTAAAGGTGTGAAGTACACTCCACTTTAGTTTCTTGAAACAGTGGTTTATTATTATTATTATTATTATTATTATTATTATTATTATTATTATTATTATATGTTTCAGCTTTTGCTTGTTTCTTATGTTTTCCTCTGCTGCTTAGCGTGTTACTATGCCAATCTGAAATGTTAGTCTGCATGTGATTATCTATAGTTTTGAATTTGAGTCTTCTAGGTCACTACTATTTCTTTCTGACATAACATTTTCTATGACTTTTCATAGTGGACTAAGCTTACTTCTAACCTTAAAACATGGCTGGGATTTTGTTGTGACTTGTGCCAAAGTTGTTTCTCAACTTCTAATGGTTATTTTGAGTATTATAGTTCTGTTTCTCTCTTTATATTTATTTTCCGATCTACTGAACCCTTTGTTTCTAGGAACATATTGGTTTTCCTATCGTAGAAACTCATTGATGCTTATCTACTGTCAGGATTCAGATGCTTCGATTCGTAAAAGGGCCCTTGAGCTTGTATGTCTCCTAGTAAATCAAGACAATGTTAAATCTTTGATAAAAGAGCTTGTTGATTATCTTGAAATAAGTGATCCAGAATTCAAGGGAGACCTGACTGCAAAAATCTGCTCAATTGTGGAGAAGTAAGTAAGAAACCTTTTGTCTCCCTGTTTGGTAAAAAAACTCATCCTTATTGATGCCTTGTCTATTCAGTTCTCGAATTTATATCTAATGCATTTAGGAGTTCATAATTCTGGCACGTAGTTACTTGATTACAAGATTCAAATCGGATGTGATTGGAGTTTTTGATGTGATCCTAGAATGTTCATATTATTATAATAGGTTTCATCAAATCTAGATTGAATTTTAAAAACCAGCCTGGGTAGCATACTATGTTAGATGTTCTTTCTTCTGTCTTCCCTAAATTGTTGTCACCTTTGTACCTCCCTCTATCCCAAAATTTCCATGTCCAAGTTTTTTCTCTATATCATTTCTCACTATGTTCCAGGTATATCTGGGTCACCTATTTATTTAACATTTTCGTTCTGTTTAGGCTATCCCTACAGAGAGTAGATGTGTTGAACTGATATCATCAATTAGTAGAAATACATGGTTGATCTTTAATAATTAAACACCCTTTCTCTACTTCAGTTGACAATATATTTGTGTAACCGGTACCCTGTGTTGCTCCAGGTTTTCTCCTGATAAAATATGGTACATTGATCAAATGCTCAAAGTTCTATCAGAGGTTGGCCTAATATTATGCATGGTTATGTTGTTTCTAACTTGAATGTTAAATTATATGTCTTATGATGGACTAATGTACTTCTGTTAATTTGTCTTGGTTATAAAGTCAGATTCTTAATAATCAACCAAGCATGCTCTCATTGATCAATGTCATATGATTCTAGTGACAACTAAATTTCACAAAAGAAGAAATATCATGTAATTAATTTATCTCATTGTCCTATGGATTTTTAAATATTAACATTAAAAAAGTGAAGTAAAATTATTGTGTACTTGTTTTCAAAGTCCAATTATCCGTATCTATATAAAAATGTGAAATAAGCAACAATCAAACATGTCAGCACGTACTTAAAGAGTACCAATTTTTATTTTTAAACTACACATATCAACAAACAGTCTCCTGTAACCAACCACATATGTCAACAAACAATATCTTGTTTCAGTGGCATTTTTAGTTGTGTGCTCTTATAAAAGTGTGGAGCATTAAAAGTTGTATGTAGTCTATTCTTTTTGTGAAACTATTGTTAGGATATGTGATGCAGGCTGGAAATTATGTGAAAGATGAAGCATGGCATGCTCTTATTATTGTGATCACTAATGCTCCAAACCTCCATGGTTATACTGTACGCTCGCTATATAAGGCTGTGCTAGTGGAAGGTGAACAGGTAGATAGCAGTTGTGGTAGAATTATTTTTGTCAATCTAGATTAAAGTTTTAGTGCTTGTTAACTGCATCCTTAAAATTGTTCTGTGCTTCACAGGAAACTCTTGTTCGAGTTGCTGTATGGTGCATTGGGGAATATGGGGATCTTTTGGTTCGAAATGTGGGAATGCTTGATTTTGAAGATCCTGTAACTGTGAGTTTGGGTTCGCATCTTTTTTGTGTCCTTTTACATCCTTCAATATTGCACAATAATGGAAAGTTTTCTGAGAACATTATCATGTGGCAGTGGTGCCTACGGTCTCTTATTATCTGGTCTTAAAAATTGTAAGAAATACTTAGATTTTGAATTGGAACCAGTACAAACTAAAGCATGTGACATGCATAGTTATCATATAGCCTTTGGTTTAGTTTTCTAAAATAATAAGATATTATAGTTGTGTTATTAAATTATCCCAAACTACAAGTTATATGCTTATGGGTAGAATATAGAGATGTCAAGAATAAAATTCCCAGTTTCTATGTGTTAGCATAATCTGTATCTTTCTATAGAACTTTTGGATAAGTCAATATACACATATCTGTATGAGTCTTGTTTACGGTTTTCTCGGTGCTTGAAACAATCTTCTTCATATTACTATACCAGCCAAGCTGCAAAGTCCAGTTTCTGTTTGAGCCACCAGACAGCAGATTGCATCATTGCATGCCTGTGTCACTGCTGACCAGCGATTTTATTGTTGTCCTTGTCATATAAATTCCTCATCTGCGTTTGATTTTCTCATTGGTGTTGTTTTGGTTCTTTGTTCCTTTTTCTATTTCTTTCAAACTGCCCCAATATATCTGAATCGAAGAATACTACGACAATAACTGATTAACTGTTAACTCCTTTTCCGTCAGTATTTGGAAAGTTTAGGAGGGCTTTTTAATCATAAATCTTAGGCAATGTCTGTCCACTTATGATTCAAAGGATACGTCCAATTAGACCACCTGTAACGGGTCTAATATATATATATAGTGAGTGACCACTTGTATCTATAATAGTGACACTGTGGAAATTAGCACATTTGTGGATTGTAGTATCTCTCTGAAAGGAGCTGTCTTTGATTCCGGGTATCACTATTCTTTTGAGTTTTACTCCAACGGTGTTGTTTAGACTAATTTGTCAATTTACTTCTCTGAAGCAGGTAACAGAATCCGACGCTGTGGATGTAGTAGAAACTGCTATTGGACGTCATTCTTTGGATCTTACTACTCGAGCTATGTGTTTGATTGCTTTATTAAAGCTATCAAATCGTTTCCCCCACTGTTCAAAGTATGTTATATTCATTTTTTAACTAATTATGTCCCCAGCAATTTAAAATTTGTGCTCTTATTGCTACTAAAGATATCTTTCTTATTGATGTGCAAGATTTCTCTGTCTAATATGCTTGTTTCGTTTTATAGCCTTGCATTCATCATATTGTAGATTACTTGATTATCTGGATAATGTATTTTGCTTCCACTTTAGAAGCTTATAGTTATAGGTTCTTTGGCAGGATACTTTCCTATGAGAACAAAAGCTCAATGCAAACTGATGTTACATATGATTACTTCATTTAATATACTCATGTGACATACTCATTTAATAATGATAAAAGCCAGCCAGAAATGGAAGTCAGTAATACATATCCTTGCCTTTCATTTGTATCTTTTTGATGTGATAAAGAATGCCAAAGTTTATTGTAATGCAGGCTTAGAAGTTGAATATATATCTAGTTTGAAGTTGTCATTTTAGTTGTGTATTCAAAACGAGAATTTCCTGGCCTTTAATTTCTTTCACCAAATGAGAAGAAATCTCTTCATTTGACAGAAGGACAAATGATATTATTTGTCATTATAAAGGAAGCTTTGTACTTGAACTGCAACAGAGAGCCATTGAGTTCGACTCTGTTATTGAGAAGCACCAGAACATTAGGTATAATTCCTAGGCCTTTATTCTGTAAACTACCCTTTTCCTTAAGTTTCTCTTATTGCATGAGTCTATGAGATTGCTGGATGCATTTCTTAGGTCTGCATTGGTGGAAAGAATGCCAGTGCTTGATGAGGCAACATTTAGCGGGAGGAGAGCTGGTTCTGTGTCAACTGCTGTTTCAACTTCTGGAGGAGCACTGCCAAAAATCCCTAATGAAGTTGTCAAAACTACAGTGGCCCCCCTTGTTGATTTGCTTGATCTTAGCTCAGATGACATCGCAGCAACTGGTTCCTCTGATGGACATTTTCTTCAGGATCTTCTTGGGCTCGATGTGTCCCCATCTCCTTCACAAGGTTAATTTGCAGCTTCTGAAGCATATTTTCTATATTCATGAGTTACACTATATCACATCTCTTTTTGGTTTCTTTTGAATGTCTGAAGGTCATATTGCGGTTTTTGTTTGCTCTTGTAGATGCACTGTATACTATGCAATAGAAGTGTTACAGTATTATATTTCTGTTACAATATGGTGGAGGTTGCTGCTCTCTCCACATATTATAATGTCTCATAAACCTTATTGATTATACCTGAACTTGAAAATTTCAGGAAATGTTCATCCCCAAAAGAGTGGTACTGATGCATTACTGGACCTTTTGTCAATTGGAACTCCCCCAGCTCAAAGTAGTTCATCCCCGCTGGATGTGCTATCAAGTCAAGATAGAAGTAGTTCGATGGATGTACTGAACAAATTAGCCTCCCCCTCGCATGTGGCTGAAGGGTCATCTCTTGTTGGAAAATCTTCAACGATTGATTTGTTGAATGGCTTTGAAACCAGCTCATCAGTACCTGGTATGTTTCACCAGTCCACGCCCTTTGTTAGTTCATTCCTTGGTATAATTTTCAACAATCTTGCTTTGGGTTCCAGAAACAAATGGAGCAGCATATCCATCCATTGTTGCATTTGAAAGCAGCTCCTTAAAAGTAATGTTCAACTTCTCAAAGGAGCCTGGCAGCCCACAGACCACACTGATTGAGGCTCATTTCACGAACAAGTCACCCAATGTCTATACAAGTTTCCTGTTCCAGGCGGCTGTCCCCAAGGTACTATTTTGATTCTCAAGACTTCATTACGAGCTCTGAATCTGACTCTATATGGCTACAGATGTTGCTTGCATGGCATTTTTTTCACCAAATTTATGTAGCTTGGTACCAGTGACAAAAGGGTAGTGTGCTTTCATTCATGTTGTTGTATTTTTCTGCATATCATCTACAGTATCTTCAAATGCACTTGGATCCAGCTAGCAGTAATACACTTCCTGCAAGTAATAAGGGAAATATCATACAGAAGTTAAGAGTGACAAACAATCAGCATGGCAAGGTATGCAATATTTGTGTTGCTTATATTTTGTCAAATTATCAAACCAACCCCACTTTTGCACTTGTTAGCTTTCTACTAGCACTTTCATGCTTCATACACCTGTCTAATATGTTCTTGAGTTCAGTTGCCCCCGTCTTTTTATCCAGTGAAATTAAGAGGCTTTATGGATGATGTTGTAGCAGTTTCATTCCTCCATTGTCTAGATGATTATGTGGCAGTGAAAATTGGTTTTGGAGCATCTTACACATTAGATTATGGTTTTACTTTCAGAAATCCCTTATCATGCGATTAAGGATAACTTACAAGGTGAATGACAAAGACGCTATGGAGGAAGGACAAATCAGCAACTTCCCCCGTGAATTGTGAGAGCATTTTTGTCTGTGTCCGGATAAGATTTTTCTGATCATCCCTGGGTAATATCTTCACTTGGGCTTCAGCTGGTCAAACATGTGTCCCCCTTAAATATTCATTTCTTCCCCTAAAGGGCAGAGAGGCAAGATAGATTTACTTTGTTATAAGAAGATATACATGTATATATGGGATATTGATCCAGCATTTTGGCCTTGAGAACGCACACAGAGAAGGCATTTGCGGATTATGGTTTGAAAGAACTGAGTTATATCAGTCTTGTATTTCCTGCATAGAACATAATTGTAACATAGACTTACATATTTGACATTTTCAATGTATCAAGGGAGGAGGAAGACAAGAACAGACAATATTTTGTATTATAAATTCAAATGAGGGACATGTTTTTTTTGTGCTTAATAACGGACACTTAAAACTTAGAGTGGCACATATTAATAATTGCATTGGATTTTTCACATTGTGGATGAAAGTTGGACAATATCAGCATTATTGTATCTAACTGATTCTGCTGTTTCGTTGTCATTATCATTTCATTCCCATTTCATTTATGTATCTAACTAATATTTGCCTACTTTTCAAATTTGCTGCGTTTGTGGAATTAATAATTTTGTTGTGTTTATTCAGGATGCGTACATATTTATTATAGTAGGTTGAAAGCGAGGGGTAGGGTGAAGGGTGCATGAATCATTGTTATTCAGGATTCTTATTGTTGTTGATCTTAGTGTCCTGCCTGTAGTGGTAGTAATTAATGCACCAATGCCTCCAAATAGCAGCATATTCTTAGCTTGATAAAACTGTATATTACTCGAATTTCTTTATAAAAACTATCATAATAATCCATTGATGGCATATATTATTGATCTATATCGTTTGTCATGATCCAAATTTTGTTGTTGAGATTATTAAAAATTCTTGCCATTTTTAAGCGGTAGTCTGGTACCAAAAATGCTAAGGCAGACGCCACAAGCAACAGCCGCCTCTGCTCGCAAGCGCTTAGAATAGAATATCTTCTGGAAAATACTAAGGCATGAGAGGCAAGCGATAGATTACACCCTCCAGCTCTCCGGCAAGCGAGGGAGATCTGAGCCCTCGAAATTCAATGCAATCAAAGCGAACACCCTGAGAGTTATAACCAGCAATTGCTTCAATAAAATAACTACCGGTAACCGCCTTGCCCAGCGGTTGGAACCACCCAGCAACTGATTGCAACCGTCCTGTTTCACCTACTATAAATAAGGCTAGATATCTTTATGTAAAAAGAATCGATACTTCGATTTTAAATACTCTTAGCAATTACTTTTCGCAAGCAAGTCGTCTTCCTGTCTTCGAGAGCTCCAACCTTGTAAGGGAGTTCTCCACGGAAGGGAGTAGGGATTTTCCTTTTCCTTTGACCAAGTTTTACAGCTTACTTAAATTAGATTATTGCTTTCGTTTACAGCTTTGTAGCTCATTTCTTCCACACTTTTTACACACTATAAAGTTTGAATTTAGAGAATTTAATTTCACTGGTTTAGAGTAAGAGAAGAATTGATTATTTGAGCCTTGTTATGCGCCAAAAGCGATCTCAAGGTAGTTCAATGTAGTTAAGTTCGCGGGAGCCTTGTCGACCTGCTTAACTACTGTTTTGAATTCAATTTTGATTAAAAAGAGGTAACAGAAGGGTAAAGCCACTAATGAGGCAGATATTAGGAAAATTAACGGGCATAGGCGGTGGTCTATTAGGTCACAAAGATTCTTAGTGACGGTAGAGTTTCTTTCTTGTAATGCTAATGCTCAATTCTGGGTGTCATTGAAGTCTTGTTGTAAATCCCAGGTCAAAATTCCAGTGTCATGAATTCTTTATTTTCAGTTTATATAATTACATTATCCCCTTCTAACCGCTTCCGTAAAATACATATATTTCCGATAAAACACTTACATCGCTCGCTCACTACATCCAAGGAAATCTATTCATTTAGTAGCGCACAGTTCAGACACAATATTTCTCCTTCACTTTCGGTCGCTCATCTATATATATATGTATGTATATATATATACATATAATGTGTATAATTGTGATAACTACAACCACAAAAATTATTATTCTGATCGCTTTTCTATACACTTTCACTCACTAATTTTCGAATATAAATTCTACATGAATTTGTACATAATTAAATAATACAAATTTCTGTTATCACCACCGTATCAAATACTGTTATCATCAATCATCAATCACCAATCACACACAGACCTTCCCTCTACCCCACATCAATAACACACACACTGATGATGACAGATCACACGGCCTATATTATTTTCATATATTTTCTCTACAAAGTCTAAAGTCTCACTCATCACTGATAAAATTCACCCTTCCCGGACCACAGCCAGATTTTCGAAACAGACAAGCTCTCACCTTTGGCCGCAATCCCAATGGTTCTCATCTCCCCACCATATCCATATCCATATTTCTTGCTTGTAAGACTCCCACTCCCTGTTTGCCCTACTCCAACACCATCTGTGTCTCTACTGCTTGTGCTTGTAGTTGGGCAGGGGCACTGTGCAACTTGCAGTTCTGAATCATCATCCACCTCATAATACTGAAATGAACCCATGGAATAACACCTCCTCCCATCCAAATTGCTGTCGCTGTCACCTGCCGCCTCCACAATCCCACCACCGTAGGCGTTATGTGCACCCCTGTCACTACTCTTTTTAGATTTCCCAAGCCTAACTGAAAACACCCTTTTGCCATCAATGGCAGCACTGTTGTCTTCTCCACCATTCTTCTTCTTCACCTCACAAGGGCCTGCATTCCCTGAACTCCCACTCCCTCTCTCTTCTTCTTTTCGGCCTCCAATATAATCAAATGGGCTCTCCAAAGAAAGCCCATGTGACACAATCACTTCTCTGCAAAGTGGGCATGTTGTGTTTGAGAGCAACCATGTGTCTATGCAGCCGATATGGAAAGCATGGCTGCATAAGGGCAGCAACCTCAGCTCGTCCACTTCTGTAAATTCACATAAACAAACAGCACAATCAAAGGCCCCCTTCAATCCCACACCCACAATATCCTTGTACAGAAATACTGGAAGTGCTTCTATATAGGCCTGATCTAGCCCAGAGTCTTGCATATGAAAAAGATGCCGTAATTGCCTCTGGACCTGGAGAGCACCAGAAGTAGTGGACTCTTCCGGGTATTCACTGGATTGGGGAGATCTCATCTTCATGACCAACCTTAATAGCACGCACAGAACAACACCGATGAAGAACACAAGGGATAATAATACTACCATGATGGTAAGCGTAGCTGCGCTGATTTTGATTCCAAATGCAGACATGTTTTCTCATACACTTGGGCTACATCGGAATTAGCCAATTGTTGGGTAAGTTTGTTTAGGTCCAGCTTCTATGTAATTAACATCAAGAAATACAACGGAAGCACTACTTACTGAATCTGTTTTCTGTAGCAGCAAAGGATGACAAATCAAATCTCGAGCAGGTGTCCTATTGCAGAAAAATCCATTCTTTTTGGTGTTAAAATTGGTGGTCCACGTAGAGATATGGGGACAGAAGCAGTACTTGCCTCTGCCAAGATTATCTAACCTAACCTAACCTCTCTTCCAAAAGTTCCATTTGATAGAATTGGAAAGGATTTCTATTGAAAAAGGGATGGACGAGGAAGGAAAGAAAAATCAAGAATCAAGAAAAGCTCATCAAAACAGATGCTTGTCGGGGCACAAAAAGGACACTGAGGTCAATCTTGATTAGGATAAACAGGTTATGGATAGCATTATAATTTGTCAATGGTAAATTATGAATACGTGACGGAACCTGTAAATCCTTCCTTCCTAAAGCAAAACACACACACAAAAAAAAAGGGTTTCTTTGTATATTGCTTTATGAACAGCCCAAGTCGTTTAACATGGCAAGGGCAAGGGAAGTTAAAGATCATATCCACACCCAAATCCTTATAATTATCATTATATGTTTCTAGTTTGTTAGAGGACTAGGACCACTCATTACATTACATTACATTACGAAAAGTGAAGTTTAGTTAGCAAGATTGGGAGGAAGTTTTGGCATTGGATGATATGCTGACTTTATTAGCTTATGTTGACCTACTTCTAATTTTTAATTTTGTATTAATAGTTTTAAAATTAAAAATTATGATTAAAATTAAGAATTCAATCATGCTGCATTAATAACTTTAGCATATGATCAATAAGAAAAAAAAAAAAAATGATGTCTAATTTGAAGTCCAACATAGAACCTAGTCTACTTTAAGACTAAAATTTATAATGTTTGTTGCCTTAAATTCAAAAGGTTGATTCATCAATTCAATTGTTCACAGTTGATTGTTGGTAAAAGATATTGAATACTCTTATTTTTTTAAATGTACAATTTAATTAGTTCCAAATCAGTTCAGTTTAGCTTTTAAGACCGTAGACAGGCTAGGCGGAAGCCAATCTAATGGACTTTATATCATATATATGCATGGCACGACTGAAGAATCAGAACCAACCAAAAACTAATAATTCTTAAAGACGCATTTATTCTTACCCTAAATCCGTTTGTTTATGACTTTTTATGTCTTTCGATCCAATAAAAGATAAAAATGCAATAATTCAATTTTAAAATAGAGGCACATGGCTAGAGCTTCTGCCAAGTGAGGCAAGGGCAAAAATATTTGTTAATTTTATTATTTTTCGAGAACTACTACTGTATGATTTTTTTTGGTTTAATGTATTATTATGTGGAAATTTTCCTGTACCACATTACAATCACGTAGTCATTAGAGACTATTTTTAGAACATAAATAAATAGCTTCTATTTTGATTGAGGCTTTACAGTATGAAAATTATGCCCAATTGTTTTAGTTTAGAGGATAAAAATTTAATGTAATAATAGTTAGTATTAATTGGGCCTCCTGAAGTCGAAGCGGTTTGTATTTTTTTCTTTTTCTTCCACAAAAACTTCTGCCAATGTGAATGAATTTTTCTGTTTCTCTGGGTCTTTGTTAATGTTCGCAGACCTAGTTATATGTTTACGACAGGTGCAGTTTTAAATGTTTTTCTTATGTTTTTGAAGTTTGCCAGATTTATAGACGAGGATCGGTGAATAGATCTTTATGTTGGAAACGATTTTATGGTCATTGGATTTGAAAACATATGTTTTGGGAAAATTAGGTATTTTGATTTTCAAAACTTGATATCTCGATTGTTGTGTTTTTTATTGGAATTTTGTTCTGTTCTGAAGTTTGGTTTCTAAGTGAAAACGGCATCAATGTATTCAATCTCTAATAATAAAAAAATTTCAAGTATGTTTTTATGGTGGTTTACAAGTTCTCTGTAGCGAACTGGATGTTACCCAAATGACTTTTTCTTTTTTTAACAGACTTTGGTAGGAGGAGGATGGAATAAAGATCCACTGTGCCGATTTGAAAACCATCATCGATGGGTTTAAAGTTAAGGTTGGACAGTCATTGCGACATGTGCAATAGAGGCTTTTATTAGTCTGGACCATTGATTGTGCTCTAATTATGGAGAAGGCCGTGGATCTCGACTCGCTGCTTCAGTCGCTCGACGACGGCGGCGACATCGACGCCGACGCCGACGCCGACCGAGGCCTCTCCTCAACTGGTCGCCACTCTCGCACTGTCGATGAAATCCTCCTCCGCCACTCCTCTTTGTCTCCTTCACCTCCTTCTTCTCCATCCGCTTTTTATGCTACTCACGCTTATCGCCTTCCTCTGAGAGACAAACACGATAGAGTTTTACCTCAAGTGTTTGGTAGTGGCGTCATCAGATCCAATTCGAAGCCAGGTGCTGCCCTGGCCGCTGCAGCCGCTGCATCTCGGTCAATTCCCACTCCTCACGCCACAGCTATCAAGCTGAGAAGGGCTACCGACACTTCTAATCAGAGGCCAGTTTCCGATGCCACGGAAATTACTGCTGCTAGTGATGATTTCTCAATGTCACCACCAGATGTGGCTTCTAGAGTTTCTGAGTGTGAGTCGGTCGCTAGTCCTCATTCGGACAGTTATGGTTTTTCTGCTGCTCATGATAGTAATTCTCAGGAAAAAGAAAAAGCAAAACCAGGAAAAACTGAATTCTCTGGAAATACAAATTTGGACTTTGCAGAAGCAGATAGTGGATATGGGTTTTCTGCTGAAGATGGGGAGGTTGCTAAAGTTTCAATCAACTTGGACACCCCAGCAGAGGTGGTTGATCAGGGTCAAATACCATGGGTCGATAAGAATGAAGAGTGCACGACGGTGAATGATAATTACACTATCTTGAGTGAAAGTTTAAATGAACAAGGATTGCCAACATCATCAGATGCTGAGGAATTTGCTGAAGTTTTTGGTGCTGATGAATCTAGTGAAAACAACGAAACAGGTGGTCAGGCACAAGAGTTGAGCAATTTTGTGAGAGAAGTGGCAGAAAGTGTTAGTGGTGATGGCGCTGGTTCACAGGAAAATGACTTTACTTCACTAATGTCAAATAGGAGCAACCGTTCAAATCTGCTGCCAAGTAATAATTGTTTGCGGAGACCGTTGGACTTGGCTGAAGAAATTGAGAAGAAGCAAACATATACAAGTTTGCACTATGAGGAGGGAGCAGCTGCACAACCCATGAGACTTGAGGGTGTGCAGAGGCTTGGTACTGTATTGGGCTACTTCGATATTAACTCCAGCAATGCTATAACCCGGACCATCACATCACAAGCTTTCAGACGAGATCATGGTATTCCTCAAGTTGTGGCTGTGCATTTTAACTACATTGCAGTGGGAATGTCAACAGGGATGGTTTTTGTTGTCGCCAGCAAGTATACTGATCGTCAGGTTGACAACATGGATGCAAAGATGATATTTCTTGGGGCACAAGGGGATATATCTCATGTCTCTGTGTCTTCCTTGTGCTTCAGTCAGCAAGGAGATCTTCTGTTTGCTGGATATGGTGATGGCCACTATACTGTATGGGATGTGCAAAAAGCCTCAGCTCTTAAAGTTGTCACTGAACATAGAGCTCCAGTTGTTCACATTTTATATCTGGGCCAAGATACTCAAGTTACCCGCCAATTTAATGTGGTTAGCGGTGACAGCAAGGGTGTGGTCAAGTTGATTCGCTTTACAGTTGTTCCATGGCTCAACAGGATTTCGTATTCAAAATCTATTAAACTATTAGATGAAACCACCAGCCGAGTAGTATGTGCTTGTCCCTTGCCCTCTGTTGATGCCCATGGAGGTATGATGACAACTTTTCAGAGTGGCAGTATAGTTTCTTCAAGCAGTAGCATGATGGGAAGCGTGATTGATGAAGGTGTTGTCATATTCATCACGCATCAGTCTGCTCTGGTGGCAAAAGTTAGTCCCAGTGTCGAAGTTTATGCCCAAATTCCCAAACCAGATGGCATCAGGGATGGTGCTATGCCGTATGCTTCATGGAGATGCTTGTCACAATCACATGCTCTCTCCACTGCAAATGCTCCTGCGCAGACATTGGATAAAGTTTCACTTCTTGCTATTGCTTGGGATAAAAAAATTCAGGTTGCAAAGCTGTTGAAATCAGAGCTAAAACTACTTGAAAAGTGGACTCTGGAATGTGCAGCAATGGGCCTAGCTTGGTTGGGTGATGAGACATTGGCCATCCTCACTTTGGATGCAAAGCTCCATTTGTTTGCAAAAGATGGAAGTTTGATTCACCAGACAAGCTTTTCTGTGGATGGATTTCATGGTGATGATCTTATTTCCTATCATATATATTTCATCAATGCTTTAGGTAACCCAGAGAAAGCTTATCACAACAGTATTGCTGTTCGAGGCACTACTATTTACATGCTTGGGTCTGAGCATCTAGTTGTTTCCCGTCTTCTTTCCTGGAAGGAGCGGATTGAAGTTCTGCGGAAAGCAGGTGACTGGATGGGCGCATTAAACATGGCAATTGCACTTTATGATGGTCAATCACATGATGTTATAGACCTTCCCAAAAATTTGGATGACATTCAAAGGATTGTTATGCCCTACCTTGTGGAGTTGCTTCATGCATATGTTAGTGAAGTGTTCTCCTATATATCTGTTGCATCTTTCAACCAAAATGGGAAGGTGGACCAATCTGATGAGATCAGGGAGCAGTATGCACGTGTTGGTGGTGTTGCTGTTGAATTTTGCTTGCATATCAGTAGAACTGACATCCTTTTTGATGATATTTTGTCAAAGTTTGATGAAGCACACCATAAAGAGACATTCCTGGAGATCTTGGAACCATACATTTTGAAGGATATGCTTGGATCTCTTCCTCCTGAAATAATGCAATCATTAGTTGAACATTATAGCAAGAAAGGTTGGTTGCAGCGAATTGAACGATGTGTCCTGCACATGGACATTTTGTCCTTGGATTTTAATCAGGTTGTCCGCATATGCAGGGAGCATGGACTACACTGTGCATTGATATATTTATTCAATAAAGGTCTAGATGATTTCAGGACCCCTCTTGAGGAGCTTCTGATTGTATACCGGGATACCAAACAGGAAAATGCTTCTTCCACTGGGTACAGGATTCTTGTTTATCTGAAATATTGCTTTCTAGGTCTTGCTTTTCCTCCGGGGCACGGAAACCTCCCCTCTGCACGGATACCCTCTTTGAGGAAAGAGCTATTACAGTTTCTATTGGAAGCTTCTAGTGCTCCAAGTTCATGGGCTGCTGCAAAGTTATCATCAACAGGAACCTGTGCAAACCTCCTTGATCTTTTAGAGTTGGATACTGAAGCCACTCTAGACGTTTTAAAATGTGCTTTTACTGATGTTAGCAGTTCTAATTTGGCTCTTTCTCCGCATGAATCCGAGAATTCAACCATAGAACGAGCTGAGTTTCAGAGTTTGGCTCAGAAAATTGTGGATATTCTTGCTGACATTGTTGATGCGAGTGACTCTGATTCGGGAAGCCATAGACACAGCAATGACATTAAACCTTGGCCATCAATGAATGACGTTTGTTTAATGTATGATTTTATAGCTTATTTTGTGGCCTGTGAACTAGCTAATGTATCCAGAGACATCCTTTGCCAAATTTTGGTGTACTTGACCTCAGAGATAAATACCTCAGATAGTGCTTCAGGGAGGAGGATCCAAATCTTGAAAGGAAGAGAAAAACAATTGCTTTCGCTGCTGCTAGTACTGCCTGAAGCTCAATGGGATGCTCCTTATTTGCTGAACTTGTGTGAGAAGGCTCAGTTTCACCATGTTTGTGGCTACATACATGCTATTAATCATCGATATGTTGCTGCAATCGACAGTTACATGAAAGTGACTGATGAGCCAATATATGCATTCTCGTTTATTCATCATATGTTTAGGCAACTAAATAAGGAGGAGCTTGATGCTTTTGAATTGGCTGTTCTTTCTCGGATTCCAGATCTTCTTAAATTGAGCAGAGAAGGAACTTACCTTCTAATAACTGACCGATTTTCTGGGAGAACTCAATCTATTCTGTCTGAGCTCCATGCCTACCCAGAAAGCCTGTTCCTTTATCTAAAGACAGTTATTGAAGTTCAAACATCAGCCACTCTAAACCTATCGTGTTTGGAAAAAGTCGATGCTTTTGAATTCCCTAGTGCAGCAAAATTTCAGCAGCACTATGCTGGTGTGCAGGAATATTTGGAAGTAATAAAAAGCTTCCCCCAATATTTGCAGAATAATCGAGTTACCATGACTGATGAAATGAATGAGGTATATTTTAAGTTGTTATGTCAGTTTGAACGGGAATCAGTTCTCAATTTTCTGGAGACTTCAGAAAGTTATAGAGTGGAGTATTGCTTAAGGCTGTGCCAAGAATATAGAATAATTGATGCTGCTTCATTTTTGTTGGAAAGGGTTGGAGAGGTTGGCAGTGCCCTTCATCTCATTCTTTCAAGTCTAACTGAAAATTTTTTCAAGCTTGATGCTGAAATCCAAAAAGCATTTTCTGAATCCACTGTGGATAATCTTGATGCTGTTCTGAAAATAGAAGTGGTGTCTGAGATACTTGATACTGTGCATGCTTGTATTGGATTATGCCAGAGAAACAGTCCACGTCTGGAACCTGAAGAGTCTGAGCAACTTTGGTTTCAGTTGCTTGATTCCTTTTGTGAACCATTGATGAATTCAAGGATTGATGAGACAAATTCTGAAAAAGAAATGTTCAGGGATGCCCTTGATGGATTAATTGACAAGTCAGAATATGAAGAGGGATGCAAATACAAGTGGGATTTCTCCAAAATTCATAAAGGCGCTCGCATGATGAGGAAGTTGTTCTCCATATTTATTAAAGATATTGTTGATGGAATGATAGGATATGTGCGGTTCCCGCAGATTACATCCAAGCTTCTATCTGATAATGGCAGTCAAGAATTTGGTGACTTTAAACTTACGATCCTGGGAATGCTTGGAACATATGATTTTGAAAGAAGAATTTTGTACACTGCAAAAAGCTTGGTTGAGGATGACACATACTACATTATGAATTTACTCAGGAAGGGGGCTTCTCATGGGTATGCCCTTCATAGCCTTACCTGTTGTGTGTGCAATTCTGTCTTCACTAAAAATGCCTCAGATCCTGGAATTCAAGTATTCAGCTGTGGACACGCTTTACACCTTGGCTGTGAACTTCCAGATAGTGATATCTCATTTAAGGGCACAATAGTAGAATGTCCCATTTGTGTTCCCAGGAAAAAAGCTCAAAGGTCAGGTGGAAAATCTACTCACATCGATAATGGACTGTTGAGCAGGTCTGGAGTGCGGATTCACCAAGCGCGTGGCTCACCTGGTTTGTATCCTCACGATTATGAAGGTGCTGATAGCTCGTATGGTTCTCATCAATCTTCTAGGTTCGAGCTCTTGCATAATCTTGAGAAAAATCAGAAATTGATCCAAATAGAAAGCGTGAATCAATTGAGGCTTGCACCCCCAGCGCTTTACCATGAAAAGGTAAAGAAAGGAACTGATATCTTTGCTGGGAAAAACAAAATTGCTTCCACATCGGAAAAACTAAGTAGACAACTTAAGGATGTCAAAGTGAAAGGATCATCTGTTCGGTTTCCACTGAAATCAAGTATATTTGGTAAGGAGAAGATCAAGAAGAGGTGACACTGGCGATGCAGCAACTATTCATTGTATGTGCATATTCTGTCGAAATAGAAAGTAGCTTTATTTTTTTTTTCATCCTTTGTCAAAGGATATTATCTAGAAACACAATAGATGGATAAATCTAAGTCTATTTAACAGTTTCCAGACAAATTAACCAGTTTGTTCCTGTTGCCTTATTGTAAGGATTTATTGCTGGTTTTGGGCATTATTTTGTGCAGGAGTTTTGCAGCTAGTGTAAGCTATGCTCTTTTTCTGGTTTTCTAATTTTTTGGGGATTAATTTGCAGATTTTTGGTGTCACCTTCAGACAAGAAGTGGTTTGGCTTGGCTCGTCTTCAAACAGCTCTGCACTTTGTGCTTAGAATTTTGGTTGGCATGTCTGGTTTCTTGCTTTTCACTTTTCACTTTTCACTTTTATCTTGCAACACCAGAATTGTTCAACAGAGCTGAGCATTCAGTTAGTGAAGCTTACTGTAATTAGAGAAGAATCATCAAATTTTGGAAGAGCAAGAAATCAGGAACCCCGTGGACTCTCAAAAGCTTTATTTTATGGGTGGTAGTCTTTTTTCAATTTAATTAGTCTGAGGTAATGGTGTTGTCCTTGAATCTTGTCTGCTTTTATACCTTTATAGTATGTTAATTACATCCGTCTATGATCATATACCTTTTCATTTCCAGCTGGTTGTTCAAGGATTAATCAAGACCATAGTTGGGATGAAAGCTATCCGCAGCATGATCAGACCGGCAAACATTCAAGGTACATTTTATATTTTGGAAATGTAGCACTAAGAGTTCAAACCTTTTGTTATTATGCATAAATTTCAATCACACCTGAAAATTCATCGACATTAAGCATCACGCAGCATGAACTACTTGTCTTATTCTCAAGAAAAGCTTATTGCTCTATCAAAAAAAGAAAGCTATTGTGCCTCCAACATGTGACTATTTGCCACCAAGTTTGTGTGCCCTCAGAGCTTGAACCTTCGACTGCAAGATGAATCTAGTATAGATGAAGGAGCCCTTGCTGGTAATAATGAGCAGTATCTTATTATTACTGCAAATCAAAATCCATGAATACCTCGACATTGTATGTAATAAAGCCAAATATTCGTCTGAGATGAAAGATGATAGTCCTTTTTGTAATATACATGTTAGATTAGATATTGACATGCATTTTACAGTGATCTATGACGATTTAGTCCGCTTCTATTAATTTTTATCATTGGAATGTGATATAACTGATTGATGAATTTTGATGTTTTACATTTAAAGAGCACACACACAGATATATATATATATATATATATAACTGGTAACTCAAAGTTGCAATTTAAATTATGCACGGGTAATCCTCTGGGCTCAATAGCCTATAAATTAGGTCAGTTAATTTAGGTTAGCTGGGTCACACTAATTTTTTTTTATTATTATTGGAATGTGTCACACTAATTCTGATAGTATAGTTTATCAATGAACACATAATTAAATATTTATTAAACAATCATTTGCAGTAATTACTATTTAAAAATATTTCATTTCAAATTATTTGTAATTATTTAAATAAACTAATACTATGCTATTAATGTGAAAATAAAATTATAAAATATACAAATCATTCTTAATTATAGAACAAACTCACAATTAATTTAAGCTCGCTAAAACTTTTGACTCTTTATTTTAATTCAAATGGCTGCGGGCAGTGTGGCCCCCTACTCCGGGCAGATGCGGGAAGAAACCTACTCGGAAATTGCCGCTGAATGTGGTACGGTATCATGTCCTCGTTCGCAAGCCACGCGCAAAAGAAATAGCTGTGCCATTGTACTCGACGAACCTAAAAGAAATAGCTGCAGTCTCTTGGCGATTTGAGGACTGCGGTAGCGCGGGGTTGTGGTGGCTGGCGGGGAGCTGATAAAATGGGGTTGCTGGAGAGTGACGTGACGCCGTATGTGGGCATGGTACTGGCCACAACTGCGAAGGTGGGATTAATCATAATCAGCAAAAGTGCTATGGCCAGTGGGATGAGTAATTTCACATTCACCGCCTATTCCAATGCTCTTGCAGCCCTTCTTCTTCTCCCTACAGGTCTTTTTATTCACAGGTACTAATCAATCTTTTATGCTGTTCCAAGACATTTTTTCCCCTTTATGATTTATATGTACGTTGATTTTGCAGGTCACCCAATCGGCCTCCGCTCACCTTGTATTTGCTTTGTGGATTTTTTTTGTTAGGGATTCTGGGGTATGTGCGTTAATTTTCAATTTTGGAATTCTATTTGGCCAAGTGAGGTATATAATGAATGTTGATAAGTCATACACAGCTCTTGAAGTAAATTCAAGGGAAAATGATTATTTTAATGGAATTATTAGTACCGTAAAACAAACAAGTAGCTCTTGAACTCGGCTCGATTTGACTGGTTACCAAAGCTAAACGTTCTCGAATGAACGTGAGTTTGTTCGCTAAGGTTAGACAATTTGTATATTTAATATATATATCTTTATAAATATTATATTTATTTCTAATTTTTTATATAAACTTATTAATAAAAATTATAATCATTATTAATTGAACTTAAATTTAAAATAAAATAAAAAATAATTTTAATGAGAAACAAGAACAAAAAAATTACTAAATGAATCGAGTTCAAACAAAAATTTCAACTTGTATATTTAAAGGACATGAGTCGAGCTCAAGTCCTTGAAAAACCGACTTTAAACATGTAAAGGTCGGCTCATTTTGGCGTATTTACAGCTCTATTTGTATGTAAAGAGATATTTTAGTTTTGATTTTACTAGTCAGAATGTAATATATACATATATATTTTTCCTGAAGTTCCTACATTATATATATAAGTTGTTCTCCTCTTGGCTCCTTGCCTCCTTGTGATATAAAGAATCTGCACTTAATCAATCTCCTCTCTTGTTAGGTGCTTGGCTCAGCTGTTGGGCTATACTGGAATTAACTTAACGTCTTCTGCATATGCTTCAGCAATGCTCAATCTCATTCCAGGATTTACCTTCATTCTTGCCATCATATTCAGGTTCTTATATTTCTCTATGGTGCTTTGCTTACAGAAGATTTTTTTGGTACTTTTATTTGCTTTTCCCTCCATTAGTATTTATGTTTATGCATGCATGACACGCCATGTTTTGTGATATTTTTGTTGGTATATAATGAATGTTGATAAGTCATACACAGCTGAACTACTATTGTTAGTATGTAAGGTCCATCTTTCTCTCTCTCTTCTTCTTCTTCCTTTTTTTCTTTTTCACCAGGGGCATCTGTGGAAATTTATCTGATGATATGCTGCAAAATGTATACTTACATATGTTATGACTAATAGCATTCAGTCTGTACTGGGATAGAGTTGGATACAGTTTCCAATGACAATCTATTCATGTTATTGTAATTTTGGTTCACGATGGTATACAAAATTATCTAATCTTAGGGTTAACAATACTTTGAATGTGTAGTTTTAGTTCCCTGTGATTAGAATGTTAGTGTTATTATAAATATCAATTGTAACTGCTCACATATAAATTGGTATTACTTTAGGCTGGAACAGCTTGCTTGTAGAAGTTCAAGTTTTCTTGCAAAGGCAATCGGAACTGTAGTGTCAATTGCTGGTGCCTTTATTGTAACACTATACAGAGGCCCTCAAATTCTTAACTCATCATTAAATATTGTAAATGAGCATGCTGATATACCACAATTGAACTGGATATTGGGGGGATTATTCCTAGCAGCAGATTGTGGAGCCTCTGCAGGATTTATAATTGTACAGGTACACGTCTTTATGAAATATCTGAAGCGGAGATGAAAAAAGAAAGAAAGGACAGATTATAGCTTGTGGAAAAGACACCTATGGAGTATATCATGATTTTAAATTAATCATTATACAAATGATTGCATATGTATATCTCTTGGCAGGCGTTTATTCTCAAGAAATATCCAGCTGAATTGATTATGGTATTCTTTTACTGCTTCTTTGCTGGCATCCTATCTGCAGCAGTCTCTCTGATTGTTGGTGGAGACCCGAGTGCTTGGGCATTGCAGCCAAATGTCCGACTGATCGCTGTTCTATATTCGGTAGGTGACAGACAGACTTGCTGTTTTGTAATGGAGAGAACAATTGTGTAATACGATTGAACAGATTTCTGATTCCTGTATTTGCAGTACGATGATCACCAGTATCTTCCATGTTACTAAAATTGAGCAGTTCCCTATGGTGATCAAATTTTGAAAGGGTTCATTCTGATGATGGATGCACTCACTCTTAGTTTTGAAGGAAATACTGTTTCTGTTTTTATGTTTGATTATTAACACTTGTTTCTCCAGGGGGTTTTTGGTTCTGCATTCCAGGTGGGAATTACATCATGGTGTTTGCATAAAAGAGGTCCTCTTTTTGTTGCAATGTTTTATCCACTGAGCATTGTGATTGCAACTGCCTTTGATACTATTTTGTTTGGTGAGGTTTTCTATCTTGGCAGGTACACACTGTTTTTGCATTCAAATATCATATCATTACTTATGTTTCTTCTTTCTATGCATTTTTTCTTCTCATCGGTCTTGTCTGTGTAATTCATCATATAACATTTTACAGTTTGGTGGGCTCCATCATCATTGTTGTTGGATTCTACTCAGTTATGTGGGGGAAAGCAAAAGAGAATACTACTGAGAAAACAGAGGCAGGAACTTCTGCTCCAACTAGTGAAAAAACTCCACTGCTACCAATTCAGGATGGGCAGGCAGAAATTTAATTCCTCACGACTGAGCACAATGTTCTTCAGTTTCGTAGAGACAAAAAGGTTTGCAATCTCCTATTAGACTGAATTACTGCAATCAAGAATCATTTTGCATCACATTTTATAGACTAACGCAAAAACCTCTGTAGCAGCTACCTAGGTAACAATAGAAAAAAATTGACATAACGCAAAAACCTCTGTAGCAGCTACCTAGGTAACAATAGAAAAAAATTGACATCACACTCTTAGATCATGTATAGATCTTAAAAGGGAAACTACTCTGTTCTTGTTGTTAGTTCAGTTGATGTAAGAATCCTTACCTTACGACCATTGCATACTTCATCAGATTTTGAGGACACTCCAAGGGTTAAAGCTAGATTCTTATAGAGACTGTTTCTCACCTTTCTAGCACCTCTTCCAGCTACATCATTTCTGCCCTTTCTTGTAAAGGCCAACAATTCCGAGCCACAGGCAGCTTGGTCTGAAACACCGACCTCTCTGTATGGGAGGAGGCACTTTTGACAGTGTCTTGGTAGCCTTCCACATAAATGAGTGCATGGTAGACTTTTTTCTTCGTCAAAGTTAGTCTCCGCTTCCTCTCTCTCTCTCTCTTACGGCCTAATGCACGCTCATCTTATCTGAAAGAACAACATTTCTCTTAGATGCTATGCTTGAATCCATATTTAATTAGGTTACACTTGTTTTTATATGTTATTTTTAATTTTTTTTCTGTGTAGCCAAGTCTCAGGTCGTAGAGCGGAAGGAGTCAAATGGCGTTAACCAGCAAGAGTCTATCCAAACATGGAGGCCATTACCATTTTGAATATTTTTTCCAGAGTTGGGGTGCAAACATCTGTAAAACCGTCTTATCCATTAGGGTGTGGTAATTTAAGAACTTCATTTACCTAGTAACTTAATTGACATTCTTCTCGTATATGATGCATTCTATGTTGCATTACCTGTGCTTTACATATATATCACCACTATACAATGTGGATAAAGATTGTTGGGGGTGAAAGCTATATATAAGAATGAAAGTTTCTGTTATATTGATGTTACCAACCATTTCTTTCCACATTTATCTTTTAGAGTTTTTACTAAATTGAAGAAAATGTTAAGAGGTTATCAATTCCTGCAATTTACTCAATCAAATGCTGGAAGGAATCCAGATAAATGGTGATTGTATTATTATAATTCTTTTGGTCACCAAATTGCTTAGTCTACTTGCTCTGCAATATGGGTTGTGTGGTTTTCTTGTCGTCTAGCTCTGGGCTTTAGAAAATGATAACAGAGTCATAAACTTGATGACTAGTTTTCCTGTGCGCTGCTATTGATGAGTAACTGATAAGCAGGTTCGGATATGAGTGCTTGCAGATCATTCATTGAAGTTAAAATTGCAGTGCACTGTCTGTCTGTCTGTTTGGTGAAATTTAGACAATGATGTGGGAGCCTTTCATTTAATTTAGACATACAATGACAAGAATCCACGCGGACTAACCGCCAAAGACGTGAGCATTGCTCTGACAAGAACTTTAATTCTGCTGATGCAAATAATAAGTATTTTATAGCAGAGTAAGAAGAATAGACAAATATTAATCACTAAAGTCCACTTTATTTGATTATACTAATTACATAATTATGGAGTCTGGAAGAGTCCTTTAATTGGAAGTTGGAAGTTTTGTGAGGATTACGTAATTACGAGGGGGTCCATAAATTATTAACTATTGACTCTCAGTAGGCCCTCAATCAATATCAAGCACGAAGCCAAAACCCCAGGTAACAGTTAGTATTAGTATATATATTAGTATATATATATATAATATACATATATTTATTCTACCTGCCGAGAGCTCATTCATATGATCGAAATTTGAAATTCACAAGGCACACAGACAGATATTTCAGGAACAGCACTATTTTTAGGAAACAATTAAGTATGATATGTATATAGAAAGTAAAATAAATACTATTAAAAGGGCTTATCCAAGTATGCATGGGGCACCACTCGAGTTGCTTGTTCCCCTTCTTAGTTCTTAAGTAGCTTCACAGCTCCATGAAAGGGTACTCATCAATTTTCCCCCTTTTTCTAAATATGCAAGCGAATTGCAGCTTCCCAAATCCCAATATAAAGGAAGGTATCATTAATAAACAGATCAAGCTAAGAAGAGAAAGAGATAGAGCTAGTAATTAAGAAGATGACGACGGAGATTAGTTGTGGCACTAAGGAGGCGTTGAGAGAGATGCTCCGTCCATGCATATCCATGGTGTTGGTGGAAGGATGTATTATAGGATTGACTATATTGGCGAGCACAGCCATGGCCAAAGGGATGAGCCCTTACGTTTTTGTTGTTTATACCAATGCTCTTGGATCAATACTTTTACTCCCATTTACCTTCTTCCATGATAGGAGTAGGTAATTAAGTAATTAAGTGATGAGATGATCACTTCATTCACTTCATCATTACAGATGAAACTTTACTGCACTTATCCACTTGACTGATTCATAGTGCAGATAGAACACTACTAACTGAATTAATTTGTTAAAGACCTGCAAGCACAACTAGCATGAGAAGTTATTTAGTTTTATCTAATCGTTTCTGTACATTTCAGAAATGGAGAGCCACTCTTGACTTTCCCACTTTTTATTCGACTCTTCGTCCTTGGTTTCATAGGGTTAGTTCTCTTTCTCTCTCTCTCTCTCTCTCTCTCTCTCTCTCTCTCTCTTTTATATATATATGTATATAAGAAGATGCAATTGATTAATTTGCAGGGTGACCATTGCACAAAATCTGGCATTTGTTGGGCTAAGTTACAGTTCTCCCATAGTGGCATGCGGCATGGCTAATCAGATGCCGGCTTTCTCTTTCCTTCTGGGACTCCTCCTCAGGTTGTTATATTAATTATTGTTTCGTACTATGAATCTCAAATTTTTTACTAGTTAAACACAGATTTTATTTTCTGTAAAGCTTCCCACTTGACTCTTAACTCGTAATTTTTTAAATAATAAAGCAAAGGTAGATATCATGTGGTAGGCATGGCAAATCATTCAGAGGAACGAGAATAAACTTTATATTAAGTAATACTTAAAATTAAACACAAGGATGTATAATCAGTTGAGGAATCATTAATGATTGCAGTAGTGTTCTACATGTGGCCACCCTAGCTAACTAATTAATCCAGAAAAATTAATGGGTATCTAGATGAATCTTTGGTAGGACCTGCTGCTTCTGTAACTAGTGGTTCATACGTTAGATCAGGTCCCATCATCGATAATATCTACTGACTTCTCCCTCATTTTATTTTTATGTTTATTTTGTTTTTTCTCTCTCTGTATTATTATCTCCATTATGTTGAACAAGAAACACACCTTGCTGGTTTCAGGACAACAAAATTTGACTGTAAGAGCTCAGGCAGCCGAGCTAGATTGATTGGGACCCTAATATCTTTCAGTGGAGCTGTCTCCCTCACTCTCTACAAGGGCCCTACAGTCAGAAATCAGTCGTCGTCTCCCTCGCTGGCTTTTCGGGCTGCGCCGAGGCTGTTGGTTTTCACTTCAACGCATGAAAATTGGGTTCTTGGCTGTATTTTATTCGCAGCTGCTTCTTTCACTCTGGCCATCTGGAATGTTGTCCAGGTACCATACACATAAATATATCCTTATTTAATTTGTGCTTATAACTGCATGTGTGTGTTGAAATTGATTTGTTTTTATTGTCAATTATTCGATTTGGAGTCAGGTGGGGACTCTCAAAATGTGTTCAAAAGTGATGAAGATAATCTCTCTTTATAGCTTGTTTGGAACCCTACAATCAGCTGCACTTGCTATGTTCTTAGAGAGAGATCCCAATGCGTGGAGACTGGACTTCAACTTTGAGCTCCTGATTATCATTCTAACTGTAAGATTATAATTATTAGTTAGTAAAAGTTGAAAAATAACTGGAAGAAGTTACATGCATGCGTTCGAGTTAATGAATAACTGATAATTATGAAACCAATTAATTACAGGCAGTCTTCAGCAGCCTGATTCGAATCCATGTTCAGATGTGGTGTACTAGGATACGAGGCCCTAATTTTGTCCCCATTTTCAAGCCTTTTGGCATTCCTTATGCCAGCGCCTTTGGCAGTTTTTTCTTTGCTGACACTTTCCATTACGGGAGGTAATTTTATTGATCATTCATCTTTCTGCACTTTTATTTGGAAGTTTTGTCAGTGATATAATAGTACTCCAACTAGTCATGCATGTAACTGATTTGACATCTATATGTGTATGTAATTATTGTAGCATGATGGGGGCATTAATTTGTGGGGTGGGGTATTACACGGTGCTGTGGGGCCAATTCAAAGATGAAGAGACTAGTATGATTGATAATAATTACAAGGGCAAGATTTCTTCCATGGATGATGACAAAGTCCCTCTATTGCAAGATCAAGAATCTCAAGTTTGATGACAGACGTACGTACTCAGAAGACTTTGAAGAAAGTGTACATCAGCTGCCCTGCAGTTAAAAGAGGATTCTTGATCGTCTTGTATTTATTTGGTTTTGGCTGTGGTTGTGGTTGTGGTTTCATTTTTTTCTTTTTTTTTTTTTTTTTTTTTTTATATAAGAACCTGAACATAATTGGTTGTATATCCCAGGATTTGGAAGGGTTTAATTTTTAGGACCCTCCATCCACACGCACATATATATATATATATATAATTTGTGAGAAAAGTCTCTCAGATTTCGTCCATTATATTGGATAATTGTTTTCGTTGACTATTACAAAGCGTGTGTTTGTTTGAGAGTTTGGATTTTGAGTTGTAATTTGAATAGTAAAAGTTTTGAATTTGAATAGTTGTATAACGCGATATAAATAGGTATTGATGTGATGTTTTGAATGTAAAATTAATTTTTAGTATAATATAAAAAATTTAATGTGATGTTTTGAATGTAATTAATTTTTAATATAATATAAAAAATAAAAAATAGGTGTTTAATTTGATGTTTTTTGGGAAAAAAAAATGAATAAATGTAAATCCAATCTAATTTCCCAGACAAACACAAGTGTATTGTTGTTTTATGGGTCGACTTATCTGTATTTTGGTTTAAAGGTGCCTTTTAGAGAAGAAAAGAAGATTAAAACAAATTAAATATTGGTGTATATATATTACACAACCCTAGCTAGCTAGCTAGGATCAGGAATCCTGGATGAAGAACTGACTAGTGGACCAGTACTCACTTGCCTAGTTGCCTGCAGGTCTGTCATATTAACAGCACAGCACAGCTCAGCTCGGTAACTATGTAGTCTTGGATCGATACAACACGCTAGCTAGCTAGCCAGGTGCTTCCAATAAGTAATAAGTAACCATACACTACCAGAAATTCTTTAAATACGTTCAGAAAATTTGCATCGAAATTTAAAAAGATTTTGAGGCAAATTAATTTTGGCTTCGAATTTTGTTTCGGAATTACATCCAAAGAGAAAAATTCGTTGCCATTTTTATTGCTTCGAAATTTCCAAAGCTATTTTGTAAAGCTTCAGAATTTTCGAAGCATCGGTTGGTTTAATAGTCTCCGAACGAACTTCCGAAGCAATTTTCGATACTATTAAGCCTACACGCAGTAATATATTAAATTTTAAATATATTTATATTTTAATTTACTTCAGAATTTTCGAATTACTTCAAATATTCTTATATTTTTTTTAAAAAAATAAATATATAATTATACTATGTACATTCCTCCGCCGCCGGAGAATGAAATGAAGGAGGAAGCGGAAGCTCCGTCGCCCGCCGCCCCCGCCCCCGCCGGAGAAGAGGAGGGCTGCCGCCACCAGAGAAGACGAAGAAGAAAGAAGAGAAGGAAGCTCGGCCCTCCCTCGCCGCCGTCGGAGAAGAAAACGAAGGACGAGGAGTACGCACGAGACAACTTCTCCGCCTGCCTAATTTATTAATTACTTGACTTGTTGCAGCAGCAGCAAGCAAGTCAAGTGTACCACCACATACATCACATATATAATAATAATAGTAATACTTATTATTATAGCATTACACACATGACACACACACACATATATATATATAATTATGGGTTTTTGAGAAGATAAGCATCCAAACCCTGGAAAACCATGCGCATATAATCCTTCAAGAAATCTGGATCCGGGACTCCATTTGCCTTTTGGATTTCAGCTAAATATTTCACTACAGCTCCAATATCTCCATCTGCATCTGCATCTGCTGCTGCAGCCGAGGAGGAGGAGGAGGATGATGGGCAGATGACAGAGACTGTGGCCTTGAAAGTGTTGTACCTGCTCATGATTTCCCCTTCCATAAAACTATAGTACAACGTTCTCCTCCCTTCATCCACAAAATCAATTCTCTCCTTTGTAGCTGAGATTACCGACTTCAGTTCTGCATTACATACATACATATAATAATGATAATGATAATGATAATCGATGGAAGAAATGAATGAATTGGGTGGTGCAGGTGCAGGTGCAGGTGCAGGTATGTTAATGGATGTATGGAAGTGCCTGGTTTGAAGGTAGACAAGTAGATGGTTCCAGCAGAAGTTCCATCGCCTTGAAGAACCTGAACGCCTTCGTAGATAGACACGGCCTTGGGATACACTCTCGCGAAATCCTTCACGCTGCACCATACCCTATCTGCACTCGATTTCATCTCTATTTCCAGTTCAAACTTGTACGTCCTCCTCATCATTTACCTCTATATAGTATTATTTATTCTCTGGGTGCGTAAGATCGATCGAGATAAATATAAACTAGTTAATGATATCATATAGAGTAGAGAGAGAGAGAGAGAGAGAGAGAGAGAGTAATGGCTGGAAAAGCCAGAACGTAGCTGCATGCATGCATGCATACATACATACATAGATAGAGTAGACAGACTCAATCAATATGCAGTAAAGCATATACAGCTAGCTAGGTTACCATGCCAATTAAGTTCATTTATTCCTTCTTTTGACTATAATATTACTCCAGTACTAGTAGTATTATATTTTATCGTGGCGATGCATGCACATTTTATATTTCATCCTTAGCCATTAGCTAAGCTACCTTTCAACTAATAATAATAAATACATTGAGATTGGGCTACAGATGTCGAGCATTTAATCTATCTATTCATTCATTATTTCATTAACTAGTTATATATGTACCGTCAATATAGTTTTATTAAATACTAGTATTTAATTTGATTAAAATTACTTTGTAATATGCTACAAAATTTTACAATCTATTTTTCTGTTTGTTTTCTTTTTTTAAAGTCCTTCTTTAAGATATATACTCTAATAACTCGGTACTAGAGACTTGAGATAAAAATTGGAATAATATTTTCTATTTTTTAATTCTTGTACATATACTGAATGTACAAAGCGACTTTATGAAGAGTGCCTAAAAGCGCGTTTCAGAGGTGTGGAACGGCATTTACTTTTTTATTGTTATTTATTTTTAATTTTTTGAGATTGAGAAAATTTGGGCAAAAAAGGGGGTTTCGAGTTCAAATCGTTCCGGCGAAGATGGACGCGCAGGGTCAGGGGGAAGGTTTTGCAATTGGATGCTTACTTTCGATCAAAACCACCCTCGGGGAGGAATTCCAAGCCCAAGTCATCGCCTTCGACCGCCCGTCCAACCTTCTCATCCTTCATATCCTTGAATTTTGGTTGCGGTTTAATTTGGTTTGTTGCGAGTCGTACGAATGCGTGAACGTACAAGGACTTGCGATTATTCTGTGTTTGTAGGATTGAATGTTCTGTTTTTAATTCCTTAACTTGGTTTTGGAAATTACAAGATGGAGTGATATCAGGGGCAGGGTCGAAGAGGAATATAAGACTACTCAAGGCTAACTGCATCAAAGAGTTCAACTATTTGGGTCAAGGTGAAGATCCCCTTGACATCAAAAAGTGTTTCCTGGATCTCAACACTCTTCAATCCAGAGAAGATTCTGCTATTAGGTATTGCCGCAATTCAGAACATTCAATTTGTAAATTTTCATTATATATATGATCATTCCTTCGAACTGTTTATGTTTATGCAATTTTGGGGGTTAGGAATTCGTTTGATGATTTTTTGAATTGTTTTTTACGGGTGGATGGTATTCACAGACAGGCGGAGGCTGAGGCTGAGAGGATTGGTGTGGGTGTTACTCCGGAGGCGCAGAGCATTTTTGATGCTTTGGCTAAAACGTAATGTATCTTTAATGTTTTCTCAGTTCATGATGGTTTAAGTTTTGGAGTATTGCTTTTGTGGTGTGGTATACTTTACTTTTACTTGTTTGATGAAATATAATTTGTTTGATTTATTATCTCCTTTTATATTGTTTCATATTGCCCTGCTTTATGTGATTGCATTTTCATGTCCTACTAACAGAAATTATGATTTATGACCAATTCTATGAACAATTGCTGTAATAAACTAGAATCAAATAGAGCTTTAAATATAGATATTTATCCAAATTCATGAAAGTAAAGTGGTTGTTATTCAGTCCTACATCAAATATGGGTGTTTATTAATTGAATAATATACCACCATGTCTTTGCAGCATGTTAGACTCCATTGCCCTTACTCTAGTCCGCTTTGTTTCCTTTCAAAATATGTCTTCTTCAGAAAAAAAACAGAATATGATTGTATTACATCTTTTCATATTTTTAAATTGGAATGGACTATATTTAGTGCTGTGAATGCATATTTTTACTCCCACACCAAATATATATACTTTCTAGGTTCCATATCTATGTGAGTTCTACCTAGAAAGCAATATGCAATGCTTGACTTGTTACTTTTAAGTATTTGGTCATAATGATGATTTACTGTTCTGGTAGAATGGAAGCTTCATTTAATTTTTCTTGGACTTCTTGGCAGAAGTTTGAGTCATTTAATTCCCCTTTAATCTGTGAATGTAGGGTTGCTTCTATCAGGTAAATTTGCTTGTGCCTTAATATGTATAAACACTATCTATTGCAATATGTGTCACGGGAGTCTGAATTGGCATCGAAGTGGCATAATGAGAATGGTTAATTGATTAAAGCTACCTTCTTTAGTTAATTAGATTGTTATTCAAATTATCTCATGGCTACATATTTGAAGGTGGATCACTGAATGCTCAAATTTGATGAACCTCCTCGTTTTTTCTGCTTATCTCTGTCTGTTTTTTAAGGATGGTATGAATTATACTAATAGACTGTCTGGGGTTGATGAGAAAAGTTATTGGATGCCATAGTTATTTTTCCACTTATGCCAGGACAATTATAGTTGACAAACTGATTGTCTCTAGTGTGTACCTCTCTATACGAATATATATATATATATATATCATCTTAAATGATTTTCTAGCATTCTGCATTCTGGTTTTTGACAGCTTTACATCTTAAAACGATTCAGCATATTTATCAATTTGGCTCCTTTATTTGAATAAATCAAATGAGACATTCAATCCCAAACTCAATGTTTTCCCGTATCCATTCCCTTCACATTTTTGGCCCCTTTATGACAGTTCTGTCTATAATGCCGAGGCACTGTATGATGTATTGATGCTATTGGTAACATACCCAGGCATCCAGTTCGCTGGGACAAATCTACCATTGTCGTGATGAATGAGGTTCATGTTAGCAGCCCGTACCTCCCTGAGTCAGTTGTGGGTGGAACTTCTGCTGCGAATGAACGTGTGCGTAAAGTGGTAAGATACTGATATATTGAGCATGCTGCAGCTTTTCCCTCTTTTTATTTTATTTTATATTTACCCCATGTGTTTCTGTTTAGCTCGAATTGGAGAGGAAGAGGCTGCAATCCCGGAATGTTGGTCAGTAATGCCTCGCACTTTTCTTCTTACAGGAAAATCTACTCTTCTTAGAACCCTGATAGTGGTGAGAAGAGTTCTAAACTGGCTTTAAAATTTGGAGAAAACCAGCCTCAGTGGAACAGCATATGTTCCATGCAATTAAATTGTTGGCAAGTTTTCACTTGTATTTTGGGTATTTAGTATTGACTTTGAGTTTGAACTAGTTAGGCGTGTCAAGTAATAAATTATTGCTCATGCTGCCGTCCGAATTTTTTTACTAGGTAAACTTTTTTTTTTTAGTACCGACTCTTTTTAGTTCGGTAATTAGAATTTGTATATAAATAGTCCTGCAGGTGGAAATTCTCGGATGCTTGATATGGGTCGAGCAGCTATTCATGATGTTGGGCCCGAGGTGCCCAAGTGCCGAATTAGAACTCTTGGATTGTGGGCCCGCCGAAACTATTTGAGAGCTTAATAGGCTCAAACATAATAGACCTCGTTTCTAGTCCTACCCAGACTGTGAAACAAATGGGCCTTAAGTTCTGGGCAGTGTCAAGTTTGATAGGCCTAGTTTGAGTTGGACAAATGGCCCATTCGTACTTGACCGACCTGTACGGGATACGTTATGAGTTATGGGCCATCCAACTTGAATGGCCTTCCATACTAACTTGTGAAATCAAGATGGGCCTTAACATTTGTGCCTACCTAAGTTGGATGGTTTTGTATCTCAGCTGGCCGAGTATGGATGGCCTTTAGGCTTTAGTTCTAGGTTGTCAACGAGTGCGTAGGCCTTTAGTATCGATTGGGTTAGTATAATGCTGATGGACCTTAAATTATTGTCAGCCCAATGAGATGGGCCTCAATTACGTTCACTTATGTATATCTGCTTAAATTAATGGGCATTGTGTGGGTCGGCCTAAATTGTTAACCGAATGGGGCTTGACTTTTCAGTTAGTCCGGATGTAATGGGCCTTTTGACGTTCCAATCCAAATGTGGTTCTAAACAGTCTTTAATTATTTTCAGCCCAATGAGATGGGCCTGAATCACGTTCACTTTTATGGGCTTGTTGAAATTAATGGGCCTTGTGCTGGTCGACCCAAATTGTTAACCGAATAGGGGTTGAGTTTTCAGTTAGTCCGATGTAATGGGCCTATTACAGGTTCAGCCCATTTGGATGGTAATATTCAGGGCCGGCCCCAACCGTTTTTTTTTTTTTTTATGTATTGACCTTAATTATCAGTCTTATAGGCCCAATTGGCCCGTGTTTTTTTACTCGCATTTACCTCATGGGCTCGCCTCGGTATCGGGCCCATCAGTCTCATGCTTCTTACCATGCTTGGGCCTTTCAATAACTTTTAACTTAGTGACTAGCCCCAACACATTACATTGGGCCTCTTGTCCACCAATGGGTACATGCAAATGGGGTCAAGTAAGCCTCTAATTTTATCGCGGACTTGCACCTGCGGAGGAGCATGTAATATAATTAAACCCATTCACATTCACAGACGTGTAATTCGATTGCGTGCAGACATATGCATCAGTTCTGTTTTGTCGTTACAGCAAACAGACAATTTTCCCCAAGACAGGAGGTCAAAATCATACACCCATAGTGGAGGATGAGCTGATTGGAAAAGGTAAAATTACCTGGCTTTGGCCAACAGCCACTTGCAGGAAAATGACACGAGGGAATTGGGCACACCAGTTCTTGTTGATGCAAGTAAACTTTGATCCCAGTTATCGCACTTTACTGTCTGCAAATCTTGAGGCAGCATTGCAAGTTCCCACTAAGTTATCCTCATATTTTGGGAGGCAGGAAAACACAACTCGAACCATTTGTTGCCTCGCCATTGGTTTGTTCCATACATATGCTCCCGCCTAACCAATAATTTCTATTAACGTTTGCATGGGATTGCAAAATCACCATCATAGAGGGTAAAGTGAACAAAAAGTGAATCCTCTTTGATCATATCCATGCTTTTTTTTTTCTCCGTGCAAATTGTAGGAAAAGTGTAATTGTATGTGGGTGTCAAAGAGGTGGATAATTCAGTGTCGTGAGTGGTGAAAGGGAGTAACGTGTTGAAAAGGGTTGTCCAATTGTCCCATACTCACTCCAACCCCTGCACGTCCTTGCAGATGCTCAGAAATGAATTGTACGGATTGATCATGAACCCAAGTCCAAACCCTGCAATTTCAATAGTAACAAAAAGTAAAATTCTTATACTGTTGATGATAAGTTCGACCACTTTACCAATAGCTGGTTTGGTTTCTTTTAATAAAATATTATATTTACCATATAGAATTATTAATTTAGTGAGCATCATCAGAATTGAAAACTTGGCACTCACAATCTTTAAGCATCTTTTTTCTCGAGCTGATCACCTCGAAGTTGACCACTGCACACTGATTACAAAGCTTGCTAAGTCACACATATAAATTATATAAATCAGAAGATAAATCATTTCTTGGTCAAAAGGAAGAATTCAAGAACACTATTGCCATAAGCTGATCATTAAAAGTGACGTATTTCCTTTAGATTAATATTATTTGTTTCTTTATTTATTATTATGTTTCTAATAAATATGCACCATTCCTCTTTTATTAAGCCTAGCCCCAGCCCACATGATTAAAGATATTTCTTTTTAGATACCTATAAACATATATATATATATATATATTAATTACTTTACCAAAGGAAGCTTTTCGAATTCTACAATATAATTGAACGCACCTATAATCCCAATTCACCATTAAAATTAGCTACCCCTAAATAAAGAAATCCTACACTGGCTATCTACTGCACATCTATGTGACATCAAACTTCTTGTCCACTTCTTCGTTCATATGTTATGTCCTCACAATCTTAACAAACACACGATACATTAATCTTCATTCCCTTGGACATTCTTCAAGGTACAATGAACTAATAATGTTCATGTTTCCTACTATAGAGGAAAACATAAAAAAGAATGTAAAGAAAGCTACTTTGAAAGCAGTCTTTGGTAGTAGTTGCACATTAAACTAGCTCAACCCCCAACAATCTTCATTTTTTAGGTTCAGGGGTATAAACCATGAATCAGAATGTTTTTTCAAATCCCACAAAGATACAAGCAAGTCACAACAAATAAATGTTGCCCCCACACACATATGGTTCAAAGCCATATTGGATATTGAGAATTTTCCCACAATTTAAAAATCTGTCCCAACAGTAGAAAACTGAGGCTCTCAACATTTAATAGTAATTGGCTGGACATAAGGTGTTGACAAGGATTACATTTAATAAAATGGTTGCTGTCCCCAACTTTAGTTTGGCCATGTTTGAATAGGAAATAGTCCTATTCATCATTTAATGCTTTTGGAAGTAAGATCCCCAACATATCACATGGCTTACATACACAAACATTTAATTGTTAGATGTTTAGGCATGTGAGCAGCCTCATATTATATATATAGACGCACATAATTGAACATCTCTCCAAACAAAGCTAGCTAGGGTTTTCGAGGAAAATCTGAATTACGAAAGTCAAAGATCTTCCTTATGATTTAAGACATTACACTAGACTGTAATAAACAAATATAGAGAAATCTATGCGCATAACCCATGTGGTAAAACGATCAACTTATTGCAGCAGCAATGTTTGAAACTTCTCTTGTCTTTTGGAGAGATAAAAAAGAGTTTATAAGCTAAGAATAAATGAGCATAATATATGACAATGATAATATAAGGATCTTTAGTTATTTTAATAATTATTCCACATCACTTCCCACACGCTGCACCTAAAAAGGAGTTTTAAAGGAGCATGTTAATAAAGTAAAGCTTCTTGATTATTCTTAATATTCTACTGGGGCATCTTCACAGAAATCTAATACAAGTGTTAATATATCCCTCTATTGGGTTTGTGACAGATCCTACTTTAGTGGTTAAAACAGGTTTAGTCTTGCAGCAAGTGTAGGATAACCTTTCTTTGTGTTACAGTAGTCGTTCAAACAATGTGGCTTTTATATTGCATGCAGTTTTGCACAGCACGGATTTTAACTGCCAATTCAAGGGCCTAAGTACACACTTACTCCAAAACTGATGGCATAAACACTTTATTTAAAATCCATATTTTTATTTTATTTTATTTTATTTTTATGACAAATGATATTTCCAAACAAAGGAAGAGGTCCTGCCTTTATCTAAGAACTCTTTGATGTTCAAAGGTAGGGATTCATCTAAAACCAACACTTGTTAGAGAAGCCAGCAAAGCAAAAAATAGGGACCATAAATTATTTGGCCAGTTACGAATAATTATGAAAGTGACTCAATTCTAGAATTGTTAAGGCTCTTCTAACCTGTCAAAAAAATTTGCGTCTATCCTTTTTGCACCATTTTCAATGGCTACAGAAGTATTTATCATAAGAGGTAAGTGGTCTCAATCACATTTTAGAGCATAAAGGCTAAAGCTAAGTTTCGATCGATTTCTTAGGGATTTTTTTTAGTTATAATACTCACATTCAAGATTGAAGAAAAATAATTGTTGAGAGTAACCAAGAAAGATACTGAGCTCATTAAAAGTTAAATAATAATAATAATAATTCAAGAATAGTCCTGGACATCATTACCGTAGCTAATATAGCCTCTCTTCCCCGCATCCCTTCCGGCAAGACCAGCACCTTTGACGGCCAACCACATGACACTTCACCACAAACTAATTTGGATGCTGCTGCCGGTCCACACAAAAATAAATATTCAATAAAAACGTGAAGCAATAATACCTTTTTATGATAGCATAAATGGTACGATTAATAAATATCAATGATTCATGTTGTCAGGAGCATATCAATAATGCAAAAGAACATCGCAATATGGCATATATAAAAAGTGTCACTTAGTAATAGCAGTTACTGGAGTAAGCAGCTATGCTGATGATATACAATAGCTAAGAGGGGCCATTGAGTTCGTGGTTTCATCTCTTATCTAACCCCCCTTACTAAAACCCATCATCCACCATCTTCTTCTCTCCGACTCGGGCATTCCTAACAGAATAACGGTACAAGAGATATATCTCTTTTTGGAGGAAAATATATTAGACTGGAAAGAGATGGGGAATTGTCAGGCAGTTGACGCTGCGGCCCTAGTGATACAGCATCCATGCGGGAAGCAGGAAAGGATGTACTGGCCTCTCACTGCCAGTGAGGTGATGAAAATGAATCCAGGGCACTATGTTTCTCTCATAATTCCATTACCTGTTTCTGGTGATGGACAAGAGAATCCAGATGACAAAAAGATCATCAGGTTCACCCGTGTTAAGCTACTCCGCCCCACTGATACTCTAGTTCTTGGGCGGGCATATCGGCTTGTCACCACTCAAGGTACAATCCTTGCATATTTCCTCGTTCTGTTTTTCAACTACTTACAGGAAGCTATATTGCAGTGATTTAGTTTTTTAAGTTATGAGGTCTGCACTGCACAGCTGTGTTATTCAATTGGTATAAAGATACTATATGTTGATGACTTAAGTTATTGCTCACAGAGGTGATAAAAGTGCTTAGAGCAAAGAAACATGCTAAATCGAAGAAAACCCAGTCAGAGTCAGGCGAAAATTTACTGATGAGCTCCGAAAAGCATGCCTCCAGCTTGAAGCTTGAAGCAGGAAAGTCCACGTTAGAGAAGAAGCATCCGGTAATTTCTGTCATTAGTGTTCTTAAATTTGCACTCTTTGTTCATCTGATTCTGCAAAATTGAAGGCAAAAGTGCATAAAATAGTCTCTAATATTTTCTGGAAATAATTATGCTATGCCGTTCAGCAACATCGGACCATTTGGAATCTCATATTTCATAAAAAATTCAATAGCAGTAGAGCATGATCATATAACTCAAAACTAACATGAGAAATACCCAATGAGGAATACTGTTTTCACTACTCGGGGCAGTAAATAAGAAAGATAAGATGTATTATGATTCTCGCTTTCATATTGCATAACAGACACTGATATCAGCAGAGAGAAACTGTAGGTAATAGTAATTGTTTTGGACAGTAAGCTCAATAGTGGAATTCAGTACAAATGTGATCAGTCTTTTCATGGACATTTCCCCCGTTCTGGCATTAATTCACCAGCAGAATGTCTAAAACACATAAGATCAATATCGTCCTTTCAAATCATTAAATAATATTCTCATGTTAACATTTTCAGGCCATTAGAACGGAAAGACATCAACCAAGATCAGGACATACAAATCTCGCTGCACAAAGATCCAAATCATGGAGACCGTCTCTACAAAGCATTGCAGAGTCTGGAAGTGGAAGTAGTTAGCAGTAGTAGATGGCCCCTGCAATAAGAGTAATCATAACCATTAAACATCAAACTTGTCCGGTAAAAATTCATCTGTATAGCCAATAGTATAGATTTCAAAACTCGAATCCCTTTCTTGACCAGTACAGTTTTGCTAGTGAATTTTTCTCACCCCAACTCCTTTGTGTTCTCAATTAACCGACCTGCCTTGAGATATAAATGTACACATCATACCGCATAAATATCCTCTGCAAATACATCATTTGTGTGATTTAGCCCTCCAAATTTCCCAGTCTTGATCAACATAATTTTGAGCCCACAATAACGAAGCACGAGCAGCTAATGGTGCTCCAGGAAGATTCTTCTCCTTAAGTGCCACCATCATATCTGTAAAAGGTTCAATCAGCAATGTTCCAGGTCCTCCATACTCTTCATGTAGGAAATCACTGAATATCTAACAAAAGAAGCACAAAACAGAAGTTAAACACAGCAATAAGGTTTAATTGTCCTTCTGTTGAATAAATTCTCAAAGTCCCCAGTGGAATATTTTCTGTTAAGAACAAATAAGAGGCCTAAAGATAGGTTACCCAATATTTTGCGCACTCTTATGACATGAGGCATGGAATACAAAGGTTAACCTAACTGTAATTTAGATCAAGTTAATCTACAAGAAAAAGGCAACAAACAGCTCATGTCATTCTAAGGGCGAGCAATTGAGCATCATTCTAAGTGTGCGGCCTTTTTACCATACCAGAGCAATCTTCACAAGAACATCAATAAAGTAAACTTTAACAAGTTCACAACTATCAAGCATCTAATACATCAGTATTGTATTTTATATCATATTTTTTTAGGAGAAAAACTAGTTACTCTAAACCATCAATGCAATGGTAAATGAAACAGTGATGCAACAATCAAAGGAATGAAAAAAATAAAAGACTAGAGTATGTAGCAAAAAATCAGAGAAAGGAAGATGGAAATTTCAGGGGTAAATAGACAAAAATTTAATGAGTTTCGACTAAACCAACCTAAGCCCCGCATGAAACCCTATCAAATTACTATGACTAGTACACTGTACACCGGCTAAAGTAAATTGCTCAAACAATAAGGATAGTGCTCGAATAGTTTTATAACCAAAACCAGCCCGCAACTTTCATGTGAAAACTAAACAGGCAAAAAGAAAACCAACAGCGTTGACTGCGAAAAGGATTGAAAGCATCAATCCATCAAAGGATTGAACATAATTCACATCTAACGTCACTGTAAATCAAAGAACACAAACGTATAATTAAGAAGAAATCCATCGTAAGTACCTCTGCACAAATATCAACAACCGTCTGAAGATCATTTCCAAATGTGTCCTTTTCCTTTGATAGTCTCTGCAACAATTCCCGTTTAAACTTCCGCGTCTCCTGTAATTTTTCAACACACCGCAACATCACAAATTAACAAAAGATAAAAATAAAAATAAAAAACCGCAGCGTTGTAGAAGGCAACTCGCTTTATCTACTTACAGCAACTGCAAATTCAGGAATAGGGTCGGGATACGCGTACTTCTGAGAAGCGAGTGCTTGCGGTAACCTCAAGAAAGGTTTCGCCACGAAAAAGGACGGAGACTTGCACAGAACATGGGAGACGTTCCGCAAAATACCGCTATCGGCGCTTGGGTTTTTGGCGGGAAACGCCCGTACAGGGAGGATAATGGCCGGATTACTCAAAACCGCCATTTGACGACACCGTCTGTCCGTCGTCTCAGGTCGGCGGCAGCTTCCTTAATGGATCATCTTCTTATTGGGCCAGGTCCAGTTTGGAAAATATAAATTCAGACTGGACAATGCGGGGCTTTTTAGGCCCATTTTTAGATATTGAGCGGACAGCCCTAGGTGGCAGTATCATCGCTCATCACTCATCAGCAATGTCATAAACCTATTAACTAAAACCGATACGAGTTCAGAGTTTTGAGGGTTTGTTCATTGAAAAAAAGGTGAAGAGTCACTGACTAAACTGGTATACATTTTTACTTACTGGCCGGTTGACCCCCGGCCCGGCGATGAATATCTAGATTTTAATAACGACCTTATAAGCAAGGATCTTACTAGCTATATGCAAAACAAGGCCGCAAATCACCTTACCTTCTCGACTGCGTAAGGGTCGCATTTTCTTCAAAACAAGCCCGACTTGCACAACTTCTCTTACTAGTTCTGGCGGCGCAGATAAATAAATATATAATTGTGCGATTTGGGGTTGACATTTCATTCTAGAAATAATTATCTAATTCAGACTGTATGTGGGATGCTTTGTGAAGATGACTTGTCTTTGCTACGCCTTCTATTTGTTGTATAATTTTATTACAACAATTGCGTCAACGCGTTAGTTCGTACAATTCTATGTACTGAAATTTTTGCAAGCTCGTACAATCAAAGCCATCCAGAAACTGCCTATAAAGACACATGATGTTATTCCTTAATCCTTAGTAAACCATTCTGTATTGAAGTGATTCAGGGAAGCATGGCCTCTGGATTCACAGGATACTTGGGTTGCATTGTTCTTCTGGTTGCCGCTGTCGTTGTGGCACACGAGGGCCACGACCACATGGCTCCTGCACCATCTCCTCCGAAGGCCACCTCCACTGCCTCCATGAATTCTCCGTTGGCTACTACAGCAGCCGGATTATTCACACTGGCAGCTGCTTTCTTGGCTATCATTGGAAAAATGATGTGAGTATACCATGCATATATATATGGGCAAGACATTCAATCCTTATTTTCTTTCTATGCATTTTCGTGTATTGATGTTTCATGCACACATATACACACACGTGTGTGTGTGTGTGTGATTATGAATTTGGTTGGATGATTTCATTTTCTAAACATTGTTCTTAATGATTCAGCATTCATGTGCATTCGATTCAATTAGAAGACAAAAGGCAAATGTAAATCCTGAACGTAACAAGACTTATATACTGCCCAGAGATTGCAAATTTCGTACAAGCTCGTTTAAGTAAAAAGATAATGAAAGTTGATGAAGAGTCACCACAACATAAATTGCTAAAAATCCTTGATAGTCAACTGTTCAGACAACACAGTGGATGCGTTCAAATTCGATCAAGGATAGGTTGCTGCTTTCATCCACAGAGAAGGTTGCAGGATCAACAACTTCAACATGGCCAGATCGATCAACAGCGAGCCTCATCGACCCCTTGAACATGTCAACTTTTGCATTTGTGAGTTGAAGTGTGTTTCCCTCTTTCGCCAGGTCAACTAACACAAACCAATCAATAGATATAAGAGAAATGAAATATTACTTAACAGATTAAGACTCTTGATTTGATTCTTGCCGGGAGAATCAATAGATAAATATGTCAAGAAACCAGGCATCCTTTTGACACAAGTTACACTATGCAACAGTTAGCCCAAAATGTATAAAATCTTTTAACAGCCAAGGTGCATAAATCCAGCAATTAGTCATCATTACCACCAAAAACAGAAAATCAGAAGGTGCCACAATCCATGACAGAATATCAGTAACATTGAAGATAATTCTCCTTAGCAATCGTACAATATACATTGCAACCAATAACTGAAAATTGAAATGCTTGCGACCATATACTAGTTAAATATAGATCAAAATGATCAGAAATTAGCCAACCTTGGTCATTTCTTGCTGAAAAAATGATCATTCCCGTCTCATCTCCGACTAAACATTCAGCAAATCTCCCTTGAGTCCGGCCTCTCTGCACCACACTCTTTGCATCTACAACTTTTACAGTTAAATTGAGCCCAGTATCTGAAGGGCGTAGCTGGTTGACCTTGGTGGGTTGCTGCTTCTGGTCAGCCATTTGCTACTTGCCTTTATATTCGAGGAGTGTACCTTGACATTCAAATATAGCAGGCATCAAGTAAAATATAGAATGGATTGTACTATACAAGATTGAGCTTGAATACAAATTCACCCAGATGATCTAGACACAGAAATACATCTCAGAATTAAAAACAACATAAACAAATATAACTAGGCATTCTATGCTACCCTCAAGGCCTCAACAAATTCGCTTAAATTCATCGAAGATTTAATTCACTCGAAACTTGATTCTGCACATTTAACAAAAAAAACATTCATCGTCCGTCAAATCTACTTCAATCAGTACTTTCCCATCTCCAAAACCAACAATTCAGATTGTTCGCACACCGCCATAATACGCGTAACCAATAATTCAATAACCACTAAGCATACTATCACCAACAAAACCCAAAATTGTTCAAGAATAAAATGATTTGAACATAAATAGCAACACGGAATCCACGGAAGTGATTCCAAAATCCAATCTTTCTCGCTTATTTCAATCCAATGAGAGAAGCATTAAGAATTTTAAAAAAAAAAAAAAAAAGAACAGCGCAGAGCAAGTGATTTCATCCACAGAGATCAAAACATAAATAAATCTATTTGAACTAACAAATTGATGAAAAACATCCTATAAGCTAAATTGAAGAAATCAGAGGCACCGACCTGATTCCGTGCAGGGAATATACAGTTGGGCTGTTGTGTGCGATTAGGGTTTTAAAATTGGGGATGGCAATAATTAATTTCAAGGGTGTTGGTGTAATTTCATTATTATATATTACCAGTTTTCTTTAAATGACACATATTTGGGCCCACGCTTATCTAACCCATGTGCAAGAGTAACCATTCTTCAATTGGGCCTCCATTTCTATATTCGGAATTAGAATTATATGTTAAGAAATTTTAAACGTTTTTATTACAATAACCACATCATTGGAATTTTATTATAAAAATTATATTCTTAGTTCAGTCTAAAACAAAAATAAAATAAACTGATAGAAACTTATAAAAAGAAATAAAAAAGCATGGAATAATACATATTTGTCAATTGCAATGCATTCACTAATTAATACTCCCTCCGTCTCAGATACCATGTCCACGTTGCCGTTTCTATCCGTCTCACATATCATGTCACTTTTTTTTTTTTAAATGATTACACACTTTTAATCTCATTTTAAATTTTTTTTAATTTTTTTTTAATTTTAATTAAACTAATCAGTTATCTTAATCTTAATTTATAATTATTTATATTATCGGATAATTATTTTCACTAATACATTTTTAATTATTTACTGATTACACCCCTCCTAAAATACCGTGTCTACAGTGTAGCAGACACGATATCGGGACAAAGGGAGTAGTAATTAATTGTTTCGGGATGATGATCTGCATATAGGTAGATTAATTTGACTATGATAGACTCCCATTGGAAAATTCGATCCAAATTTTACCATCATATGTAAAAACTTAAGTATGAATTTCATCGAAAGCATTTTAAAATCCGAAATTTTTTTGGAACTATAAAATGACTTCAAAATTTCTAATTTCAATAAGTCGTATGCATTCTTCATTTTACATTCACTATATTCATAGGTGAATCAAATCCCCCAATTATTACACGAACATGAGTGACACTCCTGGAACAAATTGGGAATTGTATGTAGAATGAGTAACACGTACACATACATATTAATTTAATTAATTTTATTTTATGAGTAAGTGTATCATCATCATACATTTGAGATATTTAACAAATTTCAAATCAAGGAATATAAGTTAAAGCTGTAACCCTAACCCTAATTGGAGATTTAAGCTATCTCTATCGGCAGACTTGTTTGGATTGCGCGAAGACGACGAGGCCTCATAGCTGATGGGAGTTAACACCTCTCTCGGACCATCCAAACACGTCAGGCTAAACCTCCCGGTGTCCTGCTGACACGTGGCACGATCCGGTAATTCCCCACGCCATCTCGAGCCATCCGGACCGTTGATGTCGAGAATCCGGCCATAGCTTCCGAAATCGATATCCGCCTCCGTCTCTGCCTCTGCCTCCTCGTTGAGAAGAAATTCCGGCGGAGAATAATACCATGACTGATGATTAAACTCAGGACTGTAATTATGGAAAGAATTGCTCCAGCTGTTTCTGTGAATTAATGGACGAATGTAATGGTTGAAGCTGGATTTCCTGGCTTGAAGCTGCAGCCTCTTCTTCTTCATCCTTTCTTTCTTGTGAGCATTCTGGTGACCTCCCAATGCCTGCGAGTTTCCAAACACCTTCGAACAGTACTGGCACTCGAGCTTCTTGGTCTGGTCCCCGCTGGTTGAGCTTTTCTCCGTCGCCGTGGAGGAAGCCGACGACGACGAGTTGTTACTGATGATCCGATCATCGCCGTCGGAAGGATTTAGCTCGATGCCGAATAGCTTGAGCCTCTTTTGATCAGAGCTTGATTTTGCTGTGTTGTTTGTTTCAATCATCTTGAAAACAAAATTAATTGAATAATTTTTATAGAAAAATAAATAAATAAAGAATATATATGTATATATAGAGGTGGAGTAGTGATGGATAGAATTATGTAACTCATCTCGTCCTTATATATAGCAACCGTGAATGGAAACTGTCTTTGGATTTGCCATGTACAAAAGACAAGAACAGTGTTGTGTGTACTATATACGAATATATATATATATATATATTTTTTATATATCACCAACAGTGTGGAAATGGATGATTAAAGATGAGTCAGATTAGGGATTATATTAGGGAAGTTTCTCATGCAATTCTAATTCTAATTCTATTTATTAATTAATATTACTAATTAAGTTGATGGGATACAGCTTAATTGAACTTTTTTTCCTCCAGTGGGAATTCTTAAGTAAGAATTCATGGTCTTTGGTCACTTTACATTATAAAGGAAGATATTGATTTGAAATTAGAGACATTGGAGTAGTACTAATATTCGATTCTTACCAAATGGAAATTTAAATATTAATATCTGAAGTTAGGATAATAATATTTATATGGCAATGGAGTAAAAGTCAAAGAAAAGATGGGGACGTAATCACCTGAAAGGGGGGCGATCTTGCATTGTAATGAATATAATCAACTTTGCACTTCACAAATGACCAAACCCCTCACAACTTATTATTTTATTATTTACAATTACGATCAACTATTTAAAAAATATTAATCGGTACGGTGTAATATATAGTTGCATTATTTTTTAATTTCTAAATTTTCAAATTCCCTGCTTAATTAATTACAAACGTAATATTAGATGGAAAAGATGTCTGCATATATATATATATATATATAATATTAGATTGTTGTAAATCTTTAATTTGTATGATATTGTTTAATTTTATTTTAAAGATCAAATATCAAATCATACATTAAATTAATATTCAATACAATCTTTTATGCTTATTAGTGTAGGATGCATTATGCATATATATTTAATAATAATCTCAATTTATCATTTTTATTTTTGTGGTGGCATAAAGTCCCATCAGTTCCTACAGTAGGTCTACTAATTGTCTAATTCAATCATGTAATTGTGCAGCACTTAAATCATGCATGGTTCCTTCCATGTACTTGCCTGCTATGCTCCCACACATCAATAATCAATCAATTAATTAATAATATCATCATAAAATATTATTTAATCTTGACATTGGATTACCAAATTATTAAATACAGCGCAGGTGATTAGTTGCTAAACAAAGGAATATCAAGAAGTGGGCGATGACATAAGCAAATATATGTGGAGTATAAATTAATGAATCAGAATCCAGCAGGTGTCCCCAACCATATCTGGGCATATCTTCTTAGAGCAGGCAAAGCCTATCCTTTTTCCCCCAAAGTATATTTATATGTTTCCCATGAATCCAATCCAGTCATCACTAATTAATTACTACAAAATTAAATCAACTTTAGTTGGACACTTGTTGAAGTTTTATCCCATTAATTATTTCTTTATATATATGTGCACATATTATTTTAGTGTAACATATAAAATTTTAAGTCAAACCTTTGATCACATTGATTTACCACATACTATATATACATACACTCTCACAGAGAATATATATATATATATGTATATGTATTGGTGGACAATCATCCACCAAAAAGAAATCCTACAATTCTCATATATCAATTCCCACCCCTTTAATTGTATTGTGTGCTTCCAGTGTGTTCCCAATTGCTTTAATTTGTGTTGGTTTGGAGGAAGAGTCCAATAAAGTATATATGTCATATTATAATCAATCATTCAATTTTTTCACTGTGGAATGTGTGGTAATTGAATTATTGTGGGTAAATTATCAATTATATTATGGTGAGTGGGTGGGTGGGTGGGTATGGGAGATTCTCAGATTCATTTAGCTAGCTAGGCATGATATTTCTTTCTTTCTGGTTTCTTTTGTAAATCTTGAAATTATTAGATGGCCTTTCTATTTCATTATTCAGCTAATAACTATATATATATATATATATATAGATAGATAGATAGATTGTCACATAGATATATGGTTTATCTTTCAAGTTCTACAGTTGTTAATTTTTGTATTTAAATTCAGCCATGCACAGGCTACCTACCCTATATAACTTTATCAGATTAAATAAATAAATTGCATCCATTAATTTGGTTGATTGATTTTCTCAATTTCTAACTTGATGGATAAGTGATTAAAACTGAGGGTCATCGTCATGTAAGAAAATAAACATATAATCAAATATGTTAGCGGAAGCGAAATTTAAACAAACCTCCTGCCATTGCTAAAAATTAGATTTATTCTCGATATTCTCTTCTCCAAGCAAAACGTGAATTGGAGCCGTGGGAAGACGGTGTTGTCAGACTTTGGAACCCTTGGGAGGATGTTGCCAAACTTTGGAAACCTCCGAAGATAGTGCCAGATCGTGGAACCCTAGGATGATGTTGCCAAACCCTGGCTCTCAAATAGCGATGGTGTATTCTAATTTTCTGAGAGTAGGTTTAGTAACCCGTATGTGAGAGTATTTATAATCAAAAGAAAAACCGTCCATCACGATTTTTCTGCCACTTCTCACGTATATTTTGAATGTGATAGACTTAATGGGAGAAAAGTGGGCCACAATTTTAGGTTAGTTTAATTATATAAGATAATTCAAAAATAATCAAAATTCAAATATGATTAATTAATTAATTAAACTAACATTCTCCCACTTGGCCCACTCAAACTATCACAACATAACGAAAAACCTTACATACGAATCATGGCGGTAGGTCTTCTATAAACGAATGTTACCTTCCATGTATCACGATATGTCAAGCATCTCAAACTAAATTCACAACTTAATGAATAAATCTTATATTTATTCCGGGTTAAACATAAGCGAGTTTTCTCAATAATAAACAAATATGTGCACAATAAAGCGAGAAAACATCAAACTGAATAAGAGTCTCAAATAACAATGTGTGCAAATGAACTACATTGTAGAATCAAGTCCCATACTTGCTACGTGATCCCTGAAACTCTTTAGTGGCATGCCCTTAGTTAGGGGATCAGCAAGCATCAACTCTGTACTAACGTGTTCAATGACCACTTTATTTTCCTTGACACGTTCTCTTAAGGCTAAATATTTGATGTCGATGTGTTTACTTCGACTCCCACTCTTATTGTTTTTAGCCATAAATACCGCAGCAGAGTTGTCACAGTACAACTTAATCGGTTTGGAAATAGAGTCAACGACTCTAAGCTCGGATATGAAACTCTTCAACCATACACCATGCGAGCTAGCCTCGAAACATGAAACAAACTCAGCCTCCATAGTGGAAGTAGCAGTGATAGACTGCTTCGCACTTCTCCAAGAGATGGCCCCACCAGCCAACATGAACACATAACCCGATGTGGATTTCCGAGTGTCAATGCAGCCAGCGTAGTCCGAATCGGAGTAGCCAATCACTTCCAGCACATCAGTTTGTCTATATGTGAGCATAAAATCCTTCGTACCTTGAAGGTACCTCATCACTTTCTTTGCAGCTTTCCAGTGGTCAACACCTGGATTACTCTGATATCTCCCTAATACTCCAACAGCATATGCTATGTCAGGCCTGGTGCAAACTTGAGCATACATAAGACTTCCTACTGCTGAAGCATAAGGGATATTGCTCATGTGTTCCCTTTCAAAGTCATTTTTCGGACATTGACTCAAATCGAGCCTGTCACCCTTCACAATGGGAGCTACACTTGGTGAACAATCTTTCATATTAAATCTTTCTAGAACTTTCTTGATATAGGCTTCTTGAGACAAACCCAAAATGCCTCGATTTCTATCTCTATGGATCTTAATGCCAATGACATAAGATGCCTCTCCCATATCTTTCATATCAAAGTTCCTTGAGAGAAATTGTTTTACCTCATGTAACATCCATTTATCATTAGTTGCAAGCAAAATGTCATCCACGTACAACACAAGGAAGCAAATATGACTCCCACTAACCTTCTGGTATATACAGTGATCCATGACGTTTTCTTCAAAGCCGAATGAAGAGATAACATCATGAAATTTCAAATACCACTGACGGGAGGCTTGCTTCAATCCATATATGGATTTATTAAGCTTACAAACTAAATTTTCTCCACCACTAGAGGTAAATCCTTCAGGTTGTTTCATATAAACCTTTTCCTCTAGGTCACCATTCAGGAATGCTGTTTTCACATCCATCTGATGTAACTCAAAATCAAACTGAGCTACTAATGCCATGATCACACGGAGGGAATCTTTCTTAGATACCGGAGAAAATGTCTCGGTGTAATCGATTCCTTCCCTTTGAGTGAATCCCTTAGCAACAAGTCTTGCTTTATGTCGTTCGATGTTGCCATCAGAGTCTATTTTGGTTTTGAAGACCCATTTGCATCCAATGGCTTTTACACCATCAGGCAACTCGACAAGATCCCATACCTTGTTTGATGCCATAGAGTCCATCTCGTCTTTCATAGCACTATGCCATAAATCGGATTCTTTAGAATTCATGGCTTGTGAAAACGTTTCAGGATCATTTGCGGCTTTTATATCGTAATCTGATTCTTGAAGATACACCATGAAGTCACTAGAAATAGCTGACTTTCTGACTCGTGTAGATCTTCTTAATGTTGTTTCATCATTATCACGAAGAACTTGCTGACCAACTGATTCAACAGCATGTTGTTCAACATTTTCTTGATGTTCTTCATTAACAACTTGATCTACGTGATCATTTTCATCAGTTTGTGGAACTTCATTACTTAATCGTCTAACACGCGTTTGAACTTGAGGAGCGTGAAAGACAATCAATCTATCACTCAGCTTAGTAGGTTGATCTTTATAGTGATCTGTTTCAGAATGAGTATCTGGAATATGATCACTCCCACTAACCAAGTCATTCTCGAGAAATTTCGCATTTCTCGATTCCACAATTCTAGTGCTATGAGACGGACAATAGAATCTATATCCTTTAGACTTTTCGGCATATCCAATGAAATACCCACTAATAGTCCTCGGATCTAGCTTCTTTTCTTGTGGATTATAAATTCTCACC